AATGCAGTGGTAATAAAATCTTGATGTTGAGAAAAGATCCAATAGCTAATTGTTTCACGTTGATGTCCAAGTGCAAGATATTGCTTTCTCTCCAAGAGTCAAAACACCTAAAATACTCCTGCCTAATCTAAAGACATCTGCAGTGCATTCATATTTTAAAAAAAACACAAAAGAAGAAGAAAAAGGAAGTAAAAGGAAAACAGACTAGTGCATCAATGGGTTCTCATTTCTGTAACAAAAAGCAAATTTTGGAATTATGTTAACCAATAAAAGAACAATACGGACTGCTAAAAGAGTCTTTGGTCTCGTCAGCAGCATACCTCTTTGGACATATGTAACACTCCAACTTACAAGTCATATGTATAATCTAGGAAAACAGTGTTATTTTGAACACAGATGACAGTTTCAAACAGCTTATCTTGCTTTTAAGCTTCAAAAACTAAAAGGTAATGATTCATATTTTACTCTTGACTTAACTAATGTAGGAGTTGAGTTGTACCAAGGCCCAGGAAAGCTTCAACAGAATATCATTTTACTGTAACATACTTTTACTTTCTTGTTTGGCCTCCCATAAGCTATTTAAGAGGTTAAAACAATAGTGCTAGAGTTATTGTGATAGTACTTATTGGGAAATATTCATCTGAGATGAAGGAAAGCTATGAACAAGGGGAAAACTAAGCTACACTATACAAACGAATGGAGCAAATATATGGGTACTAAGTAAAACTCTTTTTCCAAACTGGCACACTAAAGTAGAGAGTACAAACCAAAAGTAAGATACTGTATTCCACTATGTGGAAACTAACAGCAAAAGACAGAATGCATAGCTCCCTTTTAACGTTATGACAAAACTCAAATCTTCATTCTTGTATCAAAATGATTTTCCATTAGAGCATTAACTGGAATAAAAGAGGAAGTGCTCAAGAGTTAAGAGTAATATCTAGAAATTTCATAATACTTACTTTCCTTGAAGACCCAATGACAAGCCAGCCAGAACCACATAGGTACCAAATGCCATAAACGGAATGTATAGGTCCGGAGCATTGATGTCATAAATTGGGGGCTTATAAGAAAGCCTGCCTCCTACTGGTTCAGTTATTCTGGTCCAATGACCCTAGAAAAAGAGAGGGCGGGGGGAAAGGAGTAAGTTCTATGGAAGGATAAATGATTCCACCAGGAAAAACACAAACATTAGCACTTACCCTATGCAGAAATGGGAATAGCACCACCTTCAATTTGTTCCTCACATACTGGTCATTCACTTGGAAGTAGTACTGCGGATCAGAAAAATACCTACTGATCTGCTCATTGCAACACAAACTATCAGAATAAAGATCAATTACCTTAAATTAAGTACAAACTTAAGAATGTCAATGTCAACGTCTAAGAACTACCAGATATTAGAAGGGCTAATCTAGTCACTTGATGACAATCATACAAGGTCGTAACTGTGTTTAAAAGTAGTTGGATACAATTTAAATGAGCTCGAGATCAGTGCAAAACATTATAGGTAGACTATAAGATGGAGGCATTCTATGCATATAGCAGCATCTCCAAACAAACTTCCAACTGGCGAATCAGGCCATTATGTACAATACAATAGACCAATTTAATTAATATGGATCGTCAACCATTCACCCAACCAAGAGCATCGAGAAACAAACCAAGAAAGAAGAAATTAAACAATTAGAATCAAGATTTCCAAAAAGGTTCAGTCAATAATGACAATCCATTCCCTTTATATCAAGCATCATTCATACCAAATTAAAAGCATGTCAATTTGATTAAAATAAAATAAAAATTAAACTAGGAACAAAACGGATTCATGTTGAACATGTTATTTGCTAGCATAAAAAAATCCCAAACCTTCATATAATTAACAGATATTAACTTGAATTAAAAAAAATTATATTTTTCACGGAAATCAGGAGCAATAAGCTATTAAAACATAACTCTATCTTTCATAGTTTAACCCTAACAGTGGACGGCTGCTTACATTGCTTTGTACATACTCAGAGCTTGATCCTAAAATTTTCTCTCCGTAAGCACCCAATCCACCACGGATAAGTCCTGAACTAGCACCGTACAACGCATTCCCAAACGGATTTGGCTGTGAAGCTGCAGTAGGCATTGACACCCCAGGCTGGGTTCCTACATTATTGTACATTTCTGTAGTGAAACAGAGACAAAAACACAAAAATAAAAAAGCAGTTAGATCAAAGACTGCTCCAATTCAAATGGGCCTACAACAAGACATCATTGGTAATAAGCGTATCTAATTGAAATCAATGTACTAATTCTAAATCTCATTCATATTTTTCCACTCCAAAAAATTGCCAGCACTGTTAATTACATATCTATCAATGATTTCAGGCTAACAATAAAGGCAGGCACAAACAGAAGTCTCAAATCTACTTGAGTCTTTCTAATCTTAATACAAGTTAAATTATGTTCATAAGTCAGCATCCCAAAAACAAACAAACACCAAAGAATCCAAAACGTTAAATGAAAAAAAAATAAAAAAATAAAAACCTTGGGTTGCTGATCTTTGGTGGTTTAGGTGATGGTGTTGTTGGAGAGGAGGAGCTGGGAGGCTGGAGGCGGCGTCGATTTCTGCTCTTCGTTGGCAGAGGCCGCGTCGATTTGTGATAGAGGGAGAGAGAGATACACGGCGTTGTATAAATTAATTGTGAGATTGGATTGATTAATTAACTTACTCCTCTCCCCGTTTTTGTCTTCTATTTATGTTGTGAAGTTTTTCATGTTCTTCGTTGCATCCAGCGGACAAACAAAAACGTTTTTCGTTGCATCATCTGTCCAATCTATTATTACCACGTGGCAATTTCAAACATATTATGAAAAGCTTGCAGCTGAAGGGACTAGCTTTAAAGCACTTCTACCCATTTGCCATGGCAAAAGACAAAGGAAAGTGGGGGCGGTTATCTAGTGAAAACACCTATATGATAACATTACATGAGAATACCGTTAGATCTAATCTAACGGTTGCATAAAAAGCAATTGTAAGTGAAACTATTGTATTAGAACGAGACCTTCTTCTCTCTCCTCCCTCCAAAACAAATGTCCTCTCTAAACCAGTTGTTCGCTTTGTTCAATTAGGAGGCCGATTTTTTTATCAGCTTTAATTGAGGAAGAACACTAACGCTGAAGAGAGAGCACCCTTGTAATTCCTTATTTGCTTTGAGGAAGAACACTAAAGAGCGCCTTTATTTTTTTGGCTTTCTCATTCAGGCGAAACAAAGCAATCTTCGATTTTATATTTTCATCTTTGTGGTTTGGTCTTTCCGGTCGGAACATTTGTCAATTCTTGAGCAACATCGAAACTAGCGTTGAGTTGGAAACTGGTGACCGCGACCCTTGTGGTTCTATTCTCTTGGTTTTGAAATCCTTAAGCATGGTCGAAACATGGGTTGAGGAAGATGAAAAGTTTTTGGGGTTGACGTCCAAATTTAAAGGGGCGACATTGTCATATTTGTTGAGATTTTGAGGTAAGTGATATACTGTATTTGTCAATTTGAGTATTGGGCATCAACATGAGTTACATTAGTTTGTATGTAGATTCTTTAATCTTTCACCAGAGACTCATTTGCATATTGTATGTTAGTTCATATATATTTGAAAGCTCTTTGAAAGTCTCTGCCAATGTTGATATGATGATGGTGATGTGATATTCTGAAGCAACTGTAGAGACTGGAATTGCAAGCACATCTCTTGCAATGGCCACTAAAACTGGATATTTAGAAGCATTCACCCTCCACCAATTTAAAATGTCAAAGTGTTCAATATCTTATTCTGCAGCATTCAACAAATATCTATCTATCTCATGAGATAAAACCACTGCCTCTTTATCTTCTTGTATCTTTTTCCACTTTTCCTTCATAGCCTTTTTCCTTAATCAGACAGATTGCACCTTAATCAAAAAAATTGCACTTTTACCCTAAATCCTAAACCTTAATAAATTTCATAACATTATGATCATGAACAAACAAACACCAAACAATAAGAGCTAGCGAATCCCAAATGTAATAAAACTTACGAGTTAATTTATTTTGCAGTAAGTCCAAACTCATGAAAATTAAAAAAGAGCAAAAATGAGAAATTAAAAAAAATCCCAAACACAAAAAAATAAGGAAAAGGAAACCCAACAATTATCACACACCATTATCCAAAAAAGTAAAAAAATGGTTATCATCCTAGGTTTTTTTATACCTTATGTCCATTTTCATTCACACCGCCAAAGTACAGAATTAAAAGCCAAAACAGAATCTTGCATGAAGCATCTTATAACCAATCTAATCAAGCCAACTGAAACTAAATTAAACCCCAAACGAAGCACACGTCTTACACATCAATAACTATCTGCTCATCTTGGTTTTCAGTTCATATTGTGATTCACAATGTGAAAAGTGAAAAAGAAAAAGGTTTGAATAACACGTATAATCAGATTGGCAAAGCTAAGTAATGAGTTTGTTTTTATGGTAATCTTTACCAAGAACAAAACATTTCAAACAAAAAAAATCACGTATAATCAGATTGGCAAAACTGGTTATCTAAACATAGAAATTAGTTAAGCATAAGCTGCAAAGAAATTAGATAAATTAGAAGAACTCACCATTATTGGAACTGAGTTAGCTTCATCCATCGGCCTTGGTTTGAGATATGAACTTTGGTAATGACGAAGATAGATGAGTTTCTAGATAAGCAAAAGCACACTAGTATGAGAGGAGCACAACACAGGTTCTTTGCAAATAATTAATTAGACAGACACATGCTTCCTTGCAACCATAGCACAGCACATCACAGGTTCCCTTAATCAGACAGATGCTTACTTCCAACCATAGCACAGGTTCGAATCATATGCTTCCTTGCAAGAACTCTGCCTAAGAGTTTGAATCATATATGAGAGGAGCACGTTTGAATCAATAGAGGTGTGACGTTGACGATGGAGGTGTGACACCGACGATGAAGGTATGACGCCAACAATGGATGTGCGATGCCGAAGATGGAGGTGCGATGCCGATGATAGAGATGTGACGCTGACAAGGTTTCTGCTACGCCAACGATGGAGGTGCGAAACCGATGAGGTTTGTGCGATGTGAGAATGGGTTTGATTGAAGCAGTGGAGGTTGTAGTGGTTCAAATCAATGGTGGCTTCTCTTGGGTTCAAGTGGGTTGAGTGAGGAAGAAGAGCTGAGATGGGGCTGCGTATTCAACGAAGATGAGATGAGATGTGAGAGAGTTGTTCCGGAAATACAGAAACAAAGAAATTCCACGGTCGAACTACCAAAATAGAATGGGATAAAAATCATAAACCTAAACGCTTCGTTTTGTATTGAAAAAGCCAGTTAATGGTTCTTGTGAATCTAATTCATTGAAATTCCATCCAGTAAAATGGAAGAATTATAAATCTCCAAAATAATCGATAGGAATATCGCAAATAGAGCCATTGCGAGACCCATCAAAGGAGTAGTTCCCCACCCAGGAGCTACTTTACCATATTCTGAGTTGTAAGTTGTTTCGAGTCCAATTTAGTGCGGCTGGGTATTCACTAACACATCTAATTAGCCACTCAACCATTGACTCATGTAAACTAATATATGTATATATATATATAATTAATATTTAAACGGTTCGGTTTGGATTAGCACAGTTTTCCAAAGCTTAAAACTACAGATGAACCAAACTACTCCAGTTTGGTTCGGATTTTAAAACTGTTGACTTTTTTAAAGTCAAAACCAAACCAAACTAGAAAATATGGTTTGGTTCTGCTGGTTTGGTCGAATCGGTCAGATTGATGCCCACTCCTACATAAGGCGACGAGTATGGATGCAATTTTTGACCAAACTGTCAAATTAAAAACCTCTCACTCAGCCTAAGTAGTTGTGGCTCACTCATTCTGCATGACAGTTTTTAAATCATTGATCAATAGTCTTTTCAGCATAGCAGTAATAACCTTATGCTCTTGATCGTAACTTAACAAATAAGATATGCAAATTGGTGAAAACTACATGCTAATATAACTTATGATATAAAAAATTAGGTTTAAAATAACTTTTGTGTTTAAAACATGGATTAGATTAAAGAATAAAAACCTAGAGCTCTGATACCACATATAAATCCTTACTAGGCTTTTATTCTAAAATACTAACCTTCCACATGCATGACAACTAATGAGGATCTTCTTCTCCTAAGCAACTCTTTAATTCTCTTTTCTCTAGATAGGGTGAGAGTCTGTTTTTGAGTGTGTTTAGCTGCAAGGAAAGGGACCCCTATATATACATGCATCACTCGAATGCCTTGCCTATTAAGAAGCCTTCAAGTATTCTATTTGCATTAGACTAGGTTCGTTTCAATCCATATTGTATTAGGATTTCTATTAACACTTGTGTTTTACTTTAATAAGTTCTATATAAGTGGTTATCCGAAAAGCTTGAGTTCTATTCCATAATCAATTAAAACACTCAAGCCTCTTAGGATTAGAACATCATATTTCCAGGACTAAGACAATAAAATTGCTTACACATCTTACACATAATAAACAACAATTTACCACAAATGATCTCCCACCATCATCCTCCCTTTTCTCTTTGTATACTTATGGCATGTTCACTAATCCGTTATTGGATTAGGAGGAATTGAATTAAAGATAAACTAAATTGAAGAGGAGTTGGATTGAAGAGAATTAAATTCCGGATTCCTATTGAAGTTGTTTACTAAACCATATGGAGTTGGAGTATGAGTGGTACTAATTACTAAAATGTCATCGTTATTGGGTTAAAGTAGATGGCAAATTTGGAATTTTTAAAATTGTGTGAGGATATAATGGGTAAAAAAGATTAATTCCTAATGGGTTAGTTATCCAGGAATTAGAATTCCACCTCCTACTCAATGGCCTCACTTTTTAATTCCTTGATGTGAAGTAAACGCAAGAATCCTCCATAGGTGGAATTTAATTCCTGATGAGAATTCCAATTCCTAATTAGTAAACACACTATTATAGTAACTTTCAATTGTAAGCAGTATTAGGGAATCACACAAGTCTAACATCAATAGCAAGTGTGGGTAGATATGGTGTTAAACAAAGGCAAGAGGGAAATGTTGGATTTTATTTATTTATACATTTTATACTTAGTAGCGATAAATTAACACGACGCATGTAGTCGTTGATATGCGAGCCTTTGCTCTCGATGATCAGCAGCCAACTTGGGAGACCTTGTAGCCTTCTTTTCTCGATTGCGTCGACGGACTGCTCGAACGGAAGAAAGTGCCAACTTCTCCTCCAACTCTGAATTGTTCAAAGTGGGAAAATACCACCAAAATTCAGTCACGACCGTCTTCAAGTCCTTGGCCAGTAGAGCAAACGCTTCTACTTTTGTATGACATTTCACATTGTCGGTGCAGATAGGAAGGTCCGAAAAGGAGATATATGTCGAAATTCGGCTAAGAAGTTCTTCCCCGTAAAAATCGCCTTTCTCAAGACACCTTGTGATTGATGATGTTGATGATGAAGTGGAACCATTTAATTTTCCAGAACCATCAACGTGAGTACCTGCAAAGGTCCATATAATTCCTTGTGTGATGAAGAGCATCAAGTCAAGTGGTTCTCCTGCTCGAATCACGTAGCTATTCTCCGAGTAGATCACTGGCTTCAGATAATTGCATATCACTTTCAACACCCTTTCATCAGTACTTTGAAGCATTGGTACCTATACATATGTACATATTAATTCAATAAGAAATATTTAATTCTAAGGTAGGAGAAATTGTACACGTGGTATAAATCGTTCCTATGTTAAATAATGAGCAGATAGTACTAATATTTCTCACTTTTAAGGTAATAGTATCGATAAATATTCACTGATATATCTATTACATGGATGAGATATACTTTGCAAAATAAAATTATATAGCCAGCTAGAGAGGTGAGTATTGGAACATATTACTTACTTTCTTCAACGTATCCATGCAGAGATAACGCTTTATAGATTTCCTGTTATTCTGTGAGAGAATAGAGAACATATTCTCTACATCAGCATCTTTGTCTTGTTCCAGTCTTTGTTTGACATTTTTCATAATCACTGTCTTCATATCCTCTGGAAGACCATTTCTAGACATCCACAATTGGATCTCTAGGTCTTTCATCGCCATCTTCTGGCATATGTTCTCTGATTTTGTAGTTGCCAACTGTATATATGTCTGTTCCACCACAAACAAGCTTATATTACAATTTGAGACTTAGGCTTTAAATTATAATTTATTAAATAAAATTAAATAAATAAACCAACTAATAATAGATCTAGGAAGGAAGATTGTTTCCCAACCTGTACATTTCCGATGAGATACAAAAAGAGTAGCAAGCCAATAACAGAAATTAGAATTGCAAAGCAGTTTTCCCACACGTAACTACTTGTTTCTAAATTCGTCCCAAAGTTACTGCAACGAGAACAATTAATTAAAGAGTCAAAAAAAATGTGTCAGACACTATATTCAATGGCTATATATACAGCACATAATGAGAAAAGAGAGCACTATTTGTTATATGAGGGTAAACTAGTAAAAACAAAATAACCTATTTCACGCACTCGCTATTTGCTTATTGTTTTATACTATTTGTCCCTATTTCACAAGTAAAATTTCTCCATTTCTGTTTTATTACCTCGTTTCTATCTCTCTCCTCGTATAACTAATCAAAATATAAGAGAAAATGAGACAATGCAACGGGTGGGAAATATTTCTCCTATCTCAAGCTCCAACTATTCATCTTAATCAAAATGCATGAGGAATGAAAAGCCCTAATTCTCATAGCCTGTATAGAAAGGCTAGAATGTCTTTTATAAAAAAGAAAAATCTTGTAATGAGCATAGTTGGTGTTTCTTTATGTTGAACAAAACTGAATAAAATCACTGCGGAATAACTGAAAATTTGTTCATTGTGATTGATTTGTATAATGCCAACCTGAGATTTCGCAGGCCCCACCAATAAGAGTGAAAGAACTTTTGCATAAAAGGTGTTGACCCCGACTTAAGGGCATCAACAAATATTCCAAAATCAAATATTGAGGGATCTGGTGGATCTAATGGACAAAATTTATTTAGGAATTTGACTTTACTTGAAGTGGTAATGTCGTCTCCCAGACTATCATCATCGCAATGAAAGTGATAATTAGCTACACAAAAAATTTCAGTACTTCTTTTACAAGCATGATGCCAACATGATGTCTCTCGTTGGATTGAAAAGAAGTACCAAAAACCTCCAAGTACCTAATCAAACAAGTAAATTAGTGAATGACATGAGAAAACTGAATGGAGAAAAATAATCCAACTCCATAAAAGGCAAAAAAGCATGAAATAAATGAGTTACGACGAGGGAGACGAAACTTACATGACTAGCGAGGATGTATAAAAAAAAATTGAATGCACCTCTAACCCATCTTTTGATCTTCGTAAGTTCCTCATACGTTAGGTATATTCGATAAACCCTTGGCAAATATTGGAAGAGAAGAAGGAAGGTCATAATCCTCCTTTTGCGAAAATACTCAGAGCTTTTCCTTCTGAAAAAGACAACTCCTATTGCTAACTGCATGACAGAAATAATTACAATGGACTGGACTAAGATCATTTCATCTTGTGTTAAGCAACAACCAATCAATTAATTTACATATATATATATATATATAATTTAGTCTTTCTCTTACTTGTGGGATTGGAAGAGCAGCAAGAAAGTCAATTAGGATGGAAAACCAGGGCATTGCCTTAACCAACTCTCTTCTTCTGCATAACCAAGCTGACTTTCCTCTTCTTGATACCTGCTCTGAGGCCACGACTTTCGCCGTGACACGAATCTGATGTACCATATGGATTACGAAAGTGAGGTCCATGAGCGATCGCAGAAGAAGAGCTGCAGTCCTCAACTTCTTGTCCTTACCAAGGCACTTGTATTTCTCATTGATGTTTGGGATGTAAAAGAACAAAGGATCCAATGAGACTGCAATCACACATGCAATTACAAATATCTTGTTCCATAATGGAAGGAAAGGCCCCTGTGGGTCAAAAATTTCCTTTGCTGTTGGCCATTTTTCACTTGCTGAATTTCCTTCACCTTTTGCGGGAGGCTTCTTCCCAGTGCTGATATAAATGCATATAATGCAGCCATTAGAATGTAAAATAAAGACAAACTAAACATGGATAACTTTAAAGGACAAACTCCTCGCATGATATAATTTGGGCCTTGGGAAGTTGGGCTAGTGTTACATTTCTCAGAACAATGGTATGGAGCAATTATAATTATTAAAAATTTCACGCATACTATCCATGTTATATGCATGTGAAGCCGAGAGATAAGTGGAAAATAAGGATTTTATTTTATTTTTCCCCAGCAGTTGTTGATTATAATTTTATCTCATATATTATCTTTTTGTATGAAACTCTATCAAAAGTGATTAACAAAGAGGCTTCTCTTAAAGGCCTTTTAAAAAAAGGGTATAATACAAATACTAACTAGCTGAGTAATCGGAACCTTGTTAAGTGAATAACAAAAGCATTAAATAGTAGTATACATATATAAAGTTCTTCTCTCATTGGGGCGTCTACACTTTGTTACGGTGTAGACGTAATTGTAAATAGGAAGGAAAGTAAGGAATGATAGTAAAAAATATATGGCAACTGCATGGTAATAACGTCTAGACATTCGCATAAGAAAATTTGTAGTTTTATATATACCAATTAAATTTTGATATTGTGGCACTTCTCTTCCACATTAATTACAAAAAGTTCAAAATTTGAATATAATAATATAAAATTTTGTAATGATTCTTAATTACTGGTTTACCTTTTTTTATCTTAACTTTTTGTTTAATGTAAAGGAAAATAGGGGTGTTACAGGGCACTATTCTCGGTCCCTTACTTCTGAGTTCGAATCACCCTCCCCATAAAGTATAGAGTAATTTAATATCGATTAGTAAAAATTATAATAATTGCATTAAAATAAGATGGATCAAGAAAAAAAAATTCTCATAACATAAAATTAAAAAATAAAGCAAAATGAAATAAAAAAAACAAATCCAAAGAAACTAAACCTTTGAATAAAACTGTCAGGATTCACAAAGCTCTCGTCAGGATTCACAAAGCTCTCATCTGGTTTCATAACTACAAGAGTCGAAGAAATATTTGGAGCACCACGATGTCGTTTCGTTGGTCCTGAAAATATATAGAAAACTGAAGATGATAAGTAAAAGGGTTTCATAACCAAACGTTTGTCAAAACAGAACTGATAGAAAATGGATGAAGGGTGAACTGCAAGTAACCTAGTCTACAAAAATAAATTAAAATTTAACAATAATAAACTATGTCCCTCTCCTTAACAAGGCAAAATAAAACGTTGTAGCCAAGTTCGGTATAATATATTACGATTTTGCTATTTATTTTCAGTTGTACTGTAATCCTACAAAATTCAAAAATAGATATCAGTTGAGGGAGAAATAATAAGTGATGCAAGTAAAGTTACAGAAACCATGCAAAGGCTGAGCACAAGAGGGATATAAAACAGATTGCAGAGACAGAAGTTTAAGCTTCAAGTGATAGTACTGAGCTGAACCTACCTTGCTATTATGAACGACCTCCTTCAAGAGTCCAGTACAAGGGAAGAGCCTGAAGAGCCTGTATTTGTTAGGAATCTTGCTACAGCTGGCACATTGCGTAAAATAAATACTTGGGTTCACTTTACTTTTTAGAAAATATCTTTTTTTTTGTAGGAAGAAAAATATTTAGCTCTAAAGAGTATTATATTTTTTTAGATGAATGATTGTTGATATCGTGTGAATAATATATATATATATATATATATATTGGTGTTGTCAAGCTTGTGATTTGTGTATAAAAAGGGAAAGAAATAAAAAAAACAAGTAAATGCTTTTTTAGAACTTGCTTTTTGGTATGCTTCACAACAGAGCCAAAAATCTTTTAGAAAAGTTGTGTTCTTTTAGAAAAGTCGATGGAATACAGAGGACAATAATGCGTCCTGCTTTTTTGGTAGACTAATTGTTAGTATTATTCATTGACTGACCAAGACCTTGTGTACAAAGTTCGATTTATAAATTGATTTAGTATTTTTATATGACACCTTAATATTTTCTAATTTGTTTTTGGAACGCTACAAGTACTTTCCTCTCAATAATTTTTATGGGGTCCCTAAGATAAGGGAGAGGAAAAAGAGAAAAATGGAAAGAGAACATAATGAAAGAGAAATTCTACACTGTGCCTAGTTCATGGCTGCGCCACCGACTTTGATCATTGGATGAGTAGTTGGGGCATGTGAGATAATCCACACCATTGATTGTTGGTAACCGGCAGGCACCATATTCTCCTTCTTCTATCTCATTAGAGTTAAGATTTCAGCGGGACGGATCCTTGGCCCACTACTAGCAACATCGATATTGTCTCCAACTTAACCACCTATTTAGCAAGTGTGGGGTTTTGTACAAAAGGCCTCGATATTATTATGAGTGGACCCATTCATTATATGGGACTTTCTATTTTGTTAAGTTTCCGATGTGAGAATGTGTGTATTCTTCAACACTTTCATCTCTCTCTCAACAGAGCCACTCTGCCCTCTTTTCTCATTCTCTGTTTGATTTTGATTCCTTCCATATGCGCTCCTCCTTCTCGTCGGCGGTGTCATATCCTCTCCTCGATTCCTCTCTCATATCAGTTTAAGGTTAACGTAGCACAAGCTAATAGGTTACAAGCGTAACCTTTAATCTACTAGAAAGATAGAGAAAAAATTCTCACTGTTTGTATTATGTGATAAAAGATGAGTTGAGTGCAACCATACATGACGACAGTCTAAATACATCATTCTCACCTATTGGACTACCCTAGGGAGTTATTGAAAACTTAACAGAAAATAAACGAAAAGTCTGTAAATTGATTACAATCTTTAAATGCACTTTTAGAAGCCCAAATGACCTCAAAAGCCCAAAATCCACCTTATGTCACAAAAAAAGTAGTGAGTTGGACTTGTGGCATCGTTCCCTTTTCGAGAAGCTACTATGCGACTCCATCGGAGCTTGGACTCCAAATCTATAAATTCATGTTGTGTCCTTTTTCCCTTCTTCACTCCAATTCTTCTTCAATCCATTCAGCCATTTGTTCTACATCAAAGGTAAGCATACTTTTCCTTTGGATTTAGAGTTTTTTTCTGTTAAATTAGGCTTGTCGAATTAGGGCTTCTGAATTGAATTAGGGGTTCAGGTAGATGATTGTTTTGTTAAATTAAGGCTGTCAAGGTAGTTGAGACTGTGATGGATTGATAGTTTTTTATTTTTTGGATATTTGGTGGGTTTAATTTATGAGATTCGTTAATCTTTGAATATTGATACGTTTGGAGCTCATTGATTGGAATTTATTGGTCCTTTTCTTTTTTTTTTTTTTTTTTTTTTTTTTTTTTTTTTTTTTTTTCTCACAACTGCCCTGACTAGTTATTTACAGTGTGTGGTCTTAAATTTTGACCTCCAATCTCTCACACCTCTATTTGCTCTCATGAAGCCACTAACTACGTGTGTGTATATATATATATATATATTATATACGTAGTGTAGCGGCTTCATGAGCTTTGTCTCGTACAGAGCTTTGTTTAGGCTTATTATCAATTGTTGGATGAACATTTCATGTCTTGTTATGAAGTAATTTTGATTTTTGGGTTTTGCTTTTAGTTCCAATCTGGTGCTGAATTTTCGATTATTGGGAGGGTGTTCCTCTTGTAAATGATCTGTGTTTTGTTGTAAAAGTTTCATAGTTATTCAATTTGAGCTCTGCCTTTATGTTTCTTTTATTGTAGTTGGTCATTTCAGATTAATACTCTTTCAACAGTAAATAGCTACATTTGTATAATTTATTGTTTTGAGCTATAGCTTTTGTCTTGGAATTCTTTGGTATTAATCACTTTTTGGTCCTTAAGATGCAACAACGTAGGATTCCCCTCTTGATATTTAGTTGGAAAAAATATAAATTATTGGGAAAACAGTTTGTGTTGTTTGTATGTTGGGAATGCTTTAGAAATCACGTGACTTTGACTTGGGCTGAACCTATAAAGAACTCAAATAACCAATTAGGCTGAAGTGGAAGTTTCTAGTCTCAACTTTGTAGCCATGGTTGTGATTTAGATAAGGAATATGGTCATTATATCTTGAATTTGGGAATGTTTTGATGTTTAAAGCTGATAAGTGATGTTATATATAATTCTTTCCTATAAATAAATAAAAAGCTGATAAGTGATGAATATTTTTTTATGTTGGTTGATGAAATCTGAGGTTATATTTCGTTGTAGACAAATGTAGATTTATGCTATGTTTATTTTTTTGATGGCAATGCAATGTTCACCACAGAATTTTGGCATATGCTGCTCTTCGATAAAGAATATCATATCATAAAATGTAAAATATTGTAGTAAATCATTATAAATAAATGATTATGGTGTGTTTAATCTTTTTACATTAATTACTACATATTTTATACACTCACAGTGTTTGTCAGCTTACAATATAATCAACTTAAATAAATTAAACCCATCAAGCAATACATTTCCTTCCAATTGTTTTTGATAAAGTAATAGATAATTGACTAAATAAACATCCTACAAAGTTTCAAGAAAAAAATTCTAAATTTTTCTTACAATTTCCGTGGTTTTTATTCAATTTTTATCAGTATCGATAATATCCCGATATTTTCATCAAAATTTCCATATTTTTGAACTACCAATATTTCCGAAATCATCGATGTTTTAGACCTTAGTTGTAACTTCGACATCTATGCACACATGGGCATGCATTAATTGAAGCATGTGCCACGTGGCAGTATCTATTTGCAGTAACTTTCAATAGCATGTGTGCATAGTTCTAGCGTTAAAAAAGGCAAGAGGCAAATTGTTAAGATTTAATTTATTTCATATATGTATATTGCGCATCAAAAAATTAACATGGAGCATATAGTTGCTAATTTGCTTGCGTTTGTTCTGGATCAGCATCAGACTTAGGAGGCAGTGCAGCCTCCTTCTTTGATCGATTTCGTTGACGGACTGCTCGCAGGGAAGAAAGTGCCGATTTCTCCTTTAACTCGGAATTCTTCAAATCGGGGAAATACCACCAGAATTCAGACACTACCCTCCTCAAGTCCTTGGCCAACAGAGCAAAGGCTTCTACTTTTGTATGACATTTCACATTTTCGGTGCAGATAGGAAGGTCCGAAAAAGAGATGTATGTCGAAATTCGGCTTAGAAGTTCTTCCCCATAAAAATCGCCTTTCTCAAGACACTTTGTGATTGATGTTGATGATGACGAGGAAGAAGAGCCATTCAATTGTACAGAACCATCACCAGCACTAGTACCTGCAAAGGTCCATATAATTCCTTGTGTGATGAAGAGCATCAAGTCAAGTGGTTCTCCTGCTCGGATCACATAGCTATTCTCCGTGTAGATCACTGGCTTCAGATGGTCGCAAATCATTTTCAATACCCTTTCATCAATGCTTTGAAGCATTGGTACCTATACATACACACATACATACATATCGATAGCTCAGATTAATTCAATAGAAGAAATATTTACGTTTTGGTTTGGAGAAATTATTGTATGGCTGAAGTACGGTCACATGGTATAGTTAGTTCACGTGTTAAAATATGAGTGGACAACACAATTAATATTTCCCACTTTTAAGCTATGGTATTAATAAATGTCCCTTTATATTTTGGTACTAAAGTACGGTCACGTGGTATAACTAGTCCATGTATTAAAATTTGAGTAGACAACATAATTATTATTTCTCACTTTTAAGCTATAGTATTAATAAATATCTATTTATATTATAATGCGTGGATGATATATACCACGCTATATTTACTTTAAAAACATAAAAATAAAAATTATAGCTAGCTAGAGAGGTGAGCATTGGAACATCACGTACTTTCTTTAGTGTATTCATACAGAGGTGGCGCTTGATAGATTTCTTGTTATTCCGTGAGAGAATAGAGAATAGATTCTCTACATCAACATCTTTATCTTGTTCCAATCTTTGTTTGACATTTTTCATAATCACGGTCTTCATATCATCGGGGAGACCATTTCTAGACATCCACAATTGGATCTCTAGGTCTTTCATCATCATCTTCTGGCATATCTCCTCCGATTTTGTAGTTGCCAACTGTATATATGTCTGTCTCACCACAAACAAGCTTATACAATGTTGTTGATACATATGCTCTAAAGCTTAATTTGATTCGAAGAAAAATATACATAAATAATAATAATAATAGAGAGGTAGATTGTTTCCCAACCTGGACATTTCCGATCAGATACAAGAAGAGTAGCAAGCCAATAACAGAAATTAGAATTGCAAAGCAATTTTCCCACACGTAATTACTTGTATCTAAATTCGTTCCAAAGTTACTGCAATGGAAAAATATATAAAAGGATTAACTTAGTAAACTCCCCAAATTATAAGGATTATTACAAACTCATATTCAACTTTTAAAGATCCATTTGACTGGTACTCGAATTTAACTAAACCTTTCAAAAGACACCCTCCGTTAATAAGATTGATAAAAATTATGTTAACTGCTAATGTGGCATCCACATAGATTGAAAAATTAATAAAAAATTTCTTATTTTTCAAATGAATGAATTTTTAAAAGAATATAACATAAAAACTAAATAATAAAAAAATCATTGCAAAATGATATGCATAATACGAACCTGAGATTTCGCAAGCCCCACCAATAAGAGTGAAAGAATTTTTGCACAAAAGGTATTGACTCTGACTTAAGGGCATGGACAAATATTCCAAAATCAAATCTTGTGGAATTTGGTGGATCTAATGGGCAAGCTTCACTTAGGAATTTGACTTTACTTGAAGTTATATTGTCATTTCTCAAACTAAAGTCATCGCAATGAAAATGATACGTAGCTATACAATAATTTTCAGTACTTCTTTGACAAGCTTGATGCCAACATGATGTCTCTCGCTGTATGGAAAAGAAGTACCAAAAACCTCCGAGAACCTAATTAAACAAGCAAATTAGTGAATGATAAAATAAAATTGTATCTAGAAAAATAATGCAACTCCATGAAAGGCAGAAACGAATAAATAAAGGTGACGAGCGAGACGCAACTTACATGACTAGCAAGGATGTATAGGAAAAAATTGAATGCACCTCTAACCCATCTTTTGATTCTTGTAAGTTCCTCATATGATACGTATATTCGATAAACTCTTGGCAAATATTGGAAGAGGATTAGGGAGGTCATAATACCCATTTTGCGAAAATACTCAGAGCTTCTCCTTTTGAAAAAGACAACTCCTATTGCCACCTGCATGGCAAAAATAATTACAGTGGGTTGGACTTAGATCATCACGCCAAAGGTTAGATGATTAGATCCTTTCCTCTTCTTGTGTTAAGCAAAAATATCAATTACTTGAATTACATCTCAAATATAAATTAATTTTCTCTTACTTGTGGGATTGGAAGAGCAGCAAGAAAGTCAACTAGGATGGAAAACCAGGGAATTGCCCTAACCAACTCGTGTCTTCTGCACAACCAATCAGCCTTTCCTCTTCTTGCTACCTGCTCGGAGGCCACAATTTTCGCCGTGACACGAATTTGATGAGCCATATGGATTACGAAAGTGAGGTCCATGAGCGATCGGAGAAGAAGGGCTGTAGTTCTCAACTTTTTGTCCTTTCCAAGGCACTTGTATTGCTCGTTGATGTTTGGAATGTAAAAGAACAAAGGATCCAATGAGACTGCAACCACACATGCAATTACGAATATTTTGTTCCATAATGGAAGGAAGGCCCCTTGTGGGTCAAAAATTTCCTTTGCTGTTGGCCATTTTTTCCTTGCTGAATTTCCTTCACCTCTTGCAGGAGGCTTCTTGCCGGAACTGATAGAAATACATACAGAATGCAGGCACTGTAATGTAAAAGAAAAACTTTTTTTTTTTTTTTGTTTTTTCATAAAGAAAACAAGTTGGCACCAATTAAGTAACACGGAAAATTTTAAAGGATAAGGTCTTCACTCCTCGCATGATATAAGCCTACCTCATACGAGGGGTGAAGGCTTTATCCGTAAATATTTATGGAAACTCTCAGACAAGTCTTGACTCGTACATAAAGAAAACAAGTTGGCACCAATTAAGTAACACGGACAATTTTAAAAGATAAAGTGTTCACTCCTTGCATGATATAAATATTATTTTATTTTAAAGGACAACTTTATCCGTATATAAAGTCTTCACTCCTCGAATTTTATTTTATTTTTAATTTGAATTTTTGAGAGTTTTCATAAATATTTGCCTGGGCATTTCGAACTTCTACCCGCATAATTTGTAAAGGGTCTATAATTATAATTGTGTGCATCCCATTTTTATGAAGAATTTAAAATTAGCCCAAGGCCCAAATTTTTGAGTTGGTGAGGGCAGGAAGCTAGTCCCCTTGCAAGTTTGAATCCCCCTCCCCATAAATTGGATTAATTTAGAGTAAATTATTACTTGTATAAAAAACATAATAAGAAACAAACACTCCACATATACTATGAATATTATAAGCATGTGAGGTAGAACTTGAGAGGATTTTACTTCGTTTTTGCAAAGGCAAATAGGGGTGTAATATTAATTTTTCAAAAATGGTTGGCAAAATGAATTCTCAAAAATAATAATATAAGATAGGAGATGTAGGTTATGCTAGTTGATCATGGCATTTTTCCACCCCCCCTGCACCCGAGTTCAAAGTGCCATCTCGTGGATTAGAGTAGTTTAATAGCGGTTTGTAATAATAATAATAATAATAATAATAATAATAATAATTGTATTAAAATAAGATTGATCAAGAAACATAATCTATCCTAACATAAAATAAAAAACAAATCCAAAGAAACTAAACCTTAGGACAAAACTTTCAGGATTCACAAAACTCTCGTCAGGATTCACAAAACTCTCTTCGACATTTACAAAGGTCTCGTCTGGATTCATTACTACAGCAGAGTCAAAGAAACTTTATGGGTACCACAACGTTGTTTCGTTGGTCCTGAAAATATATAGAAAACTTAAGATGATAAGTAAAAGGCTTAACAAGTGTTCAACCAAACGTCTAGCAAAACAAAATTAGTAATTGAAAATGGATGAAGGGTGAGCAGAAGAGGGATATAACAGACTACAGAGACACAAGTTTGATGAAAATATTTATTTGAGGAATTCAAGCTTCAAGTGACAATACTAAACTGAAAATTAACCTACCTTGCTATTAATGGCCTGGATGCAACAGCAAGAGTCCAGGAGTAGGGAGGAAGCTAAAGTTGGTAGGGATATTGCAGCAATTCCATTTTCTATTTTATAGACTTATTTTATGCTGCAGCTGGGAGTCTGGGACATTGCATAAAGTAAAAACTTGGGTTCACTTTACTTTTCAGAAACTTTATGTATTTGGTAAATTACTTTCAAAGAAAAATATATTGACTCTGGAGGAAAATACATGCATAAAATGTTTTATTTTTATATTTGGGATTTTTGTAGAAATGTCACTTGAATTTATACCTCATTTCAATTAGTCACATTAAAGAAAAATTTAAGAGAAATGTCATCCTAATTTTTTCAAAATCCATGATTTGTCATCGGATTTTAATATCATCCAATTTTCCATCCATTTTTAAGGGTATTTTAGTCTTTCCATTTTCAAAGAAAAAAAGAGAAAAAAAAGAGACATCTCTCTCTTTCTGCCCAACCCCAACCCCACCCGTCCCCAAAACACATCTCACAAGACCCCATCTTCTCTCTCTCTCTCTCTAAGCATGTATAAATTTTTTTATGGTGTTCATTGAGCATGTTTGAAATTTTCAGATACCTGATTTAAAACTACTTAAGCATCCTACCAAAATCCAACCCCTTTCGTATCTTTATAGTTTCATCAACTTATGTGTTTCTGTTGAAGGATCTAAGTTTGCTTGGTATTATGTAGGCTACCGAATTGTTGGTTTGGTAGATGTCCTTCAACTATTTTAAATATGCAAATGGAAAAATACCAAAAAGAAAAAATAAGAAGAAAATGGTGGACTCGGTTTGGGTGGGTTAAGGGAATTTTTGTGTGGAGGGTGGGTGTTCCATGGTAGAGAGAGAAGGAGGAAGGGGGAATGGATTTCAAGGTGGGTAGGCTTGGTTGGAGCCGTCGGTGACACACAGGGGATGAATGAAGGTGAGATTTTTTTTTTTAATTGTTTAAAATATATACAATTTTTTTATTATAATGATTTTTCCATTTTAAAAAAACCCTTGAAAATGGAAAGAGTAAAATACCCTTAAAAATGGATGGAAAATTGGATGGTATTAAAGTCGGATGACAAATCATGGATTTAGAAAAATTAAGTTGTCATTTCTCGTAAATTTTTCTCTAAGTTGACAAATTGAAACTAAGGAACAAGTTCATGTGACATTTATACAAAAATCCCTTTATATTTTAAAGTTTTTTTTTTAGTACAAGCGATAGTCTAAATTATATGGAATGAGGATTTTTCACATACATACACAACTATGATACTTTAGGGATTCGAACTTGAGACCTTTAGTCTGCAAGTCAAAGGCCCTTTTTCAACTAGGTTAGACCTCATTAGCTTTTAAAGCTTGTGCTATGCTGATAAAGAGAGAGAGAGAAAAGGATGAAAAAAAAAAGCCAAGTAATGCTTTTTTGTAAAAAAAAAATTAAAAAAATGTGTTGTGATATACTTAACGACACAGAACGAAAATGTCTTTTTAAAAAAGTTGTGTTCTTTTAGAAAAGTTGATGGAATCTATAAACAGAGGCAAATAATGCATCCTGCTTTTTGCCCTGGACTAATTGTAGAATTATTTGTAACCACCCTTTTTTTTTTCTTCTGCTTTTTTCTGGAGTGATACTGACCAAGACCCTTATCCACATCTCTCGCTCCCCCTGTATGCTCTACCTAAATATCTTCTTCAATCAGGTTGACTCTGTTTCTGCTATAATTGCATTTTAAAAGGCCTCCTATATAATAGATTTCTCTTTGTTTTTCTTTCCTCGGTTTGTTTTTCATAAATAGACCTACAGCTGCTTCAAATCCAGAATTTGTAAATTGATTTATTATTTTATGTGACGACTTAAAATAATTTGTTTCAATTTTTAATCATATATTTGGTCCCGTAGATAAGGAAGAGGAAAAATAGAGAAAAGAAAAAAAAATCTATAAAGAGGACGTGGAAACGGAAAATATATTTGATGTCCTTCACTAACCATGGACATCACTTTTTCTGAAGAAGAGCGTAGATGAAGAATTGGGCCCTTTACTAACAATGAAGCTCTCCTCACTATAGGTCTTGAGATGCACACCCATAACCCATTGCTTTCAGTACTTTTTCTTCCATGAAGCATCGGAACCTAGATGACCGAGTTAGATATAGACGCAATATATTACATTTAAGAAAAATAAAGTGTAGACATGGTTTGGGTGTAGCCTAAACCAGCCTATAACGTTATTCATTGACAGACATGGTGGGTTTAGCTAAGTTGGCTAGAGCGGATGTGCTAGCTCTCCACTTTGCATCCGAGTTTAAATTCATCTTCTCGTAATAATTTAGATTAGATTAAAGTAGAAATCGCTTGTATCAAAATATATATGGGTGTCTACTCTCTTCATTTCTAGGTGTCTTTAGTGTTTTTGCTTCAATTAACATGAATTAATGTTTCTTAACTTGTCATGAGTGATAAAGAACTTGAACTTCACCGTAGCATGTATTTCATGCTACATGTGCTTAGCGACCAATCAAGAGGTCATGATTGATGCGATCTAAAGGGGCACTACTGGGAAAGCTACTAGATAGAAGGCTGAATAACACTGAGGCCAAAGGGAAGACTATTTGGTAGCACATTCTTGTTCTATGCTCTCTGTCGACAGGTTATGTTGCTTTTGCATGTAGCAATATAATCGTGGGGATAAAACAAAGTGGGGTAAGCATAGCTTCGAGAGGTCAAATGTTGGTTTAGTTTGGGTTGGTTCAGTTTTGAGCACATACAAACCACCAAACTAAGAGCCTCTGTGGACCAAATATCAGCATCAACGCGGTACCAACAATTCAGAAAACCAACGTTGGTAAATCGAAGGAGCAATTCAGTGTAGCCCAATTTCAGTTTTCGAGAGAGACAAGACGAGGCAATAAGAATATAAAATAATATATATCAGACCAGTAGCATAGAGAAAAAGAGAAACAGAGTCAAAGTCATAAAGAAGAGAGAATCCATAGGAGAAAGAATGAGAAGTGCGTTAGCATGGATAGTTTATGAATATCCTCATTATATAACACAAAAACATATGTTTAATTTCTTTTTAATACAAACGATAGTTTAAATTATAATGAGAGGAATATTTCTCACACACACACTACTAAGGTGTCATGGAAGTTCGAATATGAAATGACTAGTATCAGTGGCGGAATCAGGATTTCACATTAGAGGGGGCCCTTCATAAACTTTGTCTTCTCTTCATAATTATCATGAATTTCATATTTTAAATTAGTTAAATACTAATATCATCATCTACACTATTAAAGACTTCAAATTTGATCATTTATATTCCAAAAGAGAAAAGAAATAGAAAAACAAAAACAAAAAAGAGTTCATAAAGTGCAAGATTAAGGTACCCAACTCATACATAAAAAAAATGAGGAAAATAAAAAATTCATAAAGCTTTAAACAAAAGAGGAAGAGAAAGAAAGGTTAAAACTTTAGGAGTTTTTAATGCAAATATCATAAACTAACCTAGAAGATTTAAGAGAGATGAGTAAAAGAGAGACAAGAAATTTTATGGTTAATTTGTAGACAAAAAGAACCTAATATATTATTTTATTGTGAAATAAATATGCTAAAACTAATATAATATATTATAATATTATATCATATATAATATACAAATAAATAAATAAATAATTGGAGTGGGGGCATGGAACCACACTGATCCCATGCTGGCTCCGCCACTGACTAGTATGCTAGTCAATGTTTTTTTTCACTAGGCTATATCATGTTGACACACAAAAACATATGGTCGTAATCGTAGATGTTAGGTTTTGGGCCTTAGACCCATTGTAGTAGGTTAGCCCACTGCATACGAATATTCCAATTAGTTTGGATATTCTAAATGTATGATATACATTACATTACCATCTTGCAAACATATTAGAACAAGAAAATATTTTCACTATTAATTAGTCGATAAAAAAAAAAAAGGTACATCCTATTAGAACACGTGAGCAACGTGGGAGTGGGTCCCAGGCCACGTGATTCGTTCCCCATATGTCTGCGCTGTTCTCCGTAACTGCATGTGCGCATCCTGCTGGACGAATTCAATTCGCCAGCGTGGCATTTTGAATCGGGGAAACAAAATCCTCACATGTCACGTAGCACATTGTAGCATTGCTCAGCCGAGAAATGCTGTGCTCCAATAGAAGCAACACCCACCTGGCGCACGTTAGACAGATACAAAGCACGTGGTCCTGAAATCAAAGAGAGAGCAACTGACAAAACTCGTACGTTTTGCAGTTTGCATTTTTAAAATTAACTGTGTTATAATAGTACTAATCATTGATTGTATTTTTTTTTTGCAAACTCCAGTCTCCATGGAAGTGTGTGCTAGCTAGCTTTCTGTTTGGTGGTCAAATGTTTGACGGTGATTAAGGGCATGCAGATGCAGTCAACAAATCTTGATCATACGTGATCTGGATTAAAATGATTCATGAGGCCAATCATGAACAAATGGCCAATTTCTTTTTGGTTTTTATTGGAAAGGTCAAATGAATCAAAGTAGAAAATAGACAATAAAAGGTGCCGAGTCACATTAGGGCTTGTAGTGACTTGACTTCTATAATTCATAATAAGCTTGCAATTGTTTACAAAATTTTAATATCTGCAATTGTAAATCGCGAAAAGAAGTTTGATTCCCACAGTTTGCTCTTATTTCACTTGGTTCATTTTCTTTCTTTCTAGGCGAAGGGATGACCACTTGTATGGCTATTCGGTTTGCAAAATGGATGTCTTGTCTATTGTTAAATTTTAAAGAGACGGACGAGTGACCTACTACTAGTAACACCAATATTGTACCGAACTTAACTATTTACAAAGCCCAGTAGTTGGAGTTTTATTATAAAAAAAAATCTCGGTATTATTAAGAATGGAACCACTTATTATAAGTTGTAATTTTTTCAATTAAGTTTCTGGTGCGGGACTTTACATTGTTCAACACATATTACCTCATGATGCTTCTTTTGTGTTAAATAAAGCATTTTTTTTTACTCCCAAATTTTTTTTTATTTTAAAAATTGCACTTACTATGATCTCAGGATGATTCTTTTGTTTAAAGAAATCATTTTTTCCAAAAAAAAAACTACACATGCATCAAGTGTGGCGTTTCTAGTATAAAGAATCCCATTTAAAAATTAGAACATATCTAAACTATAAAACAACATATATGACTTCACGTTTAAACAGTAAGTGAGAAATGCTTGTTGGCTCTCATGTGAGACCCCCAAGTTTTTTTTTGGGTACTTAAAAATCTATTTTCTCAACATACCTTCTAATGGATGATACAGTAGAAAAAAAGTATGAGCTTGTCAATGGAAACAAAAAAATATTTACGGTATGAAGAAAGAGAAATATAGAGGAGGAAAGGGGTGAGAAAATAATATTTGAGAATAAAATGGTTGAATATTATATTCAACCATTTGAAACCCATGTTTGGTAAGAGAAAATAATATAGGTTGTGTTTGGTATGTCTCACTGGATTGGACTGTGTTAAATAGCACTTGAAATCCATGTTTGATAAGATAGGGGACTAACTTAAATGGTATTGTTTAGTCCAACAGTGAAAAAAATGCCTGACTCGCTCGTCTAATACAATCAGACTGAAATGTGGTTCACAAATTAGCACACGAGCAATTTTGAACGGGCGAGTCCGACACTGGATTTTCTGGAGAATTGAGAATGAAGTCACTTAGCTTGAATCAAAACCTCCCCCACTATCACAGTCAAACCGTCACAGCCTCCACTATCAAATCTATCACTACCACCATCAAACCCATAACCAGCCACCATAGACCCAATCGAACCATCATCACCCCCACACACAAAGGAGAGAGAGGATGGGTTGATGGTTCGATTGAGTTTGCAGCGGCATGAAGAGAGAGTGAAAAAAAGAAAAGGAAGAAGAAGAAAGAAAGGAGAAAAGAGGAATGACATAGTTTACCTTTTCTTTGTACTTCTTGTGCACTCTCTCGCACTACCACCACCACCACCTTCACCTCCTTCACTACACAAGCGCTACGTTCGCCTCCATCATCTCCACGATCCACCACCACCACCACCTCACCACCATCACGACCACTACCACCTACATAACCCCCACCACCTCTATTACCACCACATGCACCGCCTCCATCACCTGATTATCACTCAAAACTTTCAACATCATGCCAATTTTAGTCATTATCCACAAAAATAAATAGTTTGACACTATTTTTTATACTCACAACATTTAAAAAATAATGTTTACCAACTGTGGAACTACTTTATTTTACAGTTTATTATTATTATTATTATTATTATTTTATTTAATACAAGTGATAGTTTAAATTACAAGGGAAAGAGGGATTTCACACACATACACACTCCGGGGCTTGAACTTGAGACTACTAATATGCAAGTCAATGCTCTTTTCTACTAAACTATACTCTATATGCTACAACTAATTATTTTCAAAACACAATATAAGTAGAGTTTTTAAAAAATAGTTACAACAGTACCAAACTAACCATCACTCTGAAATTTCAAGTGGTAGTATATTTGAACTGACTCGGTTCCCCATCCGGTGCTCGAGGCTCTCTGCTTTGATTCTTCTTGTATTGGTTGTCCTCACGACTTCACTTATCATTTTATTTTCCTTCTTTAAAAAAAAAGAAAAAAAGTTGAAAAATATCATTTATCTTTTAAGCCACATGGAAAATCGTTTTTAATTTCAGGAAATAAGTAGGACATCAAATTAAAGAAATAATAATAAGAGAAGAAAGTAGAGATGTTGAAGTTGGACAGCTACCTACCTGTGTCGGCGTACAAGGCAGCATACCCATTACCCATAATCGCACTCTAAAGTCTAAACCAGTCTCAGAAGCCAACCCAATCCAACCCAACCCAAGCCGAGGAAGGAAAGGATAGAGAGAGAGAGAGAGAGAAAGACAGAGAAAGAAGAAGAGAGAGAAAACAATACCAGAGCTTTACTTAGAAAGTTGGCTACAGTTTTCTTCACACCATCATTAACTTACTTACCAAATTCAGATAACAGATTCTCACATTTCCCATTTCCTCACTTGGACAACTGAAACACCCCCAAAACGGCACCGCTTTTGAGCAATGAGTGCGCGCAGTGGTTGGCGATCCGTAGATTGAAATTTGAATCCGCCATTATTATTAGCTTGCAAGAATGGCGTGAGCTTGGAGCAAATGCCAAACCAGAATCATTGACTCTTTCTACTTCGGAGGCATTGCTGTAATTTATTCGGGACCAGTGGATCGAGCTGAGCAGCAAGCAATGGAGTCAAGAATGGATCAGTATGAGCTTATGGAGCAGATCGGCCGCGGAGCTTTCGGAGCTGCCATTCTCGTCCACCACAAGGCCGAGAAGAAGAAGTAATTGATCTTAGCACACACAAGTGGATATGTATCTAATGTGTTTGTGGATATGCTTGTGTGAATTTGTGTAGTGTATGGATCAGATTTGAGGCTCATTTGGTTTTGATGAATTTTTCAGGTATGTGTTGAAGAAGATCCGCCTTGCAAGACAAACCGAAAGGTGCCGGCGATCCGCTCATCAAGAGGTAAGTTCAATCCAATGCTCCAGCTCCTGATTTTCTTAGTGTTGCATACAAATTTCCTTCTATTTCGTACAGATTTAGTTTCCTTACATTTGTGTGGAAATTTGGAATTTTAGATGGCTCTTATTGCCCGAATTCAACACCCATACATTGTCGAATTTAAGGAAGCCTGGGTTGAGAAGGTTAGACACATTTGATATTGTGTATGTGTGTTGGATAAACCTATGTCGGATTTGTAGTTTTTACTTTTTGAGCTTTTCGTGTTTGCGTTGAATTGGAAGTGTTGTATTCATAATGTAGGGTTGCTATGTTTGCATTGTCACTGGGTACTGTGAAGGTGGAGACATGTGAGTTGTCACAGTTATTACAAACTTCATTTATTTGGCAATGTGCCTAGGTCCTTAATATTTTTAACCAGTTTTTCATCTATAAATTTTTCAGGGCTGAGTTGATGAAGAAGTCCAATGGGGCTTATTTTCCCGAGGAGGTGAGTATACTGATCTCTTTGTTCAAATACGCTAATGCACACACTGGTATTTTAGAATTCAATCTTACGGTTAGCTTGTGTTGGTGAATGTGGGAATTGCTCAGAAACTCTGCAGGTGGTTCACACAGCTACTATTGGCAGTTGAATACCTGCATTCAAATTATGTTCTACATCGTGACCTAAAAGTATGGTTGCCAACACTAGCACTTGTCATCTCAATTTGCAGTTTAAGGTTGATCAAGATTCATCTGTTTTGCTCTTTTTGCAGTGTTCTAACATCTTTCTTACCAAGGATCAGGATGTTCGTCTTGGTGAGTTCAAGATGGATTTGACAATTGTTTAGGACATATATATCTTCATATTGTTTTTCAGATGATAATGTGTTTGTTCTTATTTTGTTCATCGTGATCTTGTCTGTATATAGGGGATTTTGGTCTTGCGAAAACTTTGAAGGCGGATGACTTGGCTTCTTCGGTATGTGCTACAATTTTCTTTACATCCAATGAACTATGCGTACAGCAATGATCTCTAGGTGTTTAGCTCATATCTAATGCTTAAGAAGTTTGATATCTTTAATTTCTGGTATTATAACGGTGCAATATAGTTCTAGAGGTTGATAAATGACCCTGCTATGTGTACAGACATTTAATAGTATAGACTAAAGTTTAATAATAAAGGAAGATATTAAAACATTAGATAGTTATACTAAGTTGGCAGTCTTGTATAAAGATACTGCTCTACCTAAATTTTTATATTTTATATTTTTACTTTTCTTTGTGCTTATTGACGTTCAATAATGTAACTTGAGAATATATGAAATTTCTCTTTCTTTTGCATGATAACTTTTGTCAGATGTACTTCCGTTCACATTCTAGCTTATCCTTTTAAGATTTAAGCAAATGAATGTTTAGACGTTCAGAGAATAATATCAAGGGGTCAAAGCGAAGTTTTTTTTTACTATTAAATATAAAATGAAAAGGTTCTTTTTAAGCATTCAGTTATTAGCCTGTGCTGGTGATAGAGACTTTAGTGCTATTTTGGAATTAACAGTGTTCCTGTACTTCTGTGTGCAGGTGGTTGGGACCCCCAATTACATGTGCCCTGAACTGCTTGCAGATATTCCTTATGGCTTCAAGTCTGATATTTGGTCTCTAGGTATGTTGTCTTATATATATGTCTACGTATATGTTATTTTTTCTGTGGCTGAAATGGTTGATTTTTCGCCAGGGTGCTGCATATATGAGATGGCTGCTCATCGACCAGCATTTAAAGCTTTTGTAAGTTTTCTTACAGTTCTCTTGGCATTAATTCTTTGTGTTCAATATGATTTTATGGGAATTCAAATGTACCAGATGATCAAATAATTTTTCCTTTTTACACAAAGCAGTAAATAGCATCTTGAACTCCAATTTATTACAAAAAAAGTAGAGGAAAACAAGAGAAGAAAATCCTAGTGGTTGTGTATTTTTTTAAAATCTGATTTGATAGGAATTCTCATCATGGTCCTGTGATGGGGTGATTCCCTGTGCACTTTAGCAATGGTTCCATAAATGTATTTGAAGTGGCCAACAATGTTCCTGAACCTCAACTTTTAATTATACCCCAAATAAGAAAAATATATTCAAGTAATTTGTGTCATTGACGGAGTCCAATTCTGATCTAAATGGCCTTTCTTCTTGTAGTGGAGGCCTTCATAATATCATATATCCTGTGCAAACCATCTGATGGGCAGTTTACATGCTTTTAAACAGTTTATATGTTTGGGAAGACAAACTGCTTCAGGTGCTGTTTTCCTCTTTAAATTCCACCATCTGTTGGGGTTCTTTTTTTCTTCCCCACCATTTCTTTTCTGGCACCATGGAAATGCCTGGTTCAAAATGATGTGTGATAAAAAGTTTGTGCTCTCACACATTGTTAACTGCTTTCTTCAAGTAGTAAACGTTTTTTGTTAGAAGGGAGGCCAGAGGGGCAGGGGGGAATATGATCTCTGGCCTTGGTGTGGGGGAAAATTTTCTCTACCATAGGAGCTACAAGGCCCCACTCCTTAACTAGTCAACTTTATGCTGTCATGAACCATATAAATATCTTGACTAGTTATTCTTATCAGAAGTTGAATGTTTGCATTACACCTGTTGTTTCAGGATATGGCAGGATTGATAAGCAAGATTAATCGTTCCTCTATAGGTCCTTTGCCGCCTTGCTATTCCCCATCCTTGTAAGTTTTTATCTTCTATTGTTAAGTTTCATCTTCTTCGAGTTATGTTTGTGTTCCTAATTATTTTACCTGGACTTGGCTCTTGCTCTGCATTACTGTGCCTTCTGCCCCTGTATCATGAAAGATATATATAAATATCAATAGGTGCAGACACACACATAGAACTACACATATTTTGAAAGGATGTACATAAACATGTCAACACAGGCGTTCGGTTGGTAATATTAAATGCTTTTCCTGCTTATAAAAAGAGTGGAGAAACGTAATTTTCACTTTTGGTTTTCGTCCAAATAATTGCTTTACTGTATATTGTTGAAAACTGGATGCTCTATAGCATGTTAATCAATCTTTCGGCCATTGTACATGCAGGAAAACACTAATCAAAGGCATGCTGAGAAAGAACCCTGAGCATCGGCCAAGTGTAAGTGTCTCTCTAGGATACTCTACTCAACTTTCACAATTTAGAGCAACTGCATCCTAATAATTACGACTTCCACTTTGTCAGGCATCTGAGGTTTTGAAGCACCCTTATTTGCTGCCTTATGTTGAACAGTATCGCCCATCCTTTAGCACTCGAACAGCCTTCTCTCCCGATAAGCCTATATCTAGAGCTCGTGAATCTCGAAGAAACATGGCAGAAAGCCAAAACAGTAATGGTTCAAGCAGTGATAAAGACAGTTTGCGTTCAATTGAGAAAAACATTCCAGAAATGGTGTCAAACTGTGATAATAAAGCTACTGAGACAGATTTTGTTTCTCTTGAGGATGAAGATGTCTCTGAGCAGCTCCTGCCTATTGAAGAACATGGCCCAAATGTTTGTTCTGTTAAAGTGGAACAACAGTTGATGAAGCCTTCTCATTCTGAATCCAATGTTGAATTCAGGCAACCAAAAACCATTAGGAATATAATGCTGGCTTTGAAAGAAGGAAAAGTTAGGGAAAATAGTTCACCAATGAGAAGTAATCGTACAAAGGTTGGTGTGTCCACCCAGAGAACTAACACAGAAGCAGTGTCTAAAATACCCAGGCTGAGTGATGTTTCTCCTGGTATCAAGTCCAGTCCTGATACATCCACTGTTGCATCATCAATGGCAATCCCTGATTCTGCAAAACGGACACAGGGATCCCATCCTTTAAAGCATCCGGTAATAATAATGTTTAAATTATTTATTTATATTAAATATGTGGATTCAACTGATTATTGATGTATTGTGGTTTATTTTTACAGTTACCCATAGTTGACTCCTCACCAAAACCTAAACCCAGAAATGATGGTACTCCTCCCCCTGTTCCTATAAAACAATTTTTTGATGATGGAATTCCTAAGCCTAGGCAAAGGACCCCTCCTACGCTGGCTAGACGTTCAACATTTCCTGGACGGATGAAGCAAGTGGGGGTTGATGTTCCAAATGCAGTGAGCTATGCTCCGAGGATAAGTGCTAGAGAGATAACACAGGAGCCTGAAAAGAATCCTCCTCAAGTGCCTAACGGTTGCCTAACAAACTTTCCTAGAGAGGTCACAGAAGAGCCTCAAAGATATCAAGAGACAATTTCGAAAGGAATGCAGACGGATAGCAGCAATTCTATCTCCTCTTCTGTTTCAATTCAAGGATTTGAGATTTGTGATGATGCAACGACTCCTTTTATTGACATGACCGAGCAGATGCTTCCTGATTATGGGAGTGTCACACACACTGAGAGTACAGAATCTCCACCAAGTTGTTCAGCTGCTACTCATTTTCATTCAGTGATGTCTGAGACTGCAAAAAACCATAAGCATGATAATAAATCAGAATGCTTAATTGAAACCTCTGAGGCTATTCTAGATCTTCACAGTACAACAGCTGGTGACGAACAAGTGAATTTAACTGCCGCTCTTGATCTCCCTGTCCCGGTTTCTGAAGAAAGATTTATTTGCAATGATCATACCCCTGTAAATAGGCCCAGTAGTACGCCTGGTACAGTGTTGCAGTCAAAATATACATCTACATCAAGTGGTCATGACAAGTTCACTGTAAGGGAACTTCTATCCCCGGTTGCAGACACTGCCCTTTCTTTGGACCAAAAAAAAGACACTACCCTTTCTGTTCCCCCTCCCATTTCGTCAAGCCAAAATTTATTTCAGCCAGATAGAGGAACCAGCTTGCAAACTCCGTCAGGTGAAAAGGCAGCCGCTGCTAATCTTCCTCCCGCTTTTGATGATGTCATACATGTAATACGGCATAGTAGTTTCCGTGTCGGGAGTGATCAGCCAGTAATGGAATCTGTGGAGATGGGGGTTCAGAATGTGGATGTTGGGAAGCTGATAAATGTAGTAAGGGACGAATTGGAGATGCGAAATGTGACTGTTCCTATTGCTCCTAAATCCTCAAACTGCTCTGAAACAGTAAGCCCGAAATCCAATAATTCTGATCACTCGGATGCCAAAGAAACTGAGATGAGGAACCTTGTACCGTCAGCTCAAAAATCTGATTCCTCTGAGCCAACAAAGCCCAGTCCTCCTATGACCGAAGAGGAAATACCAGAAAAGGAAATAATGGATGTCAAGTCTTTTAGGCAGAGAGCAGAGGCACTAGAAGGACTACTAGAACTATCTGCAGATTTGCTGCAGCACAACAGATTGGAGGAACTCTCAGTTGTTTTGAAGCCTTTTGGGAAAGATAAAGTCTCCCCAAGGGAGACAGCTATCTGGTTAGCAAAGAGTCTTAAAGGATTGAGGATCGAGGAAGGCGGGCGGAGTTCGTGAAGCTCTCTCTATAGTAAGCTTTCTCTTGTTGATGTTACTTGAAACTGCAACACTAATCTCAGCCTTTTGTCACGCCTCTTGAAAATTCAAATCCATTTTGAATTCCAAAGAGAACAACCAGGTCTCAAGGTTTTTTTTTTTCTTTCTTCAATTTGTAATTCTTTGAATGCATTCGGTTGTTGTACATAGTGACCATACGAATTATAACATTGTCTTCTAGCCAAATGTATGATATGCTGTTAGCTTGCAGCCAATGTTATTATTGGGGTTGTAACAAAACAAAAAATTAGTATTGCTTAAATTGTCTATCAGGTTTGTTCTTCGTTGTCGAAATCTGAAGAAACGATAACTGTTCTTTACTCATGACATATAAACCTAATGTTTATGTTTAGGGGCTACAGATAAATTCTTTGGTTAAGATTGAAATAATCTTCTCTATAATCTGATAAAGGTGATTATTAAGCTCAGTGAAAAAGGCCTCTAATATGTGGGCTTCAATTCCACGCATGCAAATCTGGCAAAGCTAAGAGTTTGTATTCCATACGGAAAAGAATTCAATGGTTATCTACAAGTTTAAAGTTAACTCTTAAGAATTTTATAAAGAAAATGTTTCAACACAAGCAAATTCGAATTCAAATTCAGAGGTTATCGAGGCTATTGAGGAATTAGAATTATAAACAAACAACTCCCTCCCCTCCCTGGTCATTCGTAGCAAGCTGACACACAAACCCTAAACCATAAACTCTAAACATGTGTATAGGAGCAGTGAGGAAGAATGATGAAGAATCGCCGCACGTGGCAGTCGAGATTGATAGAAAAAAATTACAGCCAAGGGAAGAGTTGGCAGTGAAGAATGAAGGAAAATCGGCAGACCAAAAGGTGGATGAGAAAACACCTCTGCTTCCTTCCTCATCAGGTAACAGTAAGACCACCAGGGCTGAGGAGGCGCCCTGTGATGTACAGAAATGGCTGCAATCGGCTGTTTGTTTTGGTTCATTTTGTGTGTGTGCGGTATTGCCGATTTATCTCCAGCAACGTTTTCCACCCCAAGCATCCAACTAGTCTCCTTCTCCGTTGACCGCTTCGACGTGGATGTTGCTGTTCCAGACGCTCAAAGAACTGCTCACTGGAACATCACTTTCTTCCTCAGAAACCCTTATATGGCAGTAGCAGCCTAATTTTTCGAGAGATTTACGCCGAGGTCTTTTACAAGTATGAGTTTCTAAAAGGCTCATTCATGAACCCTTTTGTGCAGCAGCCAAAGGAGACCAAGTTGGTGTCGGCCGCTGTCGTGTCTTCTGCCACAGTGGTCAGCAAGAAGATAGTCAACGCTTTTGTTGCAGAAAGGAGCAGAACTGGAGCTGTAAGTTTCGACGTGGAAATTTTTGCAAAAGTCCTTGAGAAAGGGGGATGGGATGGGAATGGGTATTTGTTCTTCGTCAAAATCCAGAATTTAGGGTTTCTGTCGATTGTGAAAAGTTGAAGGTTCAATTCAATTCATCAAATGCAACAGCAGCTGCTGGATCAATACTGCCAGGAGGGCCACGCGAATGCGGTTTTATGCATGTTGTTTGCTAGTTCTTTCTATACATCATGCTTCATTCTGAACCAGAAATTATATACATGATATGATTGTCTTGACCAACTAGTTGTACATAACTTAAGGTGATTTTAAGTCTGGTAATAAAAACGACACCTATCTTATAAATAATGGATAAAAAGAGATTTGATTATTGGAAGATTTACTATTATACCCAATATAAAGCTCAAATTATAAAAAAAATGTTGATGTACAGTTTTGATATTTCACTTTGATGCCTTTGCATGATGGAGTTCTTGATCACAAACTTTGATATTCCCGTCGACCAATTCTTACTACTAAAAAAAATATCAATGGGCATGAGTATTGGTGTCCACAAAACGAGTTTATATTGACACGTTTTTGGTGTCCTATATGCTAAAAAGCATCCCAATGCAAACCTCTTTTTTTCTGAACACCAATATCCATTCCCATTCATCTTTCTGTGGACACCAGTAACTGTGACAATGATATGAATTTGTTTCTGTTCCTATTATATTTCTTATTTATTAAAATGCCACTGCAATATTGTAAGTCTGGCAACGCACCGATGTACTGCAAATCTGGCAAAGCAAGAGTTTGGCCATTGCTGGAATTCGCATCCCATACGACAAAGAAAAATCCATTGTTATCTACAAGTCTAAATTTGACTTTATTTTATTTATTTATTTTTATACGAGTGATATTAAGAAAAAGGTAATGAGACTTCAAATATTGGGATAAATACTCTTAATTACTTGAATTACAAGATTTTTGCATCTAAATTTGACTCTTAGTAGGTGAATTCGTGAATAAAATAAATTGGGATAAAGTTGGAATGACTTGGTATGAGAACAAGTCATTCCCATTTAAGTAATTTACTAACCATATTGAAATCAAAATAATTGGGATAAAATTGTAAGGTTATTTTTGGAGAACAGGAACCAACGACTCTTAGTTGATTTGGTTCTTGATTTTAAAGGTACGTGATTACAGATTTAAGGTGGGTCTTGCATATATTTCATTCTTTATGTGTTAGTAAAAATCGGGGAAGTCAGGAATTGAAATACTTCCTTTTCTTCCCATACTCATTGCTTGTAAGTAAACATGCCATGAGTGGTTATCTTCTTTAGAACGAATTCCCCTTTTTGAACAATAAAATAAAATAAAGAATCTACCGAATTTAGGAATTAGAAATACAAACAAACAACTCCCCCTTGTTCACCCTTTAAAAGACAACCAACAACGCCAATAACCAGAAATCAGGGGCTTGCTAGATTTTCTTATTAATTCATCATAATCTTCTTTCTGCATTAATTCGTAGCAAGCAAACACACACAAACCCTAAACTTAAACTAAACATGAGTATAGCAGTACAGCAGAATGATGAAAAACCGCCACACGACATTGATAGAGAAAAGTTACACCCAAAGGTAAAGGAAGCAGTCAAGATTGAAGCAAAATCGGCAGACCAAAAGGTGGTTGTTGTTGTAGTTGACGAGAACACACCTCTGCTTCCACCATCACCTAAGAAAAATCTGAAAAGGGCTGATCATGATGAGGAGGAGGAGGAGGAGGAGGATAGGAACAAGTTCGTGACGTGTATTGTCTCCCTGTTTTTAATTGTGACATTATTCTTTTCTGCCACATTATATCAAACACCAAAAGGGTTTTCCTCCTCAAGCATCCAGGTGCACTCGTTTTCGGTTGAGCTCTTCAAAGTCTCTGTTCTCAACTCTCAAGTAACTGCTCTCTGGAACATCAGTTTCTTCTTAACAAACCCTTATAGCATTGTTAGGGTAACTTATCAGGTACTCGACGCCGAGGTCTTTTACAGAGATGAGTTTCTCGGAGGAGCATTGATCAGGCCTTTTGTTCAGCAGCCAAAGGAGACAGAGTTCTTGTCAGTCGCTGTTATTGTCTCCCCCGCAGTTGTTAGCAACCAGATAGCCAGAGCCATTGATGCAGAAAGGAGCCAAACTCGGGCTGTGAATTTCAACGTCAAAATTCATGCAAAGATCCGTGTAGAATGGGGCGGTTGGCGATGGATTTTTGCTAGTGCACCAAGAACGTTTGAGATATGGTTTAACTGTGAAAAGTTGAGGGTTCAATTCTCTTCAAATACGACAGCTGGATCAATATTGCCAGGAGAGACAGCCGAATGCGGCTATGATTCAGAGTATCGATGATCTTCTTATATGTGAATACTAGAGCGTTTGGTTATTATGATTGTATTTGTGAAAAGACTTTTCCATCGTGCATATGTTTAATTTTAATTTCACTTGTTTTTTTTTCTTCTTCTAATATATAATCTTTAATAAATTACCAATATCTTTACTGCAAACACATAAAGTAAGTGATCATCGTGTTAACATATAGATTATTTTGAAATATTATTTGACTAAAGTGTGATTATTTTCATGAAATCGCATATAGGGAACAAAAATAAAAGGTAAAATCAACAACACTTGAAATCTCCTAATAGAAAAGGAAAATTTGGAATAAAAATGGTAAGGGAACCGAAGGTATATACCTCTCATGACAATCAAAATCAATTGCAGAGATTTTTTACGAGCTTCTTGCTGCCAAGGGGCAATAAGACAAATAACTCTAAGTAATATTGTTAGTACCTTCGGACTGTCGGTTGTGTTATCTTAAAAGACATAATCAATCGAAGAGATGATCAACAACGGTGACTTGGAATTAAACTCGTCTTTATGGCAACAAACGTCTCAACAAATATGAACGAGAAGCCCATTCATTACCAGAAAGTGTGATAATTGTACGTAGGTCATGGAAACAATGAAGCTACTATTGTACATGCATATCCAGACATGCCAAGTGTGGAGAAATTATCAAATTCTTACTCGTTATGAACTCACGATTGCACCAAGGGTAGAGGTATGGTTCATCCACAATGTTTCATCACATTGAAGCCACAATTTCTGATCATAACCGAACTTGGTTGAAAGCCTCGTCTTCTCAAGATTCTAATGTACTTTTTCACGGAAATAACATATTTCTTTTGAAGATACGTATGTGAATGAAAGATGTTTTGAGGAGATTAAAAGGGCTTGAAATTAAATTATATTTGTGTCTCAATTTCTTCAAAATAAGAAGTCGTGCGCCTCAAGCTTCCACTACTAGAAAATTGAGCAATACAGACCCTGTTTTCAGAGACTGGTGGACAAACAGTCCCTAAAAAAATGCTATTTGGAACGAAATATTATATCTCTATCTCTAGAAACATCAAAAGACATAAAACCGTCCCTATTGTAATTACTACCCGTATTTTAAAGGAAAGTACTACGTCCATATCGCCGTATATTAGGAAAAAACAAAGTACATAAGAGTATCCACAATGATACTCTCTATTTCTTAGTTAAAATTTAGCTAAAAATATAATAAAGCTATTTTAGGAGCTCTCTAAAAAATTTTAACTCCAACCATACTCCCTAATTTGGAGAGTCATAAATGCTATAACTTTTTTTTGATTGGTCCATCTCTATTAAAAATAAATTAAAAAATAATTAGTATTAAATGAAGGTTTGAAATACTCATTAAATAAAGCAGCATTAAATTATAGGGAATCACTAGGAGTCATTTCTCTCTCCTCAGATTTAAGAGCTCCTAGAGAAGTCCATATTTTAGGAGGTGGATAGGGAGTGTGGTTGGAGTTACATTTTTACGATTTCTCCATAAAATTTATCTAATGAGTTGATTTAAGGAGCCCATTGTGGATGCTCTAATATGCCATTAGGCGCTGATATAAGAAACAATGCCAAAATCCCTTTACAATGATGCCACAATATGAGTCACAGGCTTTTAGTCCCTCAATGTATTAGAGACTGTCTTCAGTCCTTAATGATGTTAGTCCTTCAAACACTGGGAAGGCTTGTGTTTTGGATTGTCATTAGAGATCAACTCAAAAAATTTGGAAGAGGAACTACCTAGCTTGCAGTCCATCAATCCCACATGTCAGCAGCAAAGCGCACAAGGCCTATAGAAGTTGAAAGAAAATCAATCGATGAGTTGCTGAAAGAGGAAGACAAAAATACAAGCTTTGAGCGGGTTGCCCATAGTCTCTCAAATTGTGAATTGGAACTATTCAATTAACTGGCTTGGCGGTCAATCTAGCATGACAGGATTTTTGGGGCCCGTTTGGTTGACGGATTGAACTTCCTAAGAATGAACTTTCCAAGTCTAATCTCATGACGCTAAGAAATGAGGATTATAAAATACTATTTTCTTATATTCCCATGTTTGGTTTGCGTAGTATTATGAATGAGAAGTTCAGTTTCCAACAATATCCTTGAATTTTTTTTTTTGGAAGAAACTTGATTTTATTTATTTATTAAAAGTTATTAATATGAAGAGTTTTTTTAATGGTCAAAAGTGGTATTTAGATATTATAACAAGGATAAGTTAGTAAAAACAAAAAACTGCATTAGATGCTTTCCCCGGGGGGTGTTTCCCAAGGTGAGCCAATGGTATGAAATTCCCCGCTATGAGTTAGGTATTGCAATCCCAGGCATGCATTTACCAACATGGAAATGAAGTAGCTCATTAATTGGTAATTAATACGCTCTTTCAATAATAATTGTGCTTTTTGGGTCGAGCGAAGAGTTTCAGCTGACAGACTTCATATTATAATTTAATGATCAAAACTGTCTAACTTTTAAACTACCAAACATCTCAAACATGTAGAAAAAAAAAAAAAAAAAAAAAAAAAAAAAAAAAAAAAAAAAAAAACAAAAACCAAAAATACAAAACTAAATAAAAGAGGCAACTACAATATTATCAATAACCAAAAACTTAATTGTTTGCTTTCTCAATACACAAACACCAAATACAAGCACAAATTAATCAAAATCCAATCCCCTGTATAAGCTAAGCAGAAATTAAACAATATAAAGAAACAAATAGCTACACAAAGCAAATGTTTGAATTCAAACATAAAAATACATGCATTGACACCCAACCCACAAATTTCAACACAGGTTAACTTATAGTCATAGTGACTGTTGATAGCTAGCTAGCTGAAGGTCGTCGTTGCTGCTCCACATGACTGTTCTTGATGAACCCAACCCCAAAAGTGTAGGCTTATTTTATTAATTATTATATAATAAAAAAAGAAAAAAAAAAAAAAAAAAAAAAAAAAAAACAAAAAAGAAGTTTATAGATTGAGTTGTAATAAGTGATTTTATTATCCTTTACCAAACAGGTTGAACTTTCAAAAATTTCAAATAATCATTTATGGCCCTAGATAAGCAATACGAAACGAACACTTAAAAACATGGACGATTTTGATATTTTTAAGTAGAATTTTAGTAGTGGAACCCACAATATGTAAAGTGAGCTAAAACAATCCGTTAAAATCACAATGGGCTAGATTAATGTAATCTAGGAGATTCCAGAATTAACGCGTAATATGCACGCAGGCGGTGGTATTTGTCTTCATCTCAAAATTTATGGAAGAACAAATCTTTGACACAAGAAAGAATGAGACGCAAAAACAAAACCCTCAAACTTGCTCCGATTCGCATTAAAAAAACCCTAATTAATCCCAAATTCTTTACTTTACCCACAATTCAATCACTTTAAAAATACCCTTAGAGATTTATCGTTTCTCTTTTCTGCCTTTTCCCCACAAAATCGGCAAATTGATAAACCCCGAAAATCCCACAAATTCCCAGAATTCTTCAAACCCCGAACATGACCGACCCGACCCGACCCGTCACGGGCTACCCGGCCCCGCCCTACGCCCAGCCCAACGGCGGCTACCCATACTCCGCCAACCCCACCCAAACCCAACCCCGAGGCCCCTACTCCAACGCCTACAACCCACGAGCGACCTTCATCCGCCGCTTCGTCGGCGCCATGATAGCCCTCTTCGTCATTGTCGGCTGCATCCTCCTCGTCGTCTGGCTCATCCTCCGCCCCAAGGTCCCCGACTTCCGAGTCGACTCGCTTTCTCTCTCCAACTTCAACGTCTCCTCCGCCTCACAGTCCGTGACGGGCACGTGGTCCGTCGGCCTCACGGTCTACAACCCCAACAAGAAGCTGAGTATACGATACGACGACGTCGAGTCCTCTATCTACTACGGCCTCGGCTTCATTTCGGGGACTCGGATTCCGCCGTTCGCTCAGGGGACTAAGGATCGGACGTCTGTCAACGCGACTTTCTCGGCGGCGAATTCGTTCGTTGGCGCTCCGGTGGCGCGCGGCATCGACGCGGACAAGGCGCGTGGGAGCGTGAGCTTCAACGTGAGGCTTTTGGCTAGGGTTGAGTTTCGGAGAGGTGGGTGGAGGCTGAGGCGGCGGCTCTTGAAGGTTTTGTGCCGTGGTGTGGCGGTTTCTCTTTTGTCGAAAGGCGGGCTGGGTACTTTGGGCGGTGGGTCAAGAGATTGCCAGGTTGTTGTTTGAGATGGGGGCAATGCGTGTGGTGCAAATGGTAATTTTATTAATCTCTCACTTTTCAATTGTGACAAGTTAGGAACGAGGAATGTGTTGTTGTATAATTAGTAGTAAGATGAGCTTATGGATTTAGGTTAAGTTGTTGTATATATTTTTAACTACAATTCTTTTGTTGTTTCTGGTTAGTGATGATTGCAATTGAGTTTGTTTTATTTTTTTCTCCTCCCAAAATACTACATCTTAGTTGAGCTTGTTTGCTTGTTCTACTCTGTTGATTATTGTTGTCTTTTAGAGACTTAAACCTTGCGCATTTCACAAAGTTATTGTGAGCTGTGCGGCTGTGCGAGGGGGATGTTTGATAGAGGTCAAGCAGAGCTCATTAGCCTTTAATGGCTCTTGGTGTTTTTTGATGGAGGCTTGCTTATCCTAGACCTAGAGGATTTGAAAATGGATGGAGGCAACATTATTTAGTAGAAACTAGAAAGAAACAGAGTAGTTGCTTAGAACATCTGTCTCATGCTTGTTTTTGCTTTGGTTATTAAACTCGTCGAATCCACCTTTGCTGATCCTAGTGGATTTGAAAATCAAGATCTTTTTTTAGGGTTGAGGATGGGATCAATGATCTAATAACAGAGCTTCTCTTTTTTTTCTCCAGTTTTAACAGCAATGTCTTCTACTTCTGTGACGTGTGTTATCCAAGAAGATTATACCATTCTACCACTTATCAGATTGGTTTTGTTGCGGTTTTTTCTTTTAATTTATTTGTTAATCGAGTTTGTCTGCCATATTTTTATGTAAAGAATTTAGAATTTAGTGACATTGGCACTTCCCTTTGGAAGGTCTCTCCAGTCGGCCCACGTGGATTTGCAGCTTAGGCTAATGTTTTTTAAGCTTTTTCTTCGTTCCTGTCCGTGGTTCAGTCGTGTAGTTTGCACTTTTCAATCTTTAGCCCAAATTGCTGACTCCATTAAGCTCTAGTTCACAAAAGGGGCATGGTATTTCCACATCAGAGTTGCATCAGATTTCAGCCCTAGAAATTAAGGAGGTTAGGGATTTGCACTAAGGTTTTTGAGTTTGAGTTTGAGTTTCACTTTGGTCCAAATCCAAGTCTGTAGCTTTGCTCTGGGTCTGTAAACTCTTACATATGGTTTAGTCATTGTCGGTAGAACTGGATTCTAATTCAGATATGGAGATTATTTGATGTATAGGGTCCTGTTTAATTTTGAACCCTTGATTCAAGCATAATAAGCCCACTCGATAACATATCCATATACAAATGAATTGTTTCTCTTGGGCTAAAAACAATTCATTTGTCTAAACCTAATTGTCATCAAAGTTCAAGTCATTGCACTTCTGGCAGGCAGTTTCTCAAACAACCAAAGGCAGAGCCTGATTATTTGCTTAAATCAATTACAAGATGTAAACATATTTGCGCTATGATCAAATACAGAGTAGAGCTGCTATCTTTCCCTTACATAGATCCACATCGTGACTAATGTTAATTCACTTCGTTTGCATCCGCAATCAAAGTAATCTCTTCAGATTCTGAAGCACTTGACACACAGGGACTTCGATTGTCCACACCAACTTCATCTGCAGGAATTTGTTGTGGGTATAAGAAAGGCCTTGGCGGCATTTGGAGGCTCTCAATTTCTCCTTCAAGCATCTCCACCACTTTATTCATTGAAGGGCGTTCGATAGGCTTCATTTGTATGCACCATAAAGCCACCATCATCATCTTCTTTATGATCTTCTTTTCCTCATCTGTTGCATCATCTCCTATTTCTATGTCCTTTCCTGCCTTCAACTGATCAGAAACCCATGTTGGAAAGTAGATTTGGCTAAATTGGCTTGATTGTTCTATATCCGCATTCAGGTTTTTCCTTCTACCAGCCATTTCCATCAATAGCATTCCAAAACTATACACATCGGCTTTGTAGGAAACACCTCCAATGTTTTTGTAGAACAGTTCTGGAGCAATGTATCCCATGGTTCCTCTTGCTGCAGTCAAAGATACAATGCTATTATCCAATGGATATAGCTTTGCTAACCCAAAATCAGAGACCTTGGGAGTAAAATTCTCGTCTAGAAGAATGTTGTGAGGCTTGATGTCAAAGTGCAAAATTTGCATGTCACAGCCTTGATGGAGGTAATCAATACCACGAGCCACTCCAAGTGCGATTTCAAATATTTTCTGGCAACTTAAAGACACATCTCTTTGTTGAGAAAAAATGTATTTGTCAAGAGACCCATTAGGCATGAAATCATATACTAGAGCACGTTTTGAACCATCAACACAGAAGCCAATAAGTCGCACAACGTTAACATGACGAATCCTTCCAATGGTACCAACTTCATTAATAAAGTCTTGCCCATTGGTTTTGGACTTACCCAACATCTTGATGGCTACAAGGCGACCACTACGGAGCTTTGCCTTGTATACAGAGCCATAGCCTCCTTCCCCCAATTTGTCCTTGAAACCTCTGGTCATCTTTTTGATGTCCGAGTAAGAGTACCTTATTGGCATGAGATTATGATTACTCCGTAGAAAGTCTTCTATATTGTCATACATTGACAAGTGCCTTCTTCGCCATTTGTATATTAGCAGTGCAATTAAACAACAAAAACCCAATGAAAATTTGGCTGCCAGGTATATTGCTGCATGGTTCACAAAAATGGAATTAATGAACACGAAGTATAATAATGATAATAATAACAATAATAATATACTCCTTTGCAAATCAAAATAAGAATATTCATGTTCCAGTGATCCACACAAGTATTCTCTTACCTAGGGAAGCGACTGCACATCCCAGAAGCTGGCCAAGGTATAATCTGGAATGATACGTAGGGAAACGCCTATCAAAGTGGAAGAGCCTGTATATGGGGTCAAGACCGCCTTCTGCAACCGAAGTAAAGAAATCGATCGGTCAATGGAATGACAAAGTTGGTTAGTCAAGCAAAAAGGCCAAAGAAAAGTATACGTCTATTTACAGAGTTGAGGACTCCACTCGCCTACTTTCTGGATTATGTGCCTTATGATCTCGTCGTACCAAGGGATTTCTACATTGCGAAAGAAGACAGTAACATTAGCATAAAGAGAATTCTGGTTAGACCAACATAAATTATACACAAATTATGAAAAGAAAACTGTAACATTATTATCTTCATGAGCCAGGGTGCTACATTGAAAAGAAAACTCTAACTGTTGGAAATTACAGTTCAACATGCTATCATAGTCATCAAAGTGGTCACTTTGACTTCCAGGGATAAAACTGATATTTGACAATAGTTTCAAGGGGCACTACAGTAAAAAAACCTTCTTTAATATATAATTTATAATTTAAAGGTTTGGCAATTGTCTAACCTTCCTCATATGGTGAGCATTCAGTTCCATTGCCGGCAGTGGCGGAGCCAGGAATCGAAACACAAGGGGTCTTAGTGTAAAAGTCCCAAAAAAAAATTTAGGATGGAATCAACATATATATTCTACATATGCAAAAAAATGAAAATAAAAACTCACATTGTTACTGGAAATTAGTGCGATAAACATCTCTAATACTTCACTTACGCACTAAACACATAAACTTGAGACATCATTTTAATTGAGATCACATAGAAAAGGGAGGGAGGAGAGAGGAGATTATGTAGTTACCCTAAATTCCTTAATTAAACTGCTGCCTAAGTTTTAATTTTAAAAAAAAAAAATTAGAATGGCATGCACAAGCTGAGGCGCAAGAGTGGCAGAAGTTGCAGCTTCGGATAGATATTAAAGTGTAAACTTTGTTATTACTGGGGGCAAGAATGCTTTGTGATGGTCCAGAGGCCAATAGATAGCAATTTGCCATTTTGCTTTGACTTCAATTATAGTGTCTCACAGACGGATCCAGAATTTTTTTAGCGGAGGTGCAATACTGACTAAGTATGAAAAATGGTTTTTTGGAATAATCATTTTCTCAAAATAATTTTTGGCGGCTTTTATTCTCTACATATCAAATAAGAAAACTTGATTTTATGGGATTTTAGTATGAAGCATATATTGACTTAATGAGCCATCATTTTTAGCCTAAATCATATTTTGCACTAAAACCGAATTTTCATATTTTGATTTGGTGAGAAATTGATTTTCTAGTATTTTTATTTGAATCCAAATAGGGGGTACTTCCTTATTTACATTGTAAACTTAAGTAAATGGAGTAATATAAAAATAAATAAAAGTAAAAGGACAAAGACATTTACTTAAATGTTGAAAATGGAAATAAGGACAGATTGGAGAAGCAGTAACAAAAGAAAATTGGGAGAAAATTGGGGGTTTTGGAATGGAGGAATCGGATTTGTGGAGAAGGAGAGGCTGGAGGATACGCTGGTCATTATCTTTTTTCTTTAGACCTGGCCCAAAACGACGTCGTTTTGGCCAGGTCATTTAAAAATATTCCCTGGGCCAAAACGACGTCGTTTTGCCCAGGTTGTTTTAAAAAAAAAGATACGCGCCAGCAGCCTCGCCTCCTTCTTCTTCAGCTGTTCTGTTTTCTTCTTTCAAGCATTCCGTCGACCACGTGGTGTGCAGCTCCAAGAGGTCGCGCCAGCAGCTCCAAGGGACCTCCAAGGCTATTTCCATGGCTTCCAAGAGGTCGTCCGACCCCGACGACCCCACTGTGGCTCCGCCTCTGATTGCCGGTGCTGTTCAGCCAGCAAAATTCCCATGATTCGCACTTTCCTATACATGCATGACGAAGCCATGAGAGTTCAAAGCCATGCGCTATTTCATTATATATTCCTTTGCAAGACGTCATGTGCTCCTCAGTTGAAGGGGACACCATAACCATTAGTGTTATTTCGCAGGAATCCCCCAAATTGTATGACCTTGGGCCATTCGCATAGCCACTCCCAGCCCGAAATTTTATGAAATAAGAATATGTTGTTAAATTGGAGAAAGAAGAATATTTGTTGACCCCACTGATGCATGGAGCTGTTTCAACAATGAGATCGGAAGGATTCATTGGATTTTCACAGCTCAGGAAGATTATAGACATTGATGATGCATCTGGGTAATCATAAGGACCTGTATAATCAGAGTAATAATAAGAAAAGTTGAAGGGGGTCAAGGAGTAGAGTGGGTGGGAGAAGTAGTTGTCCTTGATCTTGTGAACACCAGCATCCACAAGTCGGATTGTGAAGTTATTGTAATTGATTGCTTGTACGTAGTACTTTCCTGAAAACAAGGATAGCACTGCATGAGGAGTAGTACCATTTCCCTTGGCCTCACAAGATAGCTCGAAGCTTTTGTCGCCGCAGTGTTCAGAGTCTCCTTTCAATCGGAATGGAGAGCTTATGTTAATATTTCCACAAGAACGGGTACAATCAGAGTTATCATGAGCTTTATTAGCTGTAATATTATTGGAAGCTGTTTGGGGACAAGAGGAAGGAACATGAAGAAGAAGAAGAAGAAGAAGAAGAAGAAGAAGAAGGAGCACTGTGTAAGCAGCAAATAGGAGACTTCCTCCAGACATGCTGTCAGAGCACAAGGGAAATTTCCAATTTAGTGCAGTTTTAACTCTTTAAAGAGATAATATAAAGTTTTGGGGGGGTGCGTGGTGCAGATACAAATATAAGAGATTACCGTACACGTCGGCCATTGACTAAAGCATCCAGAAGGAGTGGGGCCCATGTCATCTCAAGTAATCCACACAACAAAAAGAAAACCCAAGTCCATATCATATCATATCATATCATATCATCTTCAAGGATACTTGTACTCTGCAAATAATTTCTTGCCATCATGAATTTCTCACGGTGGTTGCTCATGATAGTCGTAATAGTAGTAGATGCAGTCAATGGTGGAGTAGGCCATGAAGATTGCAGAGAAACAAGATGTGGCCCGGGAGAACCAGCCATCCGATACCCATTTCGACTTAAAGGTAGTCAGCCATTCCATTGTGGCTTCCGGGGATTTGATGTTTCATGCACTGACGACAACCGGACTATACTTGAGTTACCATCGTCGTCAGCTAAGTTCCGTGTTTATGAGATTAACTACAAATCTCATGCAATTAGTGGTTATTATGATGGTTGTTGCTTTCCTAGGGAGTTGTTTTACAGTACTGGTTCTTATCCGTTTGAATTCGTAGGCACCGCAACCTTATTCAGTTGTCCACCGTCAACGGTAAGAGATGAATATTGTTCCTATGATTATCATCGTCTGGCGAGATTGAGCCCATGCCATGGCAACAATTCTGGTAACCATATTTACGCTGTCCTTGGTGATTATTGTTTCATTGATAACATGCCCCTAGTGTCTTGTATCAAGTTGCATGACTACACATCAGATCCTGAGATGGAAGAATTATTATTGCATTGGTCCATTCCATCATGTGAACATTGCAAAGGTATTTTACACTCCAAGTTTACTTTCCAACTATAATTTCAAGATTAATTGAAGATTCTACGCAAACTATAATTTTGGATTTCATTGATTTGAAAACCGGCCCTTATTTCATGAACAACTTTTACAGGTCGTAATATTAGGAGGACAAATCTGAAGATATTAGGTGAGCTATATCCGCAGACCTTCATTTCATTTCATTTCATAGTTTTTTCTTCCTTTTTCTTTCTTTTATGAATATAATGGGGTGGAAGTTAATCAAGGGTATGTTTGGAAGAGAGTTTAAAATAGCTAAAAATGCTTTAAAAAGCGTTTGACACAAAAAGAAAATATTTGCAGGTATTTCTGCACTCTGTTTAGTTCTAATAGCGACGGGGACGACAATCTACTATGTCTACAACTCAAACAAAAAGGAAAAAGAAAATCAGCTTAGAATTGAAAGATTTTTGGATGAATACAGAGCTATGAAGCCAAGTAGATATTCCTATGCTGATATTAAGAGGATAACAAGTCAATTCAAGGAAAAGTTGGGTCAAGGTGCCTACGGAACAGTGTTCAAAGGAAAGCTTTCCTCTGAGTTATTTGTTGCTGTGAAAATCCTCAACAATTCAAATGAAAATGGGGAAGATTTCATAAACGAAGTGGGGACAATGTGTCAAATCCACCATGTCAATGTGGTTCGCTTGGTTGGAATTTGTGCCGACGGATTCATTCGTGCTCTTGTTTACGAATACTTACCAAACGGTTCTTTGCAAAATTTCTTATCATCAGCAGATAATAAGAATTCATTCCTTGGTTGGAATAAGTTGCAAGATATCGCTCTAGGAATAGCTAAAGGAATTGAATATCTTCACCAAGGATGCGACCAACGAATCCTACACTTTGATATCAAACCACATAATGTATTGCTAGACCAAGATTTCACTCCAAAAGTTTCTGATTTCGGTTTAGCCAAGTTTTGTGCTAAGGATCAAAGCGCAATATCGATGACTACTGCAAGGGGGACCATGGGCTACATTGCACCCGAAATCTTCTCAAGGAACTTCGGCAATGTCTCCTATAAGTCGGATGTCTATAGTTTTGGAATATTGTTACTTGAAATGGTTGGAGGCAGAAAAAACTTTAAAGTCATGGAGGACTCCACTAGCCAAGTCTATTTCCCAGAATGGATCTATAACCTATTAGAGCAGGGCAACGACCTACGAATCCATATTGGGGACGATGAAGGAGATGTTACAATTGCTAGGAAACTTGCAATTGTGGGTCTATGGTGCATACAGTGGCATCCAATAGATCGTCCTTCCATGAAAGTTGTAGTTCAAATGTTGGAAAGAGAATGTGAGAATCTAGCCCTGCCTCCTAATCCTTTTGCCAACACTTCAGGTTGAAGGAGAATAATGAACAGACCTCTACGATGAAGAAACACTTCTGCTTGAATGGATTATACCACTCACTTTTGAGACGAATCATCGAGTGTTATTGCAATAAGATTGTTATAGTATTGTCGTGTTAAGCAGATTGTATAATTAAGAAACTGGTTTCAGTTTCAATAAATTTCAATGTGAAGTAATTTTTGTTTTGTTGGTCGAACAAGGTGAAGTATTAGATGGTAATAATTCATCAAAACTTACTGTTCATGTTATAATTAAGTAACATGATGTCTTTTTCGCTATTTCATTCATCTGCAAATCAAAAGTCAGGAGTATTTTGAATTACATAAAGATAAAAAAAAAAAAAAGGATTAAGCATAGATACCAAAGTGAATAGAATTGTTTTAGACTAGTACTTATATGAGATATTTAGTGATATACCTATTTTTAGCACTAATATTATAAATAAACCATACACCATTAAATTTCTATAAACAAACCCAAAAAAACCCAAAAAATGACAGCTGGCCTTATTGAATTTAATATTGATTATTAAATTACTTTGATGCCCTATTGAGTGTTTTGGGTATTTTTATGAGATTTTGGGGTTGGACTTGTTTTAAGAAATTGATGACAATTTTATAATTTATAAGAAGTTAAAAGCCTCTTTATTATGATGTAAATGGGTTTTGGGAGTGTTTCTAAAGTCCATTTCATATAGGGTATTTTTATAATTTGGGCTCTTATATTGGGTATAATAGCAAATCTCCCTATTTATATTTGTTGATACACCCGATGATGAAGGAGGGTCTTGAGGGGTGGAAGTAAACAATAGAGGTACAAGTTCCTTGCAATAATTTTATTTTTTTTCCCAACACCTAAGTGTAATATTTTAGTATTTTAACCCTATTGTCATTATTTGAGGTGAACCTCTCTAATTAATTATTCTTAAGTTTTTAGATCTCGAGCGCTCAATCTCTAATCTCTTATTAAGTTATTACAATAAAAAAATGGGTCCATTTTACAATATCATCTTAGTATCTGACACGTTAACTTTTGTGAAGTAAACCCAAATATATACTTAGCCCTTCAGTACTAGACTGGTCCTTTAGTTTAGATATCCAAATAAATAATTCTTGGTGATCGGTTCCCATCAACGGGACAATAAACTAAACTAGAAGGTGCAGAAGACTCCAAACAGAGCTGTTATAGACAATAACATTGTTTTAAGATAATAAACTAGTCTATTCATTGGACGTATTGTTTTCAAAACTGCTGAATAATATTCAAACAGAGCAGTTATAGAGGTACTTTGTCTACTTATCGATGTCCACATGCTGAGATACCCCGAGGAAATTTCCCTTCAGGTCAAGAAGACTAATGAAATTTCCAAAAGGTTTGAGGGCATATAATAGATAGTGAAGGACTTGACCAAGTCAACCAACACATATATTTAATGACCAAGTCAAACAACACATATTTATTTTATCTTTTATTTAAATTATATGAAAGTAATAATAATAAAAAAGGTAAGAAAAGACTAATGAGGTTTCAATGGTGGTTGGTCTTTTAAGTTAACAAATGTTAACTACGTTACGCAAAACACAAGGGTTGAGTTTTCCAAGATTCTGGAAGAAAATTAAAATATGCCACTTTGTGCAGACTCTTGCTTGGAAATCAAAATAAGTACAATTCTTTTGTTTATTGTTTATTGTTTATTTTTTCATATGAATTTTAATTTTGAAGATAGTACGTGTTGACGTGTATGTCTATATATCTTGCAAAATTCATACATGTACTATAGTTACGACGTTTTATGTAAACTTTTGACATTGCTATGCTGTGAGATAAAACAATTTGGTGTTTGGTAAATTTTTTGTTAAAAGTGTTGTTGGTACTGATTCCTACATAATCAGAAAATGATTGCCACATAATCATTAAATACAATGCTTCTTCGAAACTGATTTATGCATAATCAGAAAAAGAAAGCACCTCATTAGCTGCTTTCTTTTATAGTTTTCTCTCACAATAATTTTTAACAATAAGTGATTTTCTCATAGTTTACCAAACGGGCTGGACTTCTCAAAATTCTTTAAAAATCACTTATCAACCTAAATAAACAATGTCAAACGGGCACTAAGGACCAGTTTGGCATTGCTGTGCTGTGAAAATAATCGCTGTCAGATTTGCTGTGGGAGAAATCAGCTGTGAGAGAAAGCAGTTTGGCGTTTGGTAAAATTTTTATTAAAAGTGTTGTTGGTATTGATTTTACGCATAATCAAAAAATGATTGCCGCATAATCATTAGACCCAGCGCCTCTTCGAAACTGATTCCTACATAATCAGAAAATAGCACCTCATTAGCTGCTTTCCCTTATAGCTTTCTCTCACAGCAATTTTTAACAATAAGTGATTTTCTCACAATTTACCAAATGGGTTGGGCTTCTTAAAATTTTTAAAAAATCACTTATCACTCGAAATAAGCAATGCCAAACTGGCACTAAGTTTTTTTTTTGTTAAAATTGATTATATGGATTTTGATCTCGCTCTCTTTTCAATTCACGTATTCATGGTGAAAGACCTAGCTGGGTTGGGTGTGGCTATGCACACCTGTTCTTGGGATGAAGCAGAGCTTGACAAGTGCTTACGAGTGTTGAGACCCAAAAAATTCATGGTTGGGCCCAAATAAATTATTAGCCCAAAACGACAGTCCAAGCATAAAGCGGAGTACACAAAAACCCACCGCATGCACATGACACGCTAAATAAATAAATTTTCTAGGGGTTGAGATAAAATATACCGGGTCTACAAGCCCATGCAAAAATTAAACATCGTAGCCCTTCTCAGGAACGATAAATTAAAACATGTCAAGGGACATGCCATGCCAAGCACGAAATCGTTATCTCACACCCAACCACGCTACAAGCCTAAGTGGGCCCAAGCCACTCAAATGCCCGGGGCTTGCTTGAGTGGGTTGTGGCATGGATGGTAATAAATCAACATGAGGCCCATTAATGGGCCGAGAAATGGAAAGTCTCAGGTTGCTTGGGAGCCTCGAGAATCAAGCCCATTTCTTAGGCCTAAATATGTGGGTAAGCACAAGAGAGAAAAATAGCCCAATAGCCCAAGCAAAATAGCCTATGGACACAACCAAAAAGCCCAATATTTAACAAAAAGGCCCACTTGCTTAGGGAACCACCTTGACCCATATAAAACTCCAAAATAAGCCACAAAGACACAGCCCTTTGCTAAAAAATAAAAGTCATGGTCTACAGGGTCATTGAACAGGGACTGCTGGAGGTTGTAGCACATGGGGGAGCAAGTTCCAAGCCAGAGACGTTCAAAAAACCAAGGAATACTAGCCAGCGGACTGTTAGAAGCACCCTTTAAACCAACATGTATGTCCCAACTCCTTTCCCCATCAAACTTAGCCATAGAAAAAAGAGAAGAAAGCAATGAACAAAATGGCTGGAAGTGGAAAGTCTGCCATTGAGGTGGCTGCGGGAAAAGGGGGGCCTTGAGCTTCAAAAACTCTGATCTGATAGGAGAGATTTCATCAAAATGGAAAAACCAAAGGAGGAAATAAGAAAGGAGGGAAAAGCTTAGCCAAAATAGGTAGAAGCCATTAAGGTTCTTGAAAAATGGTGGTTTCCAGCGGCTATAAATTGAGGCTTATCCTACCTAACAGAGGCAACTCAAATTCAGAGAGCAAGCCTTCTCTCTAACTTGCAAAAACCCAGTAACCTCATGCACTGTTCATCTTCTTCTCCATTTTGTTCTTCTGGCAGCTGCCAGAAGAACTCTGCTCTTCATTTTCTCTTTCCTTAGCCAAATCCCTCACAAAACATCTCTTTTCTTACCTTAACACTTTCTAAAGCAAGCCTAAATTCTCTCTAGGTACTAAACTCATGTTGATTTTGCTCCCATGCCACATGTCACTCGCGCTGAGCTAAAAAGATTATCTGTAAGCATGCCAAAACCACCTATAAGCAGCCATTATTTTGGTTAGTGAAGGTAACCAAAATATTTCCTAAGGCTTTGCTGCCCTTTTAAAGTATTTTTGGGGCTTAATTTTCGAACCCAAACAAAGGGGACAGTCTCCTCAGTCTGCCATTTACAGCAGCCCAGCCCATTATAGCTGCAGGAAGAAAAGGTCCCCTACATAAATTGGCGACTCTGCTGGGGATTAAGCCATTATCTTCATCAATGCCTCTAAGAAAGAAGACCAGAAGCAACAACATGACTTCCCAGGATGGGCCAAGCCATGCTGACTCAGAATCAAGGTAACATGCCTCTTCTAGAGAAGAAGAACGTGCAAGTGAGGGAACTTTTACCTTCACAAACCTTGTTGCAGCCATTCATGCTATGGGTGAGACCCAGAGGGAGATGGCAGAGATGATAAAAGAACTCAAAAATTCCGCTCCAAAGCCAAGTGAAGAAAATGAGAAACACCCACAAGAGGAATCTGCTGCTGCTGGAAAGGAGTATAAACAAAAATGGACCATATTTTGTCACTCAAGAGGACGTTGTTGCCATGCTGGAAAAGGAGCTGAGTCGAAGTCAGGAAGATTAGAAGTATCTTCCTCAGCCACCGTACCCAACACGCTTGCTCCAGCAGCCATATCCTAAAGGCTATGAAGCACCAACTTTTGTCCTCTTTGATGGAAGGAAGGGGAGCCCAAAGGAGCATGTCAATCGCTTCATTGATGCCTTGGGACCATATGCTGGTGATCATAATCTTCGACTTAGAGAATTTTCAAAGAGTATCACCGATCGTGCTTACACATGGTATACGACGTTGGCACCAGGCTCTATTCACTCTTAGGAAAGCTTGGCGAGCAGGTTTTGTAAGAAGTATTTCCAGCATGAAGAACGAGTCACCACCACTCAACTCAATAACACTCGTCAAAAGCATAGTGAGGATCCCTTGGACTTTGTACGTAGGTTCTGGGATCTGGCATTGGATTGCTACGATGAGAAGGATGAGGAGCCGCTTGTTGAAATCTGCATTGGCAATATTGTGGCAGATTATAGAGTTTATTTGGAGAATATTGGCATTAGTCAATTTTCTCGGCTGCTGGAAGCTGTGAGGAAGATAAGCATGTCCGTCAAGCCAACATGACAAAGGACTTGGAGGAATGAGAAGAAGGAAACGCAGCAGACATTAGCAATAGATGACAAGCCATCCAACAACTACAATTCGCGCAAACGGAAGGATAGGGAGACATATCCACCACTACCATGCAAAGATGAAGAATTTCATGCTATCCTTGACACAATGATTGCTGATGGTGCAATCAAGCTTGTCAGACCCTACAATATTCCTACCCGAGAGGAGAAGAATGATCCTAGGTATTGCCGTTATCATCAATTTGTGGGGCATCCAACTACTGCCTGTCAGAGTTTGAGGAGGATTTTACATGCCAAAATACACGAGGGAGTCCTTGAACTTCCTTCTAGGAAGCAAACAATTGATGAAGACCCCTTGCCAAAATGAAGGGGAAATGAGGTAGCTGTTGTCATTACATGTTCTGATGATTTGCTCGATGATGATGAATTGTGCCACTCTTGGAGGAATGACCCAAAGCCGCCGGAAGCTATGTGGGAACCTTGCAGAAACATGGAGAAGGCATATTGGTGTAAATATTCGAGGCCTTCAAGTTACAACACACCATGGCCGCTCGCTGATGGATGGGGTAACGACTTAAGCAACGAAGTTTTCATTTTAGACATGCCGGAAGAATGCTAGTCGGGGGCTTGATCGAGGCAGCAGGAAACAGCTACTGTGACATTTCATAATCTTACGGAAGATAAAACAAGTGTGATGGAGCGTTATTTAAGTCTGAAACATGGGCCCACAGCTTCGCAGGTCCTTCAAAGAAACCCGAAGTTCAAATCACTCTTTGACCAACTTGGCTTCGAGCCTCAAGCAAGAGAAGCAGCTGCTATAGCTTTTATGAATATCTTTGCGGAGTCTAACCCTCATTGCTTTACCGCTCAACCACAAAGGTCATTTTTGGGAAATGACAATGTTATTGTCTTCACGGACGAAGACATGGAAGTTCCATACCCGGACCATAGGAGGCCGCTTTATTTGGAGGGACAAATCAACGATGTGTTTATAAGAAGAGTTTTGGTAGACACAGGTTCCTCTGTCAACATATTACCTCTGTTTGTGCTTACGGCAGCTGGTATCCCATTATCCAAAATTGTCCAGTCACAAACAAGCATCAGCAGTTTCGGGAATAAGAGTGAGGTCACAGTCGGGCATGTGCAAATAAATTTGAAGGTTGGGCCAATTTGGTCACTTACTAAGTTCTATGTCATAGATGTGGATGTGGCCTACCATGCTTTGCTCGGAATGCCATGGCTCAACAAGCATAAACTTGTGGTCTCTACTTCTCATCAATGCGTAAAGGGAATGATTGGGCTGAGGCCATTCCGCATACCTGGAAACCAAGCACCGTTCAACAAAAATGAGGCTCACTACTCCGAGGCAGAATTCTACATTGAATGCACATGTGCTGGAAGCAACCAATCCAAGGATTTCGGGACCTACCTTCCTTCGTGGACTGAAATTCGTGATCTAAGGAATAAGGAGCTCATCACCATTGTCGATCGAGAGAGGAAGAGGCACTCGGAGGTCAACAATCATGCCTATGATTATCCCCAATGCTCGAAGGTGACGCTGCCCAATGGGCGTACCGTGTACCGCTTATGACGAGGTTGGGGGCTTGACCGTGTCTTACGGGAAAGCCCCGAGTATGAAGGAGAAGTAATGCAAGCAAGTAGCCACAAGGGTCTCGATGACAAGGCACCCATGCCTTGTGTTTTCCAAGAGCCGATGACAGCACCTAGACACATGAAAGATGGATCGACATCGGTAGCTGAGCAGCTGGAAACAATTGATTTGAGTGAGGATCCCTCTACCCCAAGACCCATCTCCATCAGCGTTCATTTGACAAATGAAGAGAAAGAGGCCATGATATCTTTGCTAAAGGAATTCCGAGATGTGTTCGCTTGGAGCTACGAGGAAATGCCTGGCTTAAACCCAAACTTAGTAAGTCACACTTTGAATATTGAGCTCGGTACAAAGCCTATTGTGCAGCCAAGGAGGAATTTCCATCCCGAAATTGAAAAGCAAATCAAGGTGGAGATCGAAAAGCCGCTGGCCGCTGGGTTCATCAAGCCAATCGAGCATCCAACATGGTTAGCAAATATTGTTCCTGTGAAGAAGACCGGAGTAATTAGAGTATGCACGGACTATCGAGACCTCAACCGAGCTTGCCCAAAGGATGAATTCCCGCTGCCCAACATGGATATCTTGATCGATTCAACCTCGGGTCAAGGCTTGTTATCATTCATGGATGGGTTTAGTGGCTACAATCAGATTAAGATGTCACCCAAGGATGCTGAGAAGACAGCCTTTCGAACACCATATGGGAATTTTTATTATACGGTCATGCCATTCGGCCTCAAGAATGCTGGCGCCACCTACCAAAGAGCCATGATAGCGGTGTTTCACAACATAATGGGAAAGGAAGTTGAGGACTATGTGGATGACCTTGTGGTGAAGTCCAAAACTAGAGAAAGCCATCGGGAAGTTTTGAGGAAGGTACTGGAAAGGTGTCGGCTGTACGGTTTAAAGATGAATCCAAAGAAATGTGTGTTCGGGGTTTCATCTGGTAAATTCTTGGGGTTTCAAGTACATCAGCGTGGCATAGACGTGGATCCCGAAAAGACTAAAGCCATAAATCCTCTTGCACCGACTAGAAACCCAAAGGAATTGAAAAGCTTCATGGGAAGATTGTCGTATATTCGACGCTTCATCCCGGGTCTTGCTGCCACTAAGAGTGTTTTTACTCCCTTACTCAAGAAGGGCAAATCGTACAAATGGAGTAAGGAATGCCATGAAGCCTATCAACAAGTGCAACAAATAATCACCAAGCTGCCCATTATGAGAGCACCCATTCCGGGGCTTCCTCTCAAGCTTTATTTGGCTGCAACAAACACAACGGTTGGGGTCTTACTTGCCCAAGATGATCATGGCGAGGAAGAAAGTCTCATTTATTATGTAAGTAGGCAACTAAGGGGAGCTGAAATGAGATATTCGAAGACCGAACTCTTATGCCTTGCTCTTGTCTATGCTGCATAGCGCTTGCTGCATTACTTCCTTGCTCATAAGCTACATCTCATAGTGAAGTTTGATCCCGTAAGATATTTGCTCACGAGGCCAGTGTTATCCGGACGTCTTGCACGTTGGTTGCTACAATAGTCCGAGTTCGATATCACATGCATCACCCCAAAAGCCATCAAAGGACAAGTCGTGATTGACATGCTAGCTCTATTTCCCGAAGTTGAAGAATCAACAATCTCTAAGGAAGTTATGGGGGAGCTGCCAGAAATGGTTGCTGTAGTCACAGAGGCGGAACCATGGACCCTCTACTTCGATGAGTCTTCTACATCGAAAGGTGCAGGAGCAGGTGTAGTGCTTATCAATCCCGAGGGGCAAGCCACGACCCTCTCATTCAAGCTAAATTTCTCATGCACAAATAATACGGCGGAGCACGAGGCCTTCATCATGGGGATGTCTACAGCAAGGGAGAGGGGTGTTGAAAGAATTAAAATTATTGGGGACTCAAACCTAGTGCTCAGTCAATCACAAGGGAATTTCACTGTGAAAGAGCCAACATTGGCGCCGTATCGTACAGCTGCTGAAAGGCTTGTTCGTTCTTTCAAACAAGTAGTGTTAGAACATATTCCCGGGGTTACTAATAGATATGCTAATGGGTTGGCCACTTTGGGATCGAAGCTTTCATTTGTTGAAGAACAACCCAATATTGCCGTGATCAAGAAAGACATGCCAGTGATCGAAGCAATGGCTCAAGAGGAGCAACTGGAAGAGGATGACTGGAGGAAGCCTGTGAAAGAAAAAAATAGGCAAGGGAAGTGACATCAAAGAATTGAAAGATTATGCGATCATCTTTGGAGAACTGTACAGACGCCTTCCAGGAGGTATTTTGACCCGCTGCATAGGGACAACAGAGGCACGAGTGAAGCTCCAAGAGGTACATGAGGTCACTTGCAATTTGGAGCCAATAATAAGCTTGTATCGGCGTCTGCAACGCAAGGGTTATTACTGGCCAGAAATGAGGAAACAAGCAGCTGAAATGCAAGCCAATTGTCCCAAGTGTGCAACGATACCCTCCACCGAAGAATCATTCACCATCTCGTTTGTGGAGGATTGGAGGGCTCTGTACTTAGCATCCTTCATCAACGGAGTCCTACCAACCAATCCCAAGCATGCACGCAAGCTCAAAAAGACAATGAAAAAGTACTTCATAGACGGGTCAACTCTCTACCGCAAAGGGTGTAATGGTGAGCCATTAAAGTGCTTGGGAGAGTCAGAAGCACAGCAAGTCATGCAAGAAATTCATGCTGGAGAATGTGGTGAGCACCAAGGAATGAAGAGGGTTCACCGGCAGTTGCTGAGTGTTGGGTATTATTGGCCTACAATGAAGAACGATGCATACAACTTCGTGAAGAGGTGCCACACATGCCAAGTTCATGCCAACTTAAGTCACAAGCCTCCCACGCTGCTGCAGGACATGCGCACTCCTTGGCCCTTTCATACTTGGGGGCTTGATTTGATTGGAGTATTCATCAATGCAAAGTGGCTCAAGCTTTACTATTGCTAAGTTAATCTTACGTCAAACACTTTTTATTATTTGCATTTCTTTTTATTTTAGGCATGAACTCCTTCTGTCTTACCTTCATATTTTGAAAAAAGACTCTTTTGCATGATGTACCATCATGGTAGCAGGGGCTTTGCAATGAGATTGAAGGATTATTTTGAATATATATATATATATATATATGTCTCTGGAATTTTATTTTTATACATTTTACAAAAAAAAAAAAAAAAAAAAAAAAAACCACTTAGCAGTAAGACATGCGAAGCAAAGTCAAATTTGGATGGGGTCCGGGGCCATCAACAAGCAGCATGCCTAAGCAAAATAATATGGGGCGTGCATTCTTGAGCTGCTGGAACAACGAAACCATTGTCCCCCTTTTGATAAGCAACCAGAATATGCAAAAACATCCGGGAATTTTACAAAGACCATGCATATACTAGTTTGACCCTTTTTAGGTATGACAAGATGGTGTTTTTCAGGCCTAATGGTCAGACAAAATTTTGGCAGCATATACCTTGTTTTTAAGGATATCCAACCTATCAGAAAATCGGCAACAGTTCATAAAAATAAATTGTGCCAACGAAGCAATATATATATAAGACATGTAGATTACAACATGCCTCAAGCATTCAGAAATTAATACAAGCTCCAGTAATTCAACACTACATTACAAAGTCATAACGACATGGTTGTTAGAGTGTCCAAAAGAAAAAAAAAACTACAGTCAAAGCAAGATAAAACTACACATGCTAAAGACACATGCAGCCTATGGTCTCCAAGGGAACAGAACCACGCGCCAAGATAATCGATCACCAAGCCAAGAACTCGGAGGGTAGCACACCTTGAGAAAGAGAAGGTGATGTCGGAAGCTTCCATGAAACTCCCATAGCGATCCATAAATTTCCTCAAAATCGCGATTGTCTCTAGATACACAAAGACGTCTTGAAAGGGTGCATAACCATCAAACTTCTAACAAAGTGGGAGAAGCTCATCGATAGATCGGAGGATCTTAGTACCATCGTCAAAGAAGGCTTTGAACGCCATGAAGGAATTCTCCCAATTCTGCCAAGACATGCTTTTCTCCGATAAATGCCCTTCGCAAGTACCTATGATAGGAGCATCACCATCCTTATGGTTGTCATCAACCATCTCACCTCAAGGCAGTACTGCTGGAAGCTGTGGAGAGGTGCCGAAAACTGTGCCGGATGTGCCTAGGCTAGGAGGAGTAGGAGGCAGCATTGCCAGCAGCTGTGTCAGATGTGCACAGGTAAGGAGGTGTATGAGGTAGCACCGCTGGAAGCTGCGAAGAGGTGCCGGCAGCCATGTTGGACCTTCTTGGGGAAGGAGGAGCAGGCGGCTACGCCGCTAGAAGGTACAGAGCAGTGTTGGCAACTACGCTGGACGTCCCAAGAGATGGAATAGGAAGTGTATTCTCCGCACCTTGTGAGATGCTCTCAACTTGAGAATAAGGGAAAATGATGCAAAGGAAAATAAACCAAAATGATAGGAGGCATGAGAAAAGGGAAGCCAATTAAAGCATGGAAGATGAAAAGTAAGCGATAAATACCTTGCCGACAGTCTGCACAGTGTCAGTAATGGTAGCAGGAAGGCCAAGGACAACCTTCGGTGAGCAACCCGTCCTGTCCTCAAAGGTGGGCACAACCTGCGGGAGAAATACGGTGTATGAATTGCAAGTCACAACATGCAGCACGCAACGCGTATATACCAAGTAAAACAAGCAAGAAGGTTATTTGATACCGGTTCAATGTCAACATGCCTCTCATGGTCACTAACAAATTCTGGAGGCATGCCTGAGGCATCCGGCTCCTCCAAGCGAGTGTTGGAATTTGGTTTCTACAGCCATGGTTCATGCCGCTCCTTTCTCAAGAAGCTGAACTTAGTCAAGCAAGCGGTATAGGTGCCCCAAGAACATGGGGGCTAGAGGGAGCGTGCTGCCGTGCGCTATTGCCAAAGCCAAAGGGAATACCCGCTCGTGTAGACAGTCTTGAGAAAAATCACAGAAGATGAATCTCCCAAGCCATAATGATATAAATGCCGTAAGACGACACGGCTCATTCCTATTAACATCCTCGAAAAATTGTATCTAGTTGCTAAACCGCAGGGAAGTGCTTGGAGAAGTCGGAGCACCCTTCCGTAAAATCTCAAGCTTTAGTTTATCTTCTAGTTTATCTTCTGGAGTCAGCGCAATGTGGAAGGGGTCTTGGCTGCCGCAAAGTGGGAGGTGGAAAATATTGGCTACATCCTCAAGTGTGGGAGCAAACTCTCACCATGTGCAGATAAAGGTGTGTGTCTCGGTGCTCTATCGCCTAACCACGTGCCGGAGCATCTTGGCTTCAATATGAATGTCTCAAGCTTTAGAAATAAAGATGGCATTCAGCACCCCTGCCCAACTCAGAATGTCACAAATGGTGGGGTTCCTTAATTCACGGTCAACCCACTCTGACCAACCCTTGCTGGTGCCACACGGATATTAGAAGAATAAAGGGACTGCCGGAAATAGACCCCTCTCTATACAACATCTCGATATGGATGCAGGATCGACCACTGGAGTTGTTTCCGGCGCTAGCTCCTCGTCAATGATTATATTTTCATCAGCGCTCTTAAGCAAAGGAGGCGACCTCCCTCTTTTCAATCTGTCATCTATGGAATAGAGATGATCCCTAAGGATGGATGATGGATTAATGGAGGTCATGATAACTCTTGGCGAAACGATAAGTATCTGCACATAGAAATATGGAAAGAAGCAAAATAGAATTAGCACACGTAAGATACGTGTCAAGCATGGCTAGTTGAGCTCATCCAAGCAAACATGCAATTTAAAATTCAAGCTCATGACAAGTAAAAGTCTCACTCCGTGATCAACAAGCCTGACAAGCAGGTCCCTTCTCAAAATAAAAAAAAGAAAATAGAATTTCAACCAGGCAGTACAAAACATGCACTCTGTCAGTTTTTATTCTCCACAAGCAACACACACAAAAATCCACAATTGATCAGGCATGTGTTCTCAAGGAAAGAAAGCCAAGGCCAAGCACCAGTCTACACCTATTCTAAATACTCAAAGTTGGCAGAGTCATTTACCAAAAGGCTAAGACAGAAGCACCAAAAATCCGAGTTAGAAGACTAAAGGATTTGAAAGTTCCAGCAGCAGAAATGTCAAGGCTTCCAACACCTACCCTCACCTATGCCTGAGACATATATACCTGCACAGAAATAAATAAAAGAGAAAGCGCATCATGCCAAGATTAGCCTTTCACATACAAAGAGGAAGCCCATGCAAAATAAAAGTGAAGAAAAGGGAAAAGGGGGAGAAACCCAAACCAATGGTTTCTTCCCACAAAAAAAATGGGTACCCTTCCGGCAGCCCTAACAAAACAAAGAAGAAGGGAATCTCAGAGGACTGGAGTAGGCATTTCCTTGCTAGCACCCACGCTAAAAGCATCCACGCTGCTACAATGACAAAAAGGTCAAAAGAGGGTTTGATGCTTGACTGCCAAAAGAGGGGAAATACTCATGGGTATGAGGAACCCAACCAAATTTCACCAAATAAATCTGAGGGGAAAACAAGAAAAGGCATACCTCATTGAAAATCCCAAGGGATGGCCTTGAATGCACCAAGAAGAAAAGAAAAATGGGACATTTGAAGAAGAAACCCACGACCCTTCCAGTAGCGACGAACGGGCTCCCTTTGGACGAAGACGGGATGACGGGGTCGAGTTTGACTTGGGCTTTCTTCCCAGCGGTTGGAGATGGATGATTTCGGCTTGATTTCGTCATCTCACTTGGTCTGAGTTCATGGAGGAGCAAAGGAGAACGAAGGGAGGAGGACTGGAGAGAAATTTTGGTTTGGTGCGTGAAAAGAGAAGAAAATTGGAGGAAGTTTGTGTCTGGTGCGAGAAAAGAGAAAGAAAGGGAAGAAAAAGAAGAAAATAATAATAAAAAGAAGAAGGCGGTTGGCGTTGGGAAACTGCAAATAATCGCTGGTACCAATCATGGCGCGCCGTCATTTAGCACGCGGGAAGAGGATGAGTTCTCTACAAATACAAATCTGATTTTTTGGGTTAGGTTTAATTATTCGGCCCATTCTAGCACCTGTCCATGGCCCTTATAATTAAGGGGGCTAATGTTGAGACCCAAAAAATTCATGGTTGGGCCCAAATAAATTATTGGCCCAAAACGACAGTCCAAGTGTAAAGCGGAGTACACAAAAACCCACCACATGCACATGCCATGCTAAATAAATAAATTTGCTAGGGGTTGAGATAAAATATACCGGGTCTACAAGCCCATGCCAAAATTAAACATCGCAGCCCTTCTCAGGAACGATAAATTAAAACATGCCAAGCGACATGCCATGCCAAGCACGAAATTGTTATCTCACACCCAACCACGCTACAAGCCTAAGTGGGCCCAAGCCACTCAAATGCCCGGGACTTGCTTGAGTGGGTTGTGGCATGGATAGTAATAAATCAACATGAGGCCCATTGATGGGCCGAGAAATGGAAAGTCTCAGGTTGCTTGGGAGCCTCGAGACTCAAGCCCATTTCTTAGGCCCAAACATGTGGATAAATACAAGAGAGAAAAATAGCCCAATAGCCCAAACAAAATAGCCTATGGACACAACCAAAAAGCCCAATATTTAACAAAAAGGCCCACTTGCTTAGGGAACCACCTTGGCCCATATAAAACTCCAATATTTAAAAAATAAAAGTCATGGTCTACAGGATCATTGAACAGGGACTGCTGGAGGTTGCAGCACATGGGGGAGCAAGTTCCAAGCCAGAGACGTTCAAAAACCAAGGAATACTAGCCAGCGGACTGTCAAAAGCACCCTTTAAACCAACATGTATGTCCCAACTCCTTTCCCCATCAAACTTAGCCATAGAAAAAAGAGAAGAAAACAATGAACAAAATGGCTGGAAGTGGAAAGTCTGGCATTGAGGTGGCTGCGGGAAAAGGGGGGCCTTGAGCTTCAAAAACTCTGATCTGATAGGAGAGATTTCATCAAAATGGAAAAACCAAAGGAGGAAATAAGAAAGGAGGGAAAAGCTTAGCCAAAATAGGTAGAAGCCATTAGGGTTTCTTGAAAAATGGTTTTTTTTTTTTTTTTTTTTTTTTTTTTTTTTTTTTTTTTTTTTTTTTTTTTTTTTTTTTTTTTTTTTTTTTTTTTTTTTTTTTTTTTTTTTTTTTTTTTTTTTTTTTTTTTTTTTTTTTTTTTTTTTTTTTTTTTTTTTTTTTTTTTTTTTTTTTTTTTTTTTTTTTTTTTTTTTTTTTTTTTTTTTTTTTTTTTTTTTTTTTTTTTTTTTTTTTTTTTTTTTTTTTTTTTTTTTTTTTTTTTTTTTTTTTTTTTTTTTTTTTTTTTTTTTTTTTTTTTTTTTTTTTTTTTTTTTTTTTTTTTTTTTTTTTTTTTTTTTTTTTTTTTTTTTTTTTTTTTTTTTTTTTTTTTTTTTTTTTTTTTTTTTTTTTTTTTTTTTTTTTTTTTTTTATTTTTTGGACGAGAGAAAGAAGAAAAAGAGATCGGGGTTCTTCCAGCAGCTGCCAGGAAGAACAAATTGGAGAAGAAGATGAACAGTGCACGAATCTAGAAGTTTTGCAAGATAGAGAGAAAAGCTTGCTCTCTGGCAGGTTGTGAGTTGTGTTTGTTGGGTAGGGAAGGCTAATTTATAGCTGCCGGAAATCACCATTTTTCAAGAAACCCTAATGGCTCCTTCTTACTTTGGCTGAGCTTTTCTTCCTTTCTCCTCCCCTTCTCTGACTTCCCTTTCTTGGCAAGATGGCTTCTGTCTATCTTCATGAATTTAGGAGATTTTGGGGGCTCAACATCCCTCTTTCCCGCGGCTGTGCAATGAGGGCTTCCACTCTTAGTTTGCTGTTTTTCTTCCTTTTCTTTCTCCTCTTCCTTGGCTGAATCTGATGAAGGAAAGGAGGTGTGCAAATGCTGGTCCAAGGGATGCTTCTGACAGCATGCAGGATGGTATTCATCGGTTCTTTGGATGTCTGGCTTGGGACTGGTTTCCAGCAGCTTACTTAAGGAGCCTGCCATCTACTTCACGTGTTCTCTGTTTTTCAAAAAAGGCTGAAGCTCTTGGGGGCTTTTTTTGGGTTTTTCTAAGGGCCAAGATGGCTTTCTAAGCAAATGGGCTTGTATTGGGCTTGATTTGGGCTTATTATTATTTTTGGTTGGGTTATCTCTTGGCTAGGTTATTTTGCTTGGGCTTTTGGGCTATTTTTCTCTCTTGTGCTTACCCACATGTTTGGACCTAAGAAATGGGCTTGAGTCTCGAGGCTCCCAAGCAACCCGAGACTTTCCATTTCTTGGTCCATCAATGGGCCTCATGTTGATTTATCACCATCCATGCCACAACCCACTCAAGCAAGCCCCCGGGTCTTTTTGAGTGGCTTGGGCCCACCTAGGCTTGTAGCGTGGTTGGGTGCGAGATAACGGCACGGCATGTTGCTCGGCATATTTTACCTTATCGCCCTGGGAAGGATTGTTTTAATTTTTAGCATGATTATATTTTATCATAGCATGATAATTTGTTATTTAGCGTGGCGTGTGGGTTATAACTGCATGCGATAGATCTCTTTTTCTTTTCCCTTATGAAATATTGTATTGGGCTGATAATTGTTCGGGCCCAATCCATGGATTTTTTGGGCCTCAACATTAGCCCCCTTAATTATAAGGGCCATGAACAGGTGCTGGAATGGGCCGAATAATTAAAACCCAACCCAAAAAATCAGATTTGTATTTGCATAGGACTCTTCTTCTCCCGCGTGCAAAATGACGGCGTGCCATGATTGGTCCCGGTGGTTACTTGCAGTTTCCAACGCCAACTGCCTTCCTCTCTTATTTTATTATTTCCTCCCTTTTCTTTCTCTTTTCTTGCACCAGACATCAATTTCCAAAATTTCCTTCTCCTTTCCACGCTCCAGACCAAAACTTTCCCTCAACTCTCTCTCTTCGTTCTTCTTCTTGCCTTCCACGAATCAGATATACTGAAAGAGTGAAGTCAGGCCAAAAATTATACCTCCAGCGCTGAGAAGAAGACCCAAGTCGAACCCAACCCCGTCGTTCCATCTTCGTTCCAAAGGAGCCGTTCGGCGCTGCTGGAAAGGTCCTCCTTTGTGCGAATTTTGCCTTCAAATCCTGATTTCTTCCTCTTTTTGGTGCATTCGACGTCATCCCTTGGAAGATTTAACAAGGTACCCTCTTTTTCCATTTTCCTTAGATTGATTGGAGAATTTGTTGGGGTTCTCATACCCATAGATGTTGCCTTTTGTTTTGGCAGCCAAATACCAAAACCCCCCTTTCTACCCATCTTGTTTCCGCTGCACCAATAGTGCTCACGGAGTGGGTGCTAGCAAGGAAGGGCCCGTGCCATTGTCTAGGTTTCTTCCTTCGTTGATTTGCTCGAGCTGCTGGAAAGGTAATTTTTTTTTTCTTTTTGGCTTGGGTTTCTCCCCCTTTTCTTTTTTTTTGCACGGTCTCCCTCTTTGTGTGTAAAAGGCTGATTTGGCATGAGTGCTTCCCTTTGTTTATTTTTTTGTGCAGGTACACGCATCTTGGGCATAGGTAGGTGCTGGAAACCCTTGACATTTGCTGCTGGGAACCTTCAAACCCTTCAGTCTTCTAACTTAGACTTTGGTAATAACTCTGCCAACTCTGGGTATTTTAGAATAGGTGTAGACTGATGCTTGGCCTAGGCTTTTTTTTTTCCTTGAGAACGCATGCCTGATCAATTATGGAATTCTGCGTGTGTTGCCTGTGAGAGAATGATAATTGACAAAGTGCATGTTTTGTATTGCCTGGTTGAATATTTATTTATTTATTTATTATTCTATTTTGAGAAGGGACTTGCTTATCCTGCTTGTTGATCACAGAGTGAGACTCTTACTTGTCATGAGCTTGAACTTTAAATTGCATGTTTGCTTGGATGAACTCAACTAGCCATACTTGACACGTATTTTACGTGTGCTAATTCTATTTTGCTTCTTTCCATATTTCTATGCGCAGGTACCTATTATGGCATCCTGTGACCCACCATTTATCATAAGGGATCATCTTTACTCCGTAGATGACAGGTTGAAGAGAGGGAGACCACCTCCTTTGCTTAAGGGCGCCGACGAGGATGTAATTATTGATGAAGAACCAGCGCCAGAAGCTACTTCAGTGATCGACCCTGCATCCGTATCAAGGTGTGCTGCATAGAAAGGGGTCGTTTCCGGCAGCAGTTCCTTTGTTCTTTCAATATCCCTGCAGCACCAGCAAGGGTTGGTCGGAGTGGGTTGATGATGAACTGAAGAACCCGTCTACCCGTGATATATCCTAAGCCGGCAGGTGTGCTGGAAGCCATCTTTGCTTCTAAGGCTTGCGACATCCATATTGAAGTCAAGACGCTTCGACACTTGGTTAGACGGTGGAGCACCGAGACACACACCTTTATTTGTTCGTGGGGAGAGTTCACTCCCACGCTTGAGGATGTAGCTAATATTTTCCATCTCCCACTTTGCGGCAGCCAAGATCCTTTCCACATTGCATTAACCCGGAAGATGGGCTAAAGCTTGAGACTTTGCGGAAGGGTGCTCCGACCTCTCCTAGTACCTCTCTAAGATTCAGTAATTGGATTCAGTTTTTGGGAACAGTGACCGAGATGAGCCGTGTCGCCTTGCTGCGTTCGTGTCCTTGTGGCTCGGGAGGTTCCTCTTTTGTGATTTTTCTCAAGACTGCTTGCATGGGAGAGTGTTTCCGTTGGCTTTGGCAATAGCACGGGGTAGCATGATCCCTTTAGCCCCCATGTTCTTGGGGCACTTATATCGCTTGCTTGACCAGATTCAATTTCTTGAGAAGGGGGCGGCCGGGAACCATGGCTGTGGAGACTTTTGTAAATTCCAGTTTTCTGCAGATCTTTTTATGGGAACGCTTCAAAGGGATAGAGGTATCTCCACTCCCTTATTCAAAGGCTGAGTCACTGGTTGCTTCGGACGAGGAATTCCTACGTGTCGGGTAGTCTTCCTCTGATCTGTAGATGGTTCCGTCGCATGCAACGGAAGGGCCAAAATTTTTTAGAGCTGCTGGACGATGTTGAGCAATTTATTTTCCGCCCCTATTGTGCCTCATCAGAGGGCTTTAGAAGTATGCCCCTCTATGCGCTGATTCTGCTGCTTTAATGGAGGCCCTGGCCATGCCAACACAAGGTTGTCGGGTACGCAGAGAGGCATTGTTGAGTGCCGCATGCCTCCCTCTGCCCACATTCGGTGATGACCACTTGGAGATTTCTGTGCATTATTCCCCTTACCGGGTTAGACGACAGCTTGGGTTTGACCAAGGTGTGCCCTCTCGTCCCAACCATGGAGTTCCTTGAGCTTGCACAGGGTTTTCTGGACTGGTGACAGCGTGCCGGGAGACGGCAGGCCCTCTTGCCCTTGCTCTGGCCAGCCGGCAAGCGCGTTGGTGGTCTCTCAAAGGCCTACCAAAATTATTGGAACCGGCTGCTTTGCCTCGTTCAGCCGATTCCATGCTGCCCATTGTGATAGATTGATTCCCACCGTCATTCATCATGCCCGTTTAGTGTCGGAAGAGAAAGCCATTTCCTGAGCGAGAAGCGAAATTGCCCTTTATATCTCCAAAAGCGGAGAGAATTGTGGTGACTTTTTCGAAGCTAAAGCGGAAGTTGGAAAAAAGTCGGGTTCTATATGCCGGGAAAGAGTGTTGCACATGGGAAACGGAAAGCGTGAGGAAAAGTGTCAGCGCCGAGAAAAGGCAAGCTGTAAAGAACCGAAAAGGTTCATCCCCAAGTAGCGGCAGGGGCACTCCCAGCTCAAGAAAGGTTGCCCTTGCGCGAGTCCTTACAGCAGCAGCCTAAGCTTCCGGCAGCAGCGAGCGAGCAGCTCTCAAAAGCTTCATCTCCTCACAGTAAGTATTGCTATTTGTTTGCTCCCTTTGTTCCCCGCTCTTTGCGTATATATAAGTATCCCTTTCATCTTATTTTGCAGGTACTTCCAAAGTAAAGGCAAGGGTAAGGGGTTTCCGTGACCCCGAAACGTCGAAGCATGGTATTCTTGAAACGCGGTTTGCTAATACCGAAAGAATAAGGGTGAAGACTCGGGACCCAAAGTAGTGGTGACGGTTGATGATAACAGTGATGATGATAGTGATGGCGATGGCGCTGCGGGAACGAGACTAACATTCATGAGCAAGAGAGCCCTCTCGCGATACGAGTGGCATGGATGGGACCTTGATGAAGCCAATACGATAGTCACGACGAAGACACCTATCCGGCCTTCGGCACTAGCTTGGGGAGGTCGATGACCCAGATACGACTCCCGCTTTGACTGGCGATCATGGACAGCGTCGTTGATATTGAACTGGTATCAAATATCCCTCTTGCTTGTTTTGCTTGGAATATTGACATTGCATGCTGCCCGTTGTGTCCTCTAGCTCATACTCCGCCTTTCTCTGCAGGTCGTGCCCACCATTGAAGGCAACGATAGGTGCTTCATCGGAGGCTGATTTTGCCCTTCCCACTACTGTCGCTGAAGCTGTCCTGAGCCTTCCGGCAGTGCAACCTCCTCCTTCTCCTAACCATGTACTCCTGACATGGCTGTGCTGAGCCTCTCCGCCACTTCCAACAGTTCCTCCTCCTATTTCTCCAATTCCGAACGCACCTGACATAGCTTCCGGCACGCTCTTACTCTCTTCCAGCAGCACATCCCCCTACTCTCCCAATCTCGAGCACACCTGAGACATAAACTTCCGGCACCGCTCCACCTCTTCCAGCAGCACATCCTTGCAGATGATTGATACGAATAAGAATGGTGATGCTTTTATCGCAGGTTCCTCAAAAGGGCATTTCATTCGAGAAAGGCATGTCTTGGCAAGATTGGGAGAATTCCTACACGGCATTCAAAGCCTTCTTTGATGGTGGTGTCACCATTCTTAGATCCATTGATGAACTTCTTCCGCTTTGCCACAGATTCGATGGTTATGCGACATTCCAAGGTGCCCTTGGTGTATCCAGAGACGGTTGGAGCCTTGAAAAGGTTCATGGACAAATACGGGAGTTTGCTGGAAGCTACAGATGTCACCTCCTCTTTCTCAAGGGTACTGCCCTTCGAGCGCTTGGCTTGGTACTTCACGGAGGGACACCATGCAACTCCTTGATATTACAGATCACAAACTGCTCTGTTGGCGAGATGCAATATGCGAGGCCATGATTCTGGGCTTTCCTCTGTGGAATTTCTCCTTAAACTCGTGAAGAGCTTAGCACGTGCCGTTTTTGGAGCACGGGCCATTCGTAGTATGCAATTATCGCATGATTCCGATGAAGTAAAAGCCGCTGCAGACGCCTTGAATATTAAACACAGAGAGTTGGAAAACCAGCGCCGGGAGATGCATGCCCTTCTTCTTGCTAAGGGAGTTTCTGTTGACAGCGCTGAGTGCGTGACGGAGCAGCAGCCAGATTATCTCCTGGGGCTTCCTTTGTTCTTTTCGGACATTCCCCATAGCCTACAGGTACTCAGCTCATCCATTATATTTTTTTTATATTACGTATTCCAGCAGCAGCTATTTTTTGACACACATTTTCTTTTATCTTTGCAGATTGCCCATCCTTGGCTTAGTGACCATTAGCTTGGCCCGTGATCCTGCTTCGTGACTTAAGGGCGCGTGAACCTTCAGCAGATGCAGCTTTATTTTGCTTTGTTTGTAGTTGTTTTTTTTTTTTTTTTTGAGACTCTAACGACTACGTCGTTATGCTTTGTAATTTTGATATTAAACTACCGAAGCTTGTATGAATTTCTGAATGCTTGAGGCATGTTGCATATTTCCGGTGTAGATATGTATATATACTGCTGTTGTTGGCCAGAATTGTCTTTATGGACTGCTTGACATTTTGACAGGTTGGATATCATTGAAAACAGGGTATATGCTGTCAAATTTTTTTTTTTTTTTTAAACCGAGTCTTCGAAAGCTTCTTTTGCATGGCTTATCTAGATTCTAAGCTTGACAAAATAGCTTCCCACCTTTCCCAAAGGGTCGATCCAACATGTGCATGATTTCTGGCCGAGCTCTATAAAGCTTCCAGGTGTTATATCGTATCGTTCCAGCATCTCAGAATTGCATGTTTCTATGCCTTATGCTATTATTTTTTTTTTTTTTTTTTTAGCGTGATGCTTGGGGACCCCCTATAAATGACTTTGCCCGGCATGTTTAACTGCTAAGTAGCATGTTTATATATATATATATATATATATGGAAAATTTGATAAAGGGTTATAATAGTAAAGTTTTGGAGACACAATATATATTTTTCAAAATATTCCTTCATTTTCATTGCAAAAGCCCTTGCTACCATAATGGTGCATCATACAAAAGTGTTTTTTTTTCAAAACGTGAAAATAAGACAGGAGTTTATTTTTTTTGACAGAGAGAGAATACAAAAGTACTAGGCATAAAGTTAACTTAGCAGTAATAGAGCTTGAGCCACTTCCCATTGACGGGGTCGGTTAGCGTGCCTTCTTTGACAGAGACCAAGCGATAATAGCCGCTGTGAACCTCTTTGACTGCAAACGGGCCTTCCCCCATTGTGGCGCAAACTTGGAAGGTCCCGACACTTGTCTTCTCACATGCTCCGCAACTTTTAGCACGAGGTCTCCTTGCTTGAAGGCGCGAGGCTTGACTGTCCCTGTTATAGGCTTGAGCTACGGTTCTGTGGTACAATGCTGTCTTCTTTTCGGCTACCGCTCTTTTTTCATCCAAGGCTTCAAGGTCCAGCAGGCGCCATTCCGAGCATGACTTTGTATCCCATTCAAGGTCGTTAACAGCTGCTGTTCTGGCAGTGGGGATGGTAATCTCTACTGGGGAAATGGCATCGGACCCGTACACGAGTGAATATGGCGAGAAACCTGTGGCACTTCTTGAAGAGGTGCGGTAGGCCCATAAAAGCATCCGGCAGGTGAACACTCCAACCTCCTTCATACTCATAAACCATTTTGCTTAGGATCCTCAATAAAGTCTTGTTTGTGGCTTCCGCTTGACCATTTCCTTGTGGATAATAAGGCGTGGAGCGGCGATGCTTGATACCATAACCACTAAGTGTCGAGCTTACTTGCTTATTGACAAACGGGGTGCCATTGTCAGTGACAATCTTGTATGGGATCCCAAATCTGCATACAATATTTTCACGGATGAAATTGGCAACGGCAGCTCCCGTGGCCTTCCGCAAGGGAACCGCTTCTACCCACTTTGTAAAATATTCGGTGGCCGTGATGATCCATATGTAGCTGTCGGATGGTGGATGAATAGTCCCGATCAAATCAAGCCCCCAAGTATGGAAGGGCCAAGGGGTGCGCATGTCTTGCAGCAGCGTGGGAGGCTTATGGCTTAAATTGGCGGCGTGAACTTGACATGTGTGACACCTCTTCACAAAGTCGTATGCATCATTCTTCATTGTAGGCCAATAATACCCAACACTCAGCAGCTGCCGGTAAAGCTTCTTCATTCCTTGGTGTTCACCACATTCTCCAGCATGAATCTCTTGCATGACTTGCTGTGCCTCTGACTTTCCCAAGCATTTTAATGGCTCACCATTAAACCCCTTACGGTAAAGAGTTGACCATCTATGAAGTATCTTTTCATTGTCCTTTTGAGCTTGCGTGCATGCTTGGGATTGGTTGGCAGACTCCATTGATGAAGGATGCCAAGTATGGAGCCCTCCAATCCTCCGCAAATGAGACGGTGAACGATTCCTCGGTGGGAAGGTATTTTGCACACTTGGGACAATTGGCTTGTATTTCAGCTGCTTGTTTCCTCATTTCTGGCCAGTAATAACCCTTGCGCTGCAGGCGCCGGTACAAGCTGATTATTGGCTCCAAATTGCAAGTGACCTCATGTACCTCTTGAAGCTTCTCCTGTGCTTCTGTTATCCCTATGCAGCGGGTCAAAATACCTCCCGGAAGGCGTCTGTACAGTTCCCCAAAGATGATCACATAATCCTTCAATTCTTTGATGTTGCTTCCTTTGCCTATTTTTTCTTTCACAAGCTTCCTCCAGTCATCCTCTTCCAGCCGCTCCTCTTGAGCCATTGCTTCAACAACTGGTATGTCCTTCTTGATTACTGCAATATTGGGCTGTTCGTCAATAAATGAGAGCCTGACCCCAAAGTGGCCAACGCATCAGCATATCTATTAGTGACTCCCGGGATATGTTCCAACACAACTTGTTTGAACGAACGAACAAGCCTTTCAGCAGCTGTACGATATGGTGCCAATGCTGGTTCCTTCACGGCGAAATTTCCTTGTAATTGACTCAGCACCAAGTTTGAATCCCCAATAATTTTAATTCTTTTGACACCCCATTTCCCTTGCTGTAGACATCCCTGCAATAAAAGCTTCGTACTCTGCCGTATTATTCGTGCATGGGAAATTTAGCTTAAACGAGAGGGCCGTAGCTTGCCCCTCGGGATTGACAAGCACCACACCTGCCCCTCCACTCTTTGATGTAGAAGACCCATCGAAGTAGAGGGTCCATGGTTCTGCCTCCGTGACAACAGCAACCATTTCCGGCAGCTCCCCCAGAACTTCCTTAGAGATTGTTGATTCTTCAACTTCGGGAAATAGAGCCAACATGTCAATAACAGCCTGCCCTTTGATGGCTTTTGGAGTGGTGCAGGTGATATCGAACTCGGACAGCTGTAACAACCAACGTGCAAGGCGCCCGGATAATATTGGCCTTGTAAGCAAATATCTTACGGGATCAGACTTCACCATGAGATGTAGCTTGTGAGCAAGGAAGTAATGCCGCAAGCGCTGTGCAGCATAGACAAGAGCAAGGCACAAAAGTTCAGTTTTCGGATATCTTACTTCAGACCCCCTTAGTTGCCTACTTACGTAATAAATAGGACTTTCTTCCCCACTATGATCATCTTGAGCAAGTAAGGCCCCAACGCTGTGTTTGTTGCAGCCAAATAAAGCTTGAGAGGCAGCCCCGGAATAGGTGCTTTCATAGTGGGCAGCTTGGCGATTATTTGTTGCACCTTCTTGTAAGCTTCTTGGCACTTCTCACTCCATTCATACCTCTTGCCTTTCTTGAGCAATGGAGTAAAAGCACTCATGGTGGCAGCAAGGCCTGGGATAAAGCGCCGAATATACGATAATCTTCCCATAAAGCTTTTCAATTCTTTTGGGCTTTTAGGCGGTGCAAGAGAATTTATGGCTTTAGTCTTTTCTGGATCCACATCTATGCCACGCTGGTGTACTTGAAACCCCAAGAATTTACCAGATGAAACCCCGAACGCACACTTCTTTGGATTCATCTTCAAACTGTACAGCCGACACCTTTCCAGCACTCTCCTTAAAACTTCTTGATGGCCTTCTCTGGTTTTGGACTTCACCACAAGGTCATCCACATAATCTTCAACTTCTTTTCCCATCATGTCGTGAAACACCGCTGTCATAGCTCTTTGGTAGGTGGCGCCAGCATTTTTGAGGCCGAATGGCATGACCGTATAATAAAAAATTCCCATACGGTGTTCGAAAGGCTGTCTTTTCAGCATCCTTGGGAGACATCTTGATCTGATTGTAGCCACTAAACCCATCCATGAATGACAACAAGCCTTGACCCGAGGTCGAATCAATTAAGATATCCATGTTTGGCAGCGGGAACTCATCCTTTGGGCAAGCTCGGTTGAGATCTCGATAATCCGTGCATATTCTGATCACACCGGTTTTCTTCTTCACAGGGACAATATTCGCTAGCCACGTAGGATGCTTGATTGGTTTAATAAATCCGGCAGCTAACAACTTTTCAATTTCCACCTTGATTTGCTTCTCAACTTCAGGATGAAAATTCCTTCTTGCCTGCACGATAGGTTTTGTACCAAGCTCAATATTCAGAGTATGACTTACTAAGCTTGGGTTCAGACCAGGCATTTCCTCATAGCTCCAAGCGAACACATCTCGAAATTCCTTTAGCAAAGATATCAAGGCCGCCCTCTCCTCATTTGTTAAATGAACACTTATGGAAATGGGCCTCGGGGCAGAGGGATCCTCACTCAAATCAATTGTTTCCAGCTGCTCAGCTACTGCTGCCGATCCATCTTGCATGTGTCTGGGTGCTGCCATTGGTTCTTGGAAAGCACAAGGCAAGGGTGCCTTGTCGTTGGAATTCCCACAGCTATTTGTTTGCATTACTTTCCTCCATACTCGGGGCTTTCCCGTAAGACACGGTCAAGCCCCCAACCCCGTCATAAGCGGTACACGATACGTCCATCGGGCAGCGTCACCTTTGAGCATTGGGGATGATCATAGGCATGGTTGTTGACTTCCGAGTGCCTCTTTCTCTCTCGATCGACAATGGTGATGAGCTCCTCATTGCTTAAATCACGAATTTCAGTCCATGAAGGAAGGTAGGTCCCGAAATCCTTGGATGGATTGCTTCCAGCACCTGTGCATTCAGTGTAGAATTCTGCTTCAGAGTAGTGAGCTTCATCTTTGTTGAAAAGGTGCTTGGTTTCCAGGTATGCGTAGCGGCCTCAGCCCAATCCTTCCTTTTACGCATTGATGATAGGTAGAGACCACAAGCTTATGCTTGTTGAGCCATGGCCTTCCAAGCAAAGCATGGTAAGCCACATCCACATCCACGACATAGAACTTAGTAAGTGACCGAATTGGCCCAACCTTCAAGTGTACTTGTAGATGCCCGACTGTGACCTCACTCTTATTCCCGAAACCACTGATGTTTGTTTGTGATTGGACAATTTTGGACAATGGGATACCAGCTGCCGTAAGCACAGACAGAGGTAATATGTTGACAGAGGAACCCGTGTCCACCAAAGCTCTTCTTATGAACACATCATTGATCTGTCCCTCCAAGTAAAGCGGCCTCCTATGGTCCGGGTATGGAACTTCCATGTCTTCGTCCGTAAAGACAATAGCATTGTCATTTCCCAAGAATGACCTTTGTGGTTGAGTTGTAAAGCATTGAGAATTAGACTCCTCAGAGATATTCATCAAGGCTACAGCAGCTGCTTCCTTGCTTGTGGCCCGAAGCCAAGTTGGTCAAAGAGTGATTTGAACTTTGGGTTTCTTTGAAGGACCTGTGAAGCTGTGGGCCCCTGTTTCATGCTTAAATAACGTTCCATCACACTTGTTTCAGCTTCCGTGATATTATGAAATGTTACGGCAGCTGCTTCCTGCTGCTCCGATAAAGCCCCCGAGTAGCGTTCTTCCGGCACGTCCAGGACAAAAATTTCGCTGCCTGAGTTGTCACCCCATCCATCAGCGAGTGGCCATGGTGTGTTGTAACTTGAAGGCCTTGAATATTTACACCAATATGCCTTTTCCATGTTTCCGCAAGGTTCCCATACGGCTTCCGGCGGCTTTGGGTCATTCCTCCAAGGGTGGCACAATCCATTATCATCAAGCAAATCATCAGAACATGTAATGACAGCGGCTACCTCTTTTCCCCTTCGTTTTGGCAAGGGGTCTTCATCAATGGTTTGCTTCCTAGAGGGAAGTTCAAGGACTCCCTCATGTATTTTGGCGTGTAAATCCTCCTCAGGCTCTGACAGGCAGTGGTTGGATGCCCCACAAATTGGTGATAACGGCAGTACCTAGGATCATTCTTTTCCTCTCGAGTAGGAACCTTGTAGGGTCTGACAGGTTTGATTACGCCATCAGCAATCATTGTGTCAAGGATAGCATGAAATTCTTCATCTTTGCATGGTAGTGGTGGATACGTCTCTCTATCCTTGCGTTTGCGTGAATTGTAGTCGCTGGATGGCTTGTCATCTATTGCTAATGTCTGATGCGCTTCCTTCTTCTCATTTCTCCAAGTCCTTTGTCCTGGTGGCCCTGACGGACATGCTCGTCTTTCTCACAGCTTCCAGCAGCCGAGAAAATTGACTAATGCCAATATTCTCCAAATACACTCTATAATCTGCCACGATATTGCTGATGCAAATTTCAACAAGCGCCTCCTCGTCTTCTCATCATAGCAATCCAATGCCAGGTCCCGGAACCTGCGTACAAAGTCCACGGGATCCTCACCATGCTTTTGGCGGGTGTTGTTGAGTTGAGTGGTGGTGACTCGTTCTTCATGCTGGAAATACTTCTTACAGAACCTGCTTGCCAGACTTTCCCAGGAATGAATAGAGCCTGGTGCCAACGTTGTATACCATGTGTAAGCACGATCAGTGAGACTCTTTGAAAATTCTCTAAGTCGAAGATTATGATCACCAGCATACGGTCCCAAGGCATCGATGAAGCGATTGACATGCTCCTTCGGGCTCCCCTTTCGTCCATCAAAGAGGACAAAGGTCGGTGCTTCATAGCCTTTAGGATATGGCTGCTGGGAGTAAGCTTGATGGATACGGCGGCTGAGGAAGATACTTCCAATCTTCCTGACTTCGACTCAGCTCCTTTTCCAGCATGGCAACAACGTCCTCCTGAGTGACAAAAGATGGTCCCTTCTGCTCAGACTCCTTTCCGGCAGCAGCAGATTCCTCCTGTGGGTGCTTCTCGTTCACTTCACTTGGCTTTGGAGCCGAATTTTTGAGTTCTTTTATCATCTCTGCCATCTCCCTCTGGGTCTCACCCATAGCACGAATGGCTGCAACAAGATCTGTGAGAGTGAAAGTTCCCTCACTTGCACGTTCTTCTTCTCTAGAAGAGGCATGTTGCCTTGACTCTGAGTCAGCATGGCTTGGCCCATCCTGGGAAGTTATGTTGTTGCTTCTGGTCTTCTTTCTTGGAGGCATTGATGAAGATAATGGCTTAATCCCCAGCAGAGTCGCCAATTTATGTAGGGACTTTTTCTTCCTGCAGCTAACGGGCTGGGCTGCTGCAAAAGGTGGACTGAGGAGATTGCCCCTTTTCGTTTAGGGTTCGAAAATTAAGCCTCAAAATACCTCGAAAGGGCAGCGAAACCTTAGGAGATATTTTGAGTAATCTTCACCAATGAGAATAATAGTGACTTACAGATAATTTTGGCATGCTTTCAGATGGTTTTTAGGCTCAGCATGAGTGGCATGAGGCATGGAGAGCAAAACCAACATGGGTTTAGCACTAAGAGAGAAATTAGGCTTGGTTTATGAGGAATGAAAGCGTTTAAGTAAGGAATGGGGTGTTTTGTGAGGAATTTTGGCTAGAGAAAGAGAAAAAGAGAGACAGGGTTCTTCCAGCAGCTACCAGAAGAACAAATTGGAGAAGAAGATGAACAGTGCACGAATCTAAGTTTTGCAAGATAGAGAGAAAAGCTTGCTCTCTGCAGGTTGTGAGTTGTGTTTGTTGGGTAGGGGAAGGCTTAATTTATAGCTGCCGGAAATCACCATTTTTCAAGAAACCCTAATGGCTCCTTCTTACTTTGGCTGAGATTTTCTTCCTTTCTCCTCCCCTTCTCTGACTTCCCTTTCTTGGCAAAGATGGCTTCTGTCTATCTTCATGAATTTAGGAGATTTTGGGGCTCAACATCCCTCTTTCCCGCGGCTACGCAGTGAGGGCTTCCACTCTTAGTTTGCTGTTTTTCTTCCTTTTCTTTCTTCTTCTTTGGCTGAATCTGATGAAGGAAAGGAGGTGCAAATGTATGCTGGTCCAAGGGATGCTTCTGACAGCATGCAGGATGGTATTCATCGGTTCTTTGGATGTCTCTGGCTTGGGACTGGTTTCCAGCAGCTTACTTAAGGAGCCTGCCATCTACTCCTTCACGTGTTCTCTGTTTTTCAAAAAAAAGGCTGAAGCTCTTGTGGGGCCTTTTTGGGTTTTTCTAAGGGCCAAGATGGCTTTCTTAAGCGAATGGGCTTATTGGGCTTGATTTGGGTTTATTATTATTTTTGGTTGGGTTATCTCTTGGCTAGGTTATTTTGCTTGGGCTTTTGGGCTATTTTTTCTCTCTTGTGCCTACCCACATGTTTGGGCCTAAGAAATGGGCCTGAGTCTCGAGGCTCCCAAGCAACCCGAGACTTTCCATTTCTTGGTCCATCAATGGGCCTCATGTTGATTTATCACCATCCATGCCACAACCCACTCAAGCAAGCCCCGGGTCTTTTTGAGTGGCTTGGGCCCACCTAGGCTTGTAGCGTGGTTGGGTGCGAGATAACGGCATGGCATGTTGCTCGGCATATTTTACCTTATCGCCCTTGGGAAGGATTGTTTTAATTTTTTAGCATGATTATATTTTATCATAGCATGATAATTTGTTTATTTAGCGTGGCGTGTGGGTTATAACTTGCATGCGATAGATCCCTTTTTTCTTTTCCCTTATGGAATATTGTATTGGGCTGATAATTGTTCGGGCCCAATCCATGGATTTTTTGGGCCTCAACACCTACCTAATAGAGGCAACTCAGATTCAGAGAGCAAGCCTTCTTTCTAACTTGCAAAAACCCAGCAACCTCGTGCACTGTTCATCTTCTTCTCCATTTTGTTCTTCTGGCAACTCTGCTCTTTATTTTCTCTTTCCTTAGTCAAATCCCTCACAAAACATCTCCTTTCTTACCTTAACACTTTCTTTTCTCATAAAGCAAGCCTAAATTCTCTCTAGGTACTAAACTCATGTTGATTTTGCTCCCATGCCACATGCCACTCACGCTGAGCTAAAAATATTATCTGTAAGCATGCCAAAACCACCTGTAAGCAACCATTATTTTGGTTGGTGAAGGTAACCAATAGGCTTTGCTGCCCTTTCGAAGTATTTTTGGGGCTTAATTTTCAAACCCAAACAAAGGGGATAGTCTCCTCAGTCTGCCCTTTACAGCAGCCCAGCCAATTATAGCTGCAGGAAGAAAAGGTCCCCTACAACGAGATTAGGGATTTTTGAACGATGGGCCTTGTAAATAGCCCCCTGTTTATTTCGTTCTCTAGCTGCTTGTATAATTGTCACAAAGAAGAGGTCCAGCCACTCAAAAACCTTGTAACCCCAAATAGCCTGTGACCCATACACTCTGGTTGAAGAAATTTCACCAAAAGGGAGTGAATGGAAAAAAGCAAAGGAAAAGTGGGAATGAAGGATCTATGGAATTAGGGTTCTAAATGCCTATAAAATAGGGCTTCCTCTACCCAGCAAAGGCATCATCGAGGGCATGACCAAGCTTTGTCAAGAAACTGGGAATTTACTCAAGACACCCCATCTTCTTCTTCCTTTGTTTCTCTCTCTCTTTGAGATAGAAATCTTCCTAATTTCCTCTTCCCCATTTTGAACCTTTGCTCTCTGTAGGAAATTCATGCTTCTCTCTCTCTCTCTCTCTCTCTCTCTCTCTCTCTCTCTCTCTCTCTCTCCTCTTCCCCACAAGTTCCTCAAGCCAAGTCACTTATCAAGTTGTTATGTTCATTTGGTTATTGGTGAAAAATCCTAAAAGTGTTTTTCTAAAGTTTTAGAAAACTTTTCAAAAACTCTTTTGGGAGCCTGGTTCTTGAACTCAGGCACTAGGGGAATTTCATTTCTTTTCCTCTTACAGCAGCCCAAGCCCATTTGTCAGGCTGTTGGAATAAAAAAAAACCCCTACAATATGTCTTTTATCAAAGATGTCCTTAACTCTAACTATTACATAATTAGTTGGCTTTAAGGGTATATTTCTGACAGTCGGTTGTGAGATGGTTGTTATGTTGTTTGATTTTCATTTGATTTTTTGTTTTTATTTATTTTTAATTATTTATATTGAAGTTAATTATTTTTAACTTAATATTAAATCTTTTTTAACGAAGCAAACTCACGGATTGAGACATTAGACTGAATTTGTTACTATTGCAAATACAGTGATGAAATTGGAAAAATTGAAATCACGATGACTAAATTTGATTTCGAGCAAAAACCCAGTGACCAAAAATGTAATTAACCCTACTTATAAATTACAAGAATTGCAAATATTTAGTGCATAAGTTATATGAAATTCAAATAGTGAAGTAATAAATACTAATGCACTAAAAAGGGATAAATGTGATGCAGCTCACAAGTAGGAATCTGACGGAGGGCCGATTCATTGATTTTGGAGGTCTTGGGCAAAAATGAAAAATGAGACCTTTTTGGTTTAACACTTACCTCATTTTGAACAAAAATTATAAGAAAAAGTTTCAAACTTAGGTGCTAAGTGGGTTAAAGATTAATTTTTTTAACGGCCCATTATATGAAAGACAAAGCAAAAGGCCCAAAAAGCATTAGTTTCAACACATAAACTTCGTTTTTTGCTAGTATAGTAGGCTGGAAGTGTGTAGGAGGTCGCATTATTTTTGGGGCCATGTGCGGTCGCCCAGTCTGCCTACCTTGTGGGCCGAGCCTGATTTGACTAATTAGCTTATTACGTCAGACTCAGAACAAAAAGAACATAATTAAAGTTGGGCCCGACACGTCTTATATTTTTGGGCAAGTCGGGCCAAGGTAATTCGGTTGTCACGAACTCACAGTCATAGCCCATGCTGACCAAGACCCAGTGGGCCAACCCATTTCTATTCTATTTATTATATTATATTTGTTTTTAGAGAAAAAAATGTTACATAATATTATTATTATATATATCTTAAAATTTAACCCCCCCCTTTTTCTTTCTAATATAAAATTTTAAAATATCTTTTTTTAAACTCAAGCAATAGTCTAATCATTGGCTTCTTTTTGAAAAAATATAAATAAAAAGCTCCCTAACAGCGTCAAATGTCTAAAAAGTACTATCATATAGAATTAATTTTTTCCGGTCGAGTCGCATTACATGTTGTAGTAAGCCGGTTCTTATTTATATTATTTTATAAGTTCTATTCCAACTTTACCCTTATAGCACGGTCATCATCATCTTACCATGAAAACAAATCACCCCAAAAGGAAGCCATGTGGACGGTTTCTCAGCAAGGGTGAGTTACACCGTGGAGACCTTACAGATAAAGACCATGGCGGCTCCACCATGGATTGATAACTCAATGCGTAAATTTTAAATTATTACATTAAATCTATTTTCAGGTTTATAAGCAATATAACATTAAATCTATTTTCAGATTTATATAACTAATCTTATGGTTGGAGAGTCCTCCTATTAATGGTTATTGTAAAATCAATTTTGACCGTCATGTTTTATCAAATGGTGATTCGGCATCAAGTCTAATTGCGCCGTTCGCTCAGGAGACCAAGGATCGACGTCTGTCATTGCGACTTTCCCAGCGGCGAATTCGTTAGTTGGCGCTCCGGTAGCGCACGGCATCGACGCGGACAGGGCGCGTGGGAGCGTGAGCTTCAACGCGAAGCTTTTGGCTAGGGTTGAGTTTCGGAGAGGTGGGTGGAGGCTGAGGCGGCGGCTCTTGAGGGTTTTGTGCAGTGGCGTGACGGTTTCTCTTTCGTCGAAAGGTGGATTGGGTACTTTGGCAGGCGGGTCAAGAGATTGCCAGGTTGTTGTTTGAGGTAGGGGCAATGCGTCTGGTGCAAATGGTAATTTTTTTAATCTCTCACCTTTCAATTGAAGTCTCTGAAATTGTGACAAGTTAGGAACGAGGAATGTGTTGTTGTATAATTAGTAGTAAGATGAGTTTATGGATTTAGGTTAAGTTGTTGTATATATTTTTAACTACAATTCTTTTGTTGTTTCTGGTTAGTGATGGTTGCAATTGAGTTTGTTTGCAAAATACTACATCTTAGCTAAGCTTGTTGGCTTGTTGTGTTCAGTTGATTATTGTTGTCTTTTTTATAGAGGTCAAGTAGAGCTCATTTGCCTTTAATGGCTCTTGGTGTTTTGATGGAGGCAACATTATTTAGAAAGAAACAGAGTAGTTGCTTAGAACATCTGTCTCATGCTTGTTTTGGCTTTGGTGAAAATTAATCCACCTTACGAGTGGTTGTTTAGAACATCTATAGGCTTTGCCGATCCTAGTGGATTTGAAAATGGTTGGGATATATGTTCATGTTAGATATAGAACTGTAAACCTCCAAACATAATTTCACCACCACTAATCAATTAATGGGGTTTTATTATTTTAGGTTCGACCCATTCGAGACGCAAGTCTCTTAATTACAATCCCTTGCTACAAGGGAAAACCCTTTGATTCCATCATAAAGAAACAGAATGTATGTGTTTGGTTTTGCAGCTGCTCCCAAGTTCAACCTCAGGGTACCTACGTATCCTTTACAGGAATCAAGCCACTCGTAGTTCAAAGATTCGCAATGAATAGATGACTCATTGCAAAAAGGGGGAATTTGAATGAATTCGATTGAGGGGTGTTTGAGTGAATTTAGCTGAATAAGCCAGGGATTCGATATGGAGTTGTGTTTGGGATGGTTGCATCTAGATTGAATCTCTAGATTGCCTACGTACCCTTTCAAAGGGATCAAACCAACGTAGTTCGGAACTTGATTTGTGTAAAGGTAAATATTTAATTTGTGGGGATTTGGTTGATGAGAATTTGGTTGCGGTAACCAGTGATTCAAATTTGGTTGTGGTTGCGTCTATTGGAATGTTAGACTGCCTACGTACCCTTGATGGGATCAAACCGACGTAGTTCCAAATGGATTTGTGTGGAGATTTGATTAGTGAGAATTTGGTTGCGGTTGCGTCTATTGGGATGCTAGACTGCCTACGTACCCTTGATGGGATCAAACCAGCGTAGTTCCAAAATTTGGAGATTAATAGGTAAGTGTGGCCCAATAATTTAGAGTTGGTGTCTTTGAAACAATTTGAAGATTTTCATAGGTAGATGACCTATTGGAAATTAATGGGTAAGTGTGGCCCAATAATTTAGAGTTGGTGTCTTTGAAACAATTTGAAGATTTTCATAGGTAGATGACCTATTGGAAATTAATGGGTAAGTGTGGCCCAATAATTTAGAATTTGTGTTTGAGATATTTGAATCTCATTAGAATTTTCATGAGTAGATGACCCATAAGAAAATTTGAAATGGTTTTGTACCATCTTTTTATTGTTAATGTCCAAAGAAAATTAAAAGGCATTTTAATGAGCCTATTAATTTACTCACATATGGTTTTAAGGATTTAAAAATTACTCCATTAACCACATAATTTATTTGGACCACCCATAAAATATTTTGGGCTCTTGAAAGTTAATGGGTAATTTGTTTTGTCAACCCATCAATTTGTTTCCGGACCTTGATATTTCCATTAGTTGGCCCATAAACAAAGAATCCATGTCAGAAAAGCTTTGAGAACCAGTTGAATTTTGAAACCGATATCTATTTGGAGTAGTAGAGATTAATCCAAACTGAGTCACTCCCATCTTTATCTGGAGTAGTTCAAATCAATTATAACTGGACCAAATTATATATCTCTTCAACTACTCATCTGCCACAATTAATACAGAGCCTTGAGTCGGAGACGCCAAAACCAAGGCAAGACCTTTCTTTTGCTCATGTCTGTCAAAGCAGACCATGTAGTCCACTAAACATGAATTGAAAGTCATCCCAGGCGTCATTCACTTTGCTTTGGCAGATTTCTTTTATTTTATTTTTTGTCTTATTCCCCTCTCTTTGCTTTTCGTTTCTTTTCTTCTTATTTGCTTTTCATCACTTTTCTCTTTCAGCTTCTGGACTTCTTCAACTTTTAGGCTTCTTTGTCTTTGGCTTATGTTGCTTTTGGATTCTTCAACAGCCGCAACACAGGAGGCTTCTTGGTGAGCCATTTTTCCTTTTGCTTTTTGCTTGCTGATGCTTGGTGCATCCTTTTCTTTCCAATTTGATTGGAGTTTCTAAGGCTTTACATATTTTCCTTTGCAGACTCATATCATTTGAAAGGACCATCGTACTGCCAATTGAGGTGCTGGCTTTGCTTTGTCTCAGTTGCTTCATATTTTGCCAGCAACAAAGTGAGAAGCTTTTATGATATTTGCATTTTTGCCACAGAGGAGTGTTGGCTTAATAATTTTCGTGGGCTGTCCGGCTTGGGATTTTTTCTTTGTTGGCAAATTTTGAAGCACAGAACGTGGGTGTGAATCATCGGCTCTTGTAAGCTTTCTGGCACTCAGTAATTTCTGCATCTCCTTTAATATATTTTCTTCTGTTTATGCCAATGGGTGAGACTAAAACAGAGTTATTGATTTTCTCCATTTGCAGCACGTTTTGCCACCTGTTCTTTCTCCAATTTGCAGATTTGGAATTTTACTCTGCTGAAGGTGGGTTGGGCATGTAATAAAACGTCTGGACTGTTGATGTTTTCTGTTTTTGGTACTCAAGAACACTCGCAAGGTCTTCTCTGAGTACCACAATGTGCCTGTGGACACTCACAAGGTGTTCACAGCACTTGTACAGTGGGGTTCTTGCGGAAGCCCATCTGTAATTCACAACAGAGAGGTCCTTGTGAGAGCTCTCTTTGTGTAAGTGGCACAATTATTGCCAATTTGGGAGGATTTGTTCACATTTTTCCACTGCTGAGGTCTCTGTTGATATGATACACTTCTTGATATCAAACATGGAGGAAGTTCAGGCTTCTGTACAATGGCCTCACATACATATTTTTTTGCCTGCAAGTCAGTTGTACATAAAAGGATACTCAGATGAATTTTTTTTATACCTTCTCAATGGTATTGTGACAGAGCTTCGTATCTCTGCAAAGGAAAATATGTAAAGCCTTAGAAACTCCAATCAAATTGGAAAGAAAAGGATGCACCAAGCATCAGCAAGCAAAAAGCAAAAGGAAAAATGGCTCACCAAGAAGCCTCCTGTGTTGCGGCTGTTGAAGAATCCAAAAGCAACATAAGCCAAAGACAAGAAGCCTAAAAGTTGAAGAAGTCCAGAAGCTGAAAGAGAAAAGTGATGAAAAGCAAATAAGAAGAAAAGAAACGAAAAGCAAAGAGAGGGGAATAAGACAAAAAATAAAATAAAAGAAATCTGCCAAAGCAAAGTGAATGACGCCTGGGATGACTTTCAATTCATGTTTAGTGGACTACATGGTCTGCTTTGACAGACATGAGCAAAAGAAAGGTCTTGCCTTGGTTTTGGCGTCTCCGACTCAAGGCTCTGTATTAATTGTGGCAGATGAGTAGTTGAAGAGATATATAATTTGGTCCAGTTATAATTGATTTGAACTACTCCAGATAAAGATGGGAGTGACTCAGTTTGGATTAATCTCTACTACTCCAAATAGATATCGGTTTCAAAATTCAACTGGTTCTCAAAGCTTTTCTGACATGGATTCTTTGTTTATGGGCCAACTAATGGAAATATCAAGGTCCGGAAACAAATTGATGGGTTGACAAAACAAATTACCTATTAACTTTCAAGAGCCCAAAATATTTTATGGGTGGTCCAAATAAATTATGTGGTTAATGGAGTAATTTTTAAATCCTTAAAACCATATGTGAGTAAATTAATAGGCTCATTAAAATGCCTTTTAATTTTCTTTGGACATTAACAATAAAAAGATGGTACAAAACCATTTCAAATTTTCTTATGGGTCATCTACTCATGAAAATTCTAATGAGATTCAAATATCTCAAACACAAATTCTAAATTATTGGGCCACACTTACCCATTAATTTCCAATAGGTCATCTACCTATGAAAATCTTCAAATTGTTTCAAAGACACCAACTCTAAATTATTGGGCCACACTTACCCATTAATTTCCAATAGGTCATCTACCTATGAAAATCTTCAAATTGTTTCAAAGACACCAACTCTAAATTATTGGGCCACACTTACCTATTAATCTCCAAATTTTGGAACTACGCTGGTTTGATCCCATCAAGGGTACGTAGGCAGTCTAGCATCCCAATAGACGCAACCGCAACCAAATTCTCACTAATCAAATCTCCACACAAATCCATTTGGAACTACGTCGGTTTGATCCCATCAAGGGTACGTAGGCAGTCTAACATTCCAATAGACGCAACCACAACCAAATTTGAATCACTGGTTACCGCAACCAAATTCTCATCAACCAGTTCAAAAATCAAGAGCTTTTTTTAAGGTTGGGGATGGGATCACTGATCTAATAACAGAGCTGTGTATAGAATGTGTGTACCTTTTAGTTTTAACAACAATGTCTTCTATTTCTTTGATGTGTGTTGTCTATATCAGAAGAGAAGATTATACCACTCTACCACTTTTCAGATTGGTTTACTTGTGGTTTTTTTCTTTTAATTTATTTGTTAATCAAGTTTGTCTGCCATATTCCTATGTTAAGAATTTAGAATTTAGTGAAACTGGCACTTCCCTTTGGAAGGTCTCCACGGTAGGCCCACGTGGATTGTGCAGCTTAGGCTAATGTTTTTTAAGCTTTTTTTTTCTTTCCTGTGTGTGGTTCAGTCATGTGGTTTGCTATTTGCCACTGCACAGCTTTTTTAAAACCCAACATAACACCGTTCAATCCTGTGTGTGGTTCAAGCATAATAAGCCCACTCGATAACATATCCATATACAAATGAATTGTTTCTCTTGGGCAATTTGTGTAAACCTAATTGTCATCAAAGTTCAAGTCATTGCATTTTAGGCAGGCAGTTTCTCAAACAATAACCAAAGGCAGAGGCTGATTATTTGCTTGAATCAATTACAACATGTAAACATATTTGTGCTATGATAATACAGAGTAGAGCTGCTAACTTTCCCTTACATAGATCCACATTGTGACTAATATTAATTCACTTAATTTGCATCCGCAATCAAAGTAATCTCTTCAGATTCTGAAGCACTTGATGCACAGGGACTTCGATTGTCCACACCAGCTTCACCTGCAGGAATTTGTTGTGGGTATAAGGAAGGCCTTGGAGGCATTTGGAGGCTCTCAATTTCTCCTTCAAGCATCTCCACTACTTTATTCATTGAAGGGCGTTCGATAGGCTTCATTTGTATGCACCATAAAGCCACCATCATCATCTTTTTTATGATCTTCTTTTCCTCATCTGTTGCATCATCTCCTATTTCTATGTCCTTTCCTGCCTTCAACTGATCAGAAACCCATGTGGGAAAGTAGATTTGGCTAAATTGGCTTGATTGTTCTATTCCTGCATTCAGGTTTTTCCTTCTACCAGCCATTTCCATCAGTAACATTCCGAAACTATACACATCAGCTTTGTACGAAACACCTCCAATGTTTTTGTAGAACAGTTCTGGAGCTATGTATCCCATAGTTCCTCTTGCTGCAGTCAAAGATACAATGCTATTATCCAATGGGTACAGCTTTGCTAACCCAAAGTCAGATACCTTGGGAGTAAAATTCTCGTCTAGAAGAATGTTGTGAGGCTTGATGTCAAAGTGCAAAATTTGCATATCACAACCTCGATGGAGATATTCAATCCCATGAGCCACTCCAAGTGCGATTTCGAATATTTTCTGGCAACTCAAAGAGATAGCTTCTTGTTGAGAAAAAATGTATTTGTCAAGAGAACCATTAGGCATGAAATCATATACAAGAGCACGTTTTGAACCATCAACACAGAAGCCAATAAGTCGGACCACGTTAACATGGCGAATCCTTCCAATGGTACCAACTTCGTTGATAAAGTCTTGCCCATTCGTTTTGGACTTACATAACATCTTGATGGCTACGAGTCGACCGCTGCGGAGCTTTGCCTTGTATACGGAGCCATAGCCTCCTTCTCCCAATTTGTCTTTGAAACCTCTGGCCATCTTTTTGATATTCGAGTAAGAATACCGTATTGGCATGAGATTATTATTACTCTTCAAAAAGTCTTCTATATTGTCATACATTGACAAGTGCCTCCTTCCCCATTTGTATATTAGAAGTGCAGTTACAACGAGAAAACCAATTGAAAATTTGGCTGCTAGGTATAGTGCTGCAAGGTTCACAAAAATAATAATATTCTCAAAAAATATATATAATGATAATGTACTCCTCTCCAAATCCATCTCAATCCTGCATGCATGTGTTTGTTCTCGATCGCAACAGCATAAGTTTTTATATATTGTGCCTCCGAATCTAAATAATTATGTTTCAGTGATCAACGCATTTTCTCACCGGGGTAAATGATTGAACAGACCACGAGCCGATTACGAAAGTCGTTGGTGGAACCCATAGGGAAATGCCTATCAAGGTGGAGGAGGCTATATATGGGGTCAATAAAGGGTTCTGAAACAGAAGTAAAGAAATCGATCAATGGTAAAGGCCTATCAAGCGAAAAGGCCAAAACAAATTAACCACGGAGACTAGAGGGATCCGCTCACCTAGATAACGGTCCATCAACTTGACGTACCAACGTTCTACATTGCAAGGGATAACAGTAAAGTTAGCTTATAGACCAAGTTCAGCTTCTTTAACTAAATATATATTAGATAATTCTAGGTTTGGCAATTGTCTAACCTTTTGGTATTATGGTCGTTGACGGGGGGAGATCGCAGTAGATTCCATTGCCGTTGCTGTTCAGCATGCAATATTCCTCTGACCTGCACTTTCCTATACATGCCTGGTCAATCCATGACAGTTGAAAGCCATACGCTATTTCATTATATATTCCTTTGCAGGATGTCATGTCCTCCTCAGTTGAAGGGGACACCATAGCCATTAGTGTTATTTTGCAGGAATCCCCCAAATCGTATGGAATTGGGCCATTATTATTGTCGTTGTAATTGTAGCCACGCCCAAGCATGAAATAAGAATACGTTGTTAAACTGGAGAAAGAGGAATTGGAAGAAGAATAGCTGCTGATCCCATTGATGCATGGAGCTGTTTCAACAATGACATCAGAAGAATTCATTGGATTTTCACAGCTCAGGAAAATTATAGGCATTGATAATGCTTTATAATCTCCATAACCATTAAATTTGTCGCCATAGATATAAGTTGAGGTTGAGAAATGGATATAAAGAGGGTCATAAGATGAAAAGTTGAACTGGGTGAAGGAGTAGAGTGGGTGGGAGAAGTAGTTGTCCTTGATCTTGTGAACACCAGCATCCACAAGTCGGATTGTGAAGTTATTGTAATTGATTGCATGTACGTAGTACTTTCCTGAAAACAAGGATAGAACTGCCTGATGAGTAGTACCATTTCCCTTCGCCTCACAAGATAGCTCGAAGCTTTTGTTGCCGCAGTGTTTAGAGTCTCATTTCAATCGGAATGGGGGATTTATGTTAATATTTCCACAAGAACGGGTACAATCAGCGATATCATCTTTATTATCTGTAATATTATTGGAAGCTGTTTGGGAACAAGATGAAGGAAGAAGAAGAAGAAGATGATGAAGGAGGAGGGCTGTGTATGCAGCAGATAGATGACTTCCTCTGGACATGATGTCAGAGCGGAAGAATTGAAGATCTATTTTTTAGTACAGTTTTTTTTTTTTTTTTGTTTTTTTTTTTGTGTGGTTTTTTTTTTTTTTATGGATGAGAGAGATAAACGGGGTTGCATGACCCGCCCTCCATTGACTAAAACACCTATAAGGAGTGGGGCCTATGTCATCTTGAAGTAATCAAATTGAAGTCCTAACCCAATTAAAAATAATAATACAAAATATTTGAAGAGAAGAAACCCAAGTCCATATCATATCCTCTTCAAGAATACTTGTGGTGTGGTGTGGCTAAGGTTCTCATCATGAATTTCTTATGGTGGTTGGCTTTGGTAGTAGTAACAGTAGTAGGCCATGAAGATTGCAGAGAAACAAGATGTGGCCTGGAAGGTCCAGCCATCCGATTCCCATTTCGAGTTAAAGGTAGGCAGCCAATCCATTGTGGCATCCGGGGCTTTGATCTATCATGCACTGATGACAACCGCACTGTGCTCGAAATGCCATCGTCAGCTAAGCTCTCTATTTATGAAATCAACTACAGATCTCATGCAATAGGAGCAACACTTTCTGATAGTTGCTCGCCGAGCGAGATATTTAACAACAATGGTTCTTCTCCCTTTGAATTCGTAGGGCGCGCATCCTTTTTCAGTTGTCCACCGTCAACAGTAAGAGATGAATATTGTTCAGTAAGTGATGAATATTGTTTCCCATATGGTCCATCTTGTCTGGCGAGAGTGAGCCCTTGCCATGGAAACCATCCTGGCAACCATATATATGTTGTCATTGAGGATTCTTGTACCCTTGATCAACTGCCCCTAGTGTCTTGTATCAAGGTTCATTCCTACACATCAGATCCTGCAGATGCATCCCAAATCCAAGACCAAATGAGAATATGGGCCTCTGATGGTCTGACGCTGCATTGGTCCATTCCTTCCAGTGAAGGTATTACACTCCAAGTTTACTTTCCAACATGGGACCAGGGATTCTATATATGCCAACTATAATTTTGGATTTCATTGATTTTTATTTCACGAACTTCTTTTACAGGTCGTATTTTTGGAAGAACAACCCTGAAGATATTAGGTGAGCTATCAGTAGACCTTCATTTCTTTTCTTGTTTTCCTTTCTTCTTCTTTTATGAAGAGAAATGGAGGGGCTCCAGTACAGGAAATTAAGGATATATGAAATTCTTTTTTTTTGTTCTTTTCAAGTTTTTAGTAAAACATTTAGTTTGATTGCGGGGGGAGAGTATTCATTGGGTGGAGATGAAAGAGCTTAAACCAACTAAGCTATACCCCATTGGCTTGGAAATGCATTTAAATTAATGGCTAAAAACACTTTTGATAACATTTCATAGAAAAAGTTAGAAATGTTTCTTGGCACTTGAATTTTTAATTAATAGAAATCTAGCGCTTCCAATAAAGGCACCAATGAATAGCTTTCTAGAGCAGTATATCCAATTATTTGTATCTAGCCACAAGTTGTGGGTTCTCAGTGTAGAAGATAATATTTGCAGGTATTTCCGCACTCTGTTTAGTTCTAATAGCGATGGGGACGACAATCTGCTATGTCTACAACTCAAACAAAAAGGAAAAAGAAAATCAGCTTAGAATTGAAAGATTTTTGGATGAATACAGAGCGATGAAGCCAAGTAGATATTCCTATGCTGATATTAAGAGGATAACAAGTCAATTCAAGGAAAAGTTGGGTCAAGGTGCCTACGGAACAGTGTTCAAAGGAAAGCTTTCCTCCGAGTTACTTGTTGCTGTGAAAATGCTCAACAGTTCAAATGAAAATGGGGAAGATTTCATAAATGAAGTGGGGACAATGTGTCAAATCCACCATGTCAATGTGGTTCGCTTGGTTGGAATTTGTGCCGACGGATTTATTCGTGCTCTTGTTTACGAATACTTACCAAATGGTTCTTTGCAAAATTTCTTATCATCAGTAGATAATAAGAATTCATTCATTGGTTGGGATAAGTTGCAAGATATCGCTCTAGGAATAGCTAAAGGAATTGAATATCTTCACCAAGGATGCGACCAACGAATCCTGCACTTCGATATCAAACCACATAATGTATTGCTAGACCAAGATTTCACTCCAACAGTTTCTGATTTTGGTTTAGCCAAGTTTTGTGCTAAGGATCAAAGCGCAATATCGATGACTACAGCCAGGGGGACCATGGGCTACATTGCACCCGAAATCTTCTCAAGGAACTTTGGCAATGTCTCCTATAAGTCGGATGTCTATAGTTTTGGAATATTGTTGCTTGAAATGGTTGGAGGCAGGAAGAACTTTAAAGTCATGGAGGACTCCACTAGCCAAGTCTACTTCCCATAATGGATCTATAACCTTTTAGAGCAAGGCAACGACCTACGAATCCATATCGGTGATGACGAAGGAGATGTCACAATTGCTAGGAAACTTGCAATTGTGGGTCTATGGTGCATCCAATGGCATCCAATAGATCGTCCTTCAATGAAAGTTGTAGTTCAAATGTTGGAAAGAGAAGGTGAGAATCTAGCCATGCCTCCTAATCCTTTTGCAAGCACTTCGAGTTTAAGGAGAATATAGTGAACAGATCTCTACGTTGAAGAAGCAGCTGTGTCTGTATGGATTATACCACTAACTTATGAGATGACTCTTCGAGTGTTCTTATAATAAGATTGTTATGGTATTGTTGTGTGTTAAGCAGCTAGTACTAGTTAATTAAGAAATTGGTTTGAGTTTAATAAATTTCAATGTAAAGTTTTAGATAGCAATAATTCATCAAACTTGCAGTACATGTTATGATTGAGACTAAGATAGTGTCTCTTTTGCTATATATTCATATATAATGGTGTATTTTAAATTATAGAAAGGAAAAAAAAGGGTGACCCATGATACATGCTATAATTAATTTGAGGATATGAAGCCATATTGTGGTTGAGCATACACCAAAGTAAATAAAATTGGTCGTATTTATATATATTTTTTCATACAAACACTTACGAGGGAAGAAGAATCAAATATTGATCTTTCGGGGTAAAAATAAATGATCTTAATCACTAGAACTACAAACTCCTTGTAATATTTATTTTTCTTCAATGTGTAAGTGTAATATTTAGATGAGTGTATGTCAATATTTCCTATGAACTCCTCTACTTAATTATTATTTTTAAGTTTTTATCCAAAAGCTCTAACCTCTTATTATCAAGTTATTACAACATTAACCATTACTTTATGCCCACTCCATAACGTTATCTTACAAAAAGTTACTCAAATAAATGGATGAACTCAATACTTCTTATAAACGATGATGACCTAAAAATTAAACGATTTGAATCATGTGATGACATTGTGAAGTAAACCCAATTATAAATTTAGCCCCTTAGTATATGAATGGTGGTGCAGTTTAAATATCCACATAAATGATTCCGAGTCTACTACCATCAACATGACAATAAACTAGTCCAAAAATGCAGAAGAGTCCACGTATTGTGCTCAAAACTTCAAACACAACTGTTATACTGCATGAGAGGGTACTTGTCTACTTATTGTTGTACACATGCTGAAACAACGAGAGACTTGGAGCTGACCACAATGTTTTTCCAACCCATATATTCAAGTGAGGAAGCAGGTTTTTCTGCATTAATTTGATGAAATGAGTTATATCGACTTCAAAGAAGAAATATGAGTCCCACATTTAATTACCATATGATAAAACCTGTTACTTTTAAATTTTGATTTAAATTATAAAAGATGACATATAATAAGAATTTATTCTTTAGTTGCAAGATGTGGCTTTCGGAATAGCCACACTATAACGAATTGAATATCTTTACCTAGCTAGGGTGTCACCACCGAATCCTCCACTTCCGATATAACACCACATAATATGTACTTGCTAGATATCCCAAAAAAAAGTTAATATAATGCTGCCCAATCGTTTGGGTCAATTTAACAATATTATTAAATGATCTGAATCGTTCATTTTTCAGGTCATGAATTAAAAATCACCCTTATAAAAAGTTACCAAATTTGAAAACATTCAGGCATCTAATTGCAATAAAAAATAATAGACGAACACAATACTTCCTATAAATAATGAAAAAACATTCATGATAATAATTAAATGAATAAACGATTTTCGATTTGACTAATTTTTTTCTTATTAGCCCACAAACTGGGTTAAGCATATAGCACTTGAGTTTATATATATCTCCAAATAAAGGATTCTTGGTCCACTCCCATCAACATGACAATAAATTAGTCTATGTATTGTTTTCAAGGGAATAGACCATTCTCTCCACTAAACTCAAAGGTGCAAAACATACCAAGCTAGTATTAGGGCTGACAATGGGTCGTGTCATGTCGGGTTCGTGTCGTGTCAGGATTTTATACGTATCAAGAATGCTAAACCCAAACCCAATCCGTTTAATAAACATGTCATTTTCGGGTTAACCCATTTATTTCCCGTGCGGGTTTCGAGTTATGTCGGCTTGACCCGCTAAGTTGTAGCAAATAAAATTTTTTTAAAAAATCTAAATTTTGATAAATTAATCAAGTAATTGCATTTTTTTACTTTTATATAAAATAATTATTGTATTTTGCCTCTCTCTATATATAAAGATTGAGATTGAGAAATTTAAAAAATTTAAAAAAATTTAAAAAAATAAAGAAAATGAAGAAAAAGCAAAGAAATGGGTTGGTGGGTTATATAGGTATTTTAGAGGATTGGTGGGTTATATAGGTATTTTAGTGGGTTAACAGGTTGACTCGTTTAATAAACGGGTTAAACAAGTATCGGGTTGGCATGTTACATATGTGTTTTATCGGGTTGGCAGGTTATATAGGTATTTTAGCTGGTTGGCGGGTTAACCCGTTTAATAAACGAGTTAAACAAGTGTTTTAGCGGGTTGACTCGAAACTCACCCGTTTATAAACGGGTCACTGACAGGTTGACTCGAAAATGACCCATTTTTTATCGTGCGGGTTCGTGTCGTGTTTTTTCATGCGGGTTTCGAGTTATGTAACGGGTCGTATCTGAAATTGCCACCCCTAGCTAGTATTGTGCTCAAAACTGTTGACTAATATTCAAACACAGCTGTTATGAGAGATACTTGTCTATTTATCGTTGTCCACATACTGAGACACCCCAAGAAAATATTCTTTCCGTTGAAACTTGTAATTTGTAAATTGGGGCCATACATAAAGCGTTTAAGAGGGGGGTCATTGTCCCATGTGCCCTTTTCTTTCTTCAGTATGTGAATGCTTGAATTTTTGTCCACCGACACTGCATGGCTAATTATTTCATTTCTCTTTTTTCCATCTCTGCTTATTTTCCAGGATCGTTTTGTAGTTTTGTGCATATTAGTCAAGTCAAGTCAGCTAGTACAATTGCTAAACTAATTAAAATCTGCTTAACTTAATTACTCTCTGCAACCAACTGCTTCTCTTTCAGTATTCTCAGTTCCGAGTTGGACGTGGGATTTGCTTGTTGTAAGATGCTGAGATCATTAAGCAAATGATAATTAATTAGGTCTACATCTTTTTTCTGTTTAATCTTGTACAGGTTGAAGTCCTTTATTCACATTTCCTTTTATTTGTATCAAGTTACAAAGAAAACAGTGATTGCTGCTCAACGTTGCTTTTGTAAATGGTTTGTATTTGTGTTTTCCCGAAGTTGTGAGCGCCCTATTTTTTTGATAGTGAGTTTTTGGAGCAAAAAAACACCAAGTTTATACTAAACTCCGAACCGATCTTTAACTTAATGGGTGTGCTCAATCTATACTTACAAAGACTTTTATAGACTTTTTAAGTGAATAACTTTTATAATTAAACTTCACAAAGTAGTTTTAATGACTTTTATATACTTTATTATAGACTTTCATAAACTTTCGCATAGATTTGAATTATATAATACTTTTTTATAGATAAAAATAGACACCATTAATTAGTTGGCAGTAGAATCATAGTATTCAGAATGGGCTTTGTAAACCACCGCCTTAGACCACTCCTCTTTGTTAAGAGTTTGCTTGTTACCTACTTTCTACCCTTTCAGCTCTCCCATGAAATTCCTTTATGACAAAAAAAATGTAGGCATGAATCAATGAATACCCAGACGTGGATTTAAGAAACCAATCAAGAGAAGAAAATGAATCAAAATAATGAAAAACACATAAGATATTTACGTATTCGTGACTGTAGCTAGGGAGTTGCGTCACTTGAGGAGAGCCATCTATTTGTATATTTATCAATCATATAGTCACTAGAAGTCATGAATTGAGTGTGTTGGTCAGACTTCGGTAAATTTTTATAAACTCTTTAAAAATCTAAAATAAATACCTCACTTTTTAATTTCATTAAAGCCATTAAAATTCATCATACTTACACCCCCTAAACTTTAGGTGATCAATAAGACAAAATCTAAAATAAAATAAGGTTTAGTGGTTATAAGAGCATCTCCAAGGGAGATGTCAAATACCAAACATCAAATATAAATTTGATGGCTGATATGGCAATTTGACATTTACATAGTTTCACACTTCACCCGATATGTCAAATAAATAATTATTGTAACAGTCAAATCATTTAAGATAAATAGAAAAAAAGGAAAATAATAAATGAAAGTAACAGCCATCTATCTTTTAAAAATAATAAAATATTCATTTGACATCTTGCTTTTGGGATGTCAAAAATAACATATCAACCTCCAGCCTTCATTCCACATCACCTTTGACACATCGGTTGGAGTGATGTGAGATGTTATTTCTAACCGTTAAATGTCTATGTGGCACTTTTGATACATCGGTTGGAGATGCTCTAACGTGTAAATTGGGGCCATATGCATGAGACCAACAAGAAAATAGAAAAGCAGAACTTTGTATGTAAAACGTGTACAGTTGCTAAACTAAAATCTGATCTAGCTTAATTACTCTCTGCAGGCAACAGCTTCTCTTTCTTGGTCCATGTAAATATGTAATGCTTTAGTGTGCTAAGCCTAACTTACGTGATATTATGTTAGTATTCCAGAAGTTGTTTGAAAATTATTTAGATCAGAAACCCTACACCACAATCCATTATTAAAATTAATACAATGCTTACAAAGTGTTGGGGTTCACTTAACAATATTATTAAAATGATCTGAATCGTTATTTTTTAGGTCATGAATCAAATATCATCCTTACAAAAAGTTAGCTAAGTTTAAAAACATTCATCAGTCATCTAATTGTGGTATAAAAAAAATATTAAAAAAATAGACGAACACAATAATTCTATAAACAATAAAAAATTCAAGATAATAATTAAATGAAGAAATGATTTTTGATGTGGCTAATTTTTTTCTTATTAACCCTACGAACCTGGCTAAGCATAGAGCCATTGAAATTTATATCTCCAAATAAATGATTCTGGTCCACTCCCATCAACTTGACAATAAATTAGTCTATATATTGTTTTCAAGTGAATAGACTATTCTCTCCGCTAAACTCAAAGGAAATTTCCTTTTAGGTGAAGACTAATGAAATTTCCAAAAGGAAGACTTTTAAGTCTAGAGAAGCAAGAATCCAGGTCTGAGCAGGCAATGTAGAGGAAGACCTTGACCATATACTTGTGTGGTATATTTCCTCACCACAAGTTCACAGCACCACGCACACGGAAAGAAAATCATGTCTGATTGTTCTCATCCTTTTCCCAAAGAAAAAAAGGACAAAAGAAAAAACAAACAAAGAAAGTGCAATGAGAATTCAACAGTAGTTCCACAATAGTCAACTTACGCTTCTCTCCAACCCACTCCTCAAGTCGGGAAATATTTTCTGCAGTAATGATTATTTGGACTTCATGGAAGCAATTTGAGTCCACATATAGTCTTAATGATAAAACATGTTACCTTTTATCTTTATTTAAATTATTTATAAAAAAAACTAACAAAAAAGTAAGAAAAGACTGATGGGTTTTCAATGGCGGTTGGACTTTTTGAGCTAACAAACTTTAACATCAAAGAGCCACCGAGGTTAAGCATAAAAAAAAACAGGGCTCGTTTTTCCCTTACTAGATCAAAAAGAAAAGCAAATGACCTACTGATTTAGAGCAATTGTTCCCCTATGCAAGGTCCTGAGTTCAAATTCTAGCATTCGTTTAATATGTGTGAGTTTAATACTATCGCCTCTTTGAATAGGAAAAGTCCTAAAGAAAGCTGAAGAAGAGAAATATTATGACTCCAATAATTCGGTTAAAAATAACTTTTGGCCTTTTGATGTAGCTTGGAGTAAAAGATGCCCCATTCGATTGCATTGAAGACTATAACTTTCAAGGAAAATAAATGCTAGACTAATGAATACATTGAAGAGGGAGAGAGAGAGTTTAATTATTGATGGAAAATGGATCGTATGGTTTTCTATCATTGGGCCCCCGTTGTGCTTAGACTATAATGAGTGGAAAGTTATAAGAGGTAAGTTATAAGAGATTCGCTTTATAACCATCAGATCAATCCCATTTGCCCTTTTCTTTCTTCAGTGCGTGAATAATGCTTGAATTTTTGTCCACCGAAACTGCTTAGCTAATTATTTCTACAATGTGTGATTATTTTCGTGGATCGTTTTGTAGCTTTGTGCATGTCAAGTCAAGTCAGCTAGTGCAATTGCTAAACTAAAATCTGATCTAGTTTAATTACTCTCTGCAGGCAACTGCTTCTCTTTCTTGGTCCATGTAAATATGTAATGTTTTAGTGTGCTAGGCCTGACTTACGTGATATTATGTTAGTATTTCAGACGTTGTTTGAAAGTTTTTTTAGATCAGAAACACTACAGCACAATCTATTATTATGTAATATGACACTAGACAATAAATTAGTCTATATATTGTTTTCAAGCGAATACATCATTCTCTCCGCTAAAGTCAAAGGAAATTTCCTTTCAGGTGAAGACTAATGAAATTTCCAAAAGGAAGACTTTTAAGTCAAGTGAAGCAAGAATCCAAGTCTAATGAGGCAATGTTGAGGAAGACTTTGAAAATATACTTGTATCGTATATTTCCTCACCACAGCACCACGCACAAAAAGTTATTTTAAGTCTAGTGAAGCAAGAATCATTATTTTTTAGGTCCTTGATCAAATATCATCCTTACAAAAAGTTAGCCAAGTTTAAAAACATTCATCAGTCATCTAATTGTGGTAAAATAAAAATAAAATAAAAGACGAACGCAATACTTCTGTAAACAATAAAAAATTCAAGATAATAATTAAATGAAGAAACGATTTTTGATGTGGCTAATTTTTTTCTTATTAGCCTACAAACCGGGCTAAGCATAGAGCCATTGAAATTTATATCTCCCAATAAATGATTCTGGTCCGCTCCCATCAACTTGACAATAAATTAGTCTACATATTATTTCAAGCGAATAGACCATTCTCTCCACTAAACTTAAAGGAAATTTCCTTTTAGGTGAAGACTAATGAAATTTCCAAAAGGAAGACTTTTAAGTCTAGAGAAGCAAGAATCCAGGTCTAAGCAGGCAATGTAGAGGAAGACCTTGACCATATACTTGTGTGGTATATTTCCTCACCACAAGTTCGCAGCACCACGCACACGGAAAGAAAATCATGTCTGATTGTTCTCATCCTATTCCCAAAGAAAAAAAGGACAAAAGAAAAAACAAACAAAGAAAGTGCAATGAGAATTCAACAGTTGTTCCACAATAGTCAACTTACGCTTCTCTCCAACCCACTCCTCAAGTCGGGAAATATTAATGATTATTTGGACTTCATGGAAGCAATTTGAGTCCCACCTATAGCCTTAATGATAAAACATGTTACCTTTTATTTTTATTTAAATTATTTTAAAAAAATAACAAAAAAGTAAGAAAAGACTGATGGGTTTCAATGGTGGTTGGACTTTTTGAGCTAACAAGCTTTAACATCAAAGAGCCACTTCAGTTAAGCAAAAAAAAACAAAGCTCGTTTTTCCCTTACTAGATCAAAAAGAAAAGCAAATGACCTATTGATTTAGAGCAATTGCTTTCCCATGTAAGGTCATGGGTTTAAATTCTAGTATTCGGTTAGTATGTGTGAGTTTAGTACTATCACCCCTACGAATAGGAAATGTCCTAAAAAAGGTTGAAGAAGAGAAGTATTATGAGAAAATGTGAAATTTTAATGCTCCAATAATTCGGTTAAAAATAACTTTTGGCCTTTTGATGTAGCTTGGAGTAAAAGATGCCCCATTCAGTTGCATTGAAAACTATAACTTTCAAGGAAAATAAATGCTAGACAAATGAATACATTGAAGAGGGGGAGAGAGAGTTAAATTATTGATGGAAAGTAGATCGTATGGCCTTCTATCAGTGGCCACGTAGAGCTTTTATGATTTAAGCATTTCTTTGGGCTAATTTAGGTTTTCTTTAGGCTAATTTGGGTTGGGTATGAGTTTTAGTACTTTGGCCCAAGCCCGCCCACACAGACAGAGCTATTAGCGGCCAGACTATAATGAGGGGTAAGTTATAAGGGGTAAGTTATAAGGGTTTTTTTTTTTTTTTTTTTTTTTTTTTTTTTTTTTTTTTTTTTTTTTTTTTTTTTTTTTTTTTTTTTTTTTTTTTTTTTTTTTTTTTTTTTTTTTTTTTTTTTTTTTTTTTTTTTTTTTTTTTTTTTTTTTTTTTTTTTTTTTTTTTTTTTTTTTTTTTTTTTTTTTTTTTTTTTTTTTTTTTTTTTTTTTTTTTTTTTTTTTTTTTTTTTTTTTTTTTTTTTTTTTTTTTTTTTTTTTTTTTTTTTTTTTTTTTTTTTTTTTTTTTTTTTTTTTTTTTTTTTTTTTTTTTTTTTTTTTTTTTTTTTTTTTTTTTTTTTTTTTTTTTTTTTTTTTTTTTTTTTTTTTTTTTTTTTTTTTTTTTTTTTTTTTTTTTTTTTTTTTTTTTTAAAAAATGCATCTACGTGATCAGCAACTAACTCTTTTTGACGTTGATGAGAAAGTGCCCTCTCAAATCTTATTATGAAATCCATCAACGAATTTTTCCTTGATATGTATTGCTTGAAGAAACCATGAGAACATTCAGCTCTTTGGCTGCTTGACATTCCAGCGGCAAAAAAGTGTCGTGCGTAGGCTGGAACCCAAGATTCCCTTAAATCAAACATTGAACTTACCCATGGATGGTCAGTCAAACCAGCCTTTGTAACCACAATATTCCATTTTGCATCAAACTCATCCTTATTGTCAGTATCCCATATGGCTTTCTGGAATTCACCCCAATACTCCTTATAAGCAGAATGTGGTAACTTAACAGAGAACTTTGATGTGATGTGCCATATGCAAAGTCGATGAAATGTAGTCGGGAAGGCTATTGAAATCGCTCTGCTCATTGCCGCATCTTGATCTGTGATGATCGTTTTAGGTTCGCCACCTGGCATGGCTTTCTTAAACTCCTCAAACATCCAAATAAACGACTCAGTCGTTTCCTTGCTCAAAAATGCGCATGCTAGGACAATTGTTTGACCATGGTTATTAACTCCCAACATTGGTGCAAATGTCAAGTCGTATCTATTCGTGTTGAATGTGGTATCAAATACAACAACATCTCCATAAAACCCGTACGCCCGTCTAGAAGTTGCATCTGCCCAAAAACATCGACTAAACCTGTTATCGCCATCTCCCTCAATCTTGAAATAAAAAGCCTCATTTTTTTTCTGTTCAGCCATAAAATACTCGGTCACTAGTTCAACATCGTGGTTCCTCAGCTTCTCATTCACACTACATTCAAGATTGTACATATCCTTTTTGATAAAACCGATTTTATCCATTCCTCCGGATTGCACCTCGAAAATACTTACCTTCTGATTAATGGGAATATTAACCGAACCCAACTGTTTTGTAAGTACTTTTGTAGAATCTGAAATACGACGGTGTGATCTCAGTAAATGCATTCTTCCTGAGGGTGTCATCTTATGATTGTGTCCCTCTGCAAAAAGAGAGATGGTATACTTCTTGCTCCCATGTGTCTTCACAACCACAATCTTAGCTTTGCAATTGCATCTACTTATTCCCCGCTGTCTTTTTCTCTCCCGAGTTTCATCATTCCGGTATGCACCTTGTTTGCAACATACAAATTCTTTTCTCAGAATCTCTTTCTTATTTTTCCCCCCAAAAGCTGGAATGAAGTCGAATACCAAAGCCAGCCAAGAATGCATATCTATTATAGAAATTATAAACGAGGTCAAGCGAGTCGAACTTCATCCCAACTGCTGGTGTTTCCTCATTTCTTACTTCAGGAATGTAAACCCTCCCATTAGCTGTTACAGAGTCATCACTCTCTGAGCCCCCAGACATTTTATCCACGTATATTGATCTTCTATATTACTGCATAGCAAATGTTAATTCATTAATCAATCATTACTGCATCACAACTTATCAATGCATTCCACTTACACAAAACATTGCCCAAATTGACACAATACACGCATAGCCTAGCTTGTTGGATTCTGATTACACAAAACACAAGCAAAATTTAATAATAGTTACGTCATCTCTTGTGAAATAATCTGGAAAAAATAACATTAGAACCAACATGTTCAACTAAGAACTCAAATGTAATTCAAACCAGCAATTACAGAACTTCACCCAATATCCTCTCCAAATGCTTACTTCTAATGCCATTAAGCCTAAGTTTAGGATCTTTTACCTACATTTCATAATTTTCCAATCCCCCTCCAAACAAAAATAATCAACTAAGTATATTGAATATTCATAAGGAAATGACGCATTATTGATAGCAGAGCAAATGACGCATTATTGATGCCACAAATGACAAATTTCTCACCCCTCACAAAAAACAAATCAAACCCAGCAAAATCAATCCAGCAAGAGTGAACTTACCTCTCAAAGTCAAATGACGCATTATTGATAGCAGAGCAAATGACGCATTATTGATGCCACAAATGACAAATTTCTCACCCTCACAAAAAACAAATCAAACCCAACAAAATCAATCCAGCAAGAGTGAACTTACCTCTCAAAGTCAATCGGGAGTTCCGAACTCAGTCAGCTTCAAAGAATGTGGTGGACATTAGAGAGGATTCTTTCGTAGTGGAGACTCCATCTCTACCAAAATCCAGGAACAACTGCAGCAGCACGAAAAAGAGATATGCTACTTTGCTTTCATCTGGAATCTCTTCTGCTGAACGAAAAAGAGAAGGGGTTTTCACTTCAATCATAGAATCAAAACAGGGCAATAGCTAGGTAAAAGCCATTAATCATCATACCGAGGATACCATAGATCGCAGGCCTCCCAAGAAGCTGATGACAATGGAGCGATTATAGAGTTTGGGAGCTTATAGAGTTTGGGAGCTTTGGATCTTTCTAATTGTGGATTTGCATTACATTAAAAAAGAGAGGATTGTGTTCTTGAGTTTTTCACAGAGAGGGAAAAATCTTCAGCTGAAGTTGGGTTTCCAAACGGGTCATATTTCAACCCGGTTCTACATGCACCCTCTTTTAAAAACTCACCGTTGGATAAAATCCAACGGCTCTTACATACCCCTCAAAAAAACCCCTTATAACTTTCCACTCACTATAGAAGCACTCATGTATTTCCTCCGTGAGAATTTGTTTGGGTTCGAATTTACAAAAGCCCAATATATAGGCTAATTGTATAAAGCTTGATGCGAATTTGACCCAAAAAATAGAGAGAAGAAAAAGCTTGATGCGAATTAATTTAAATGAGAGAGGCCCAATGACTTCACTGGTCCAGTACCAGTTTGTAACCCAAGTGGAGTTTATATAAAGAAACGTCAAAGACCCTACAAATTTCAAAGAACACAAACCCTTTCATGGATTTCTACACAACCTTTCTCGTACACGGTGTTTTTCGGCTTTGAATGAATGGGAAGAGAGGGCGACGGGAGGATGGCAATTTTTTGAAATTATCAATAACACTATTAAGACCGTTAAGATTACCAGTGTACTCAAGCAATATTGGCAATATCTATTGTGATAAGTAGAACTTCATTCTCCAACTTATCTATTAATCTTGGCAATTTTTTGTATTTCCAAAAGCATAAAGAGCATGCTTTAGAAACAAGAATGCAAACAAATTAATAAACCTCACAAAAGATTAACACAAAGTACGATACATATATTTGGCTCTACTTTTAGTTGTCACTTATTTTGATACATTTTCTTTATTTATTGTATGCCAATAGAAGTATTGCTCAGTTGGTTGAGCTCTTCCATCTTCACCCATGTGGACAGAGGTTTACAACCTCTAAGCACCCAATGAAGATTTGTGTAAAACCCCCTCCTCCAATCACTTGTACTAAAATATAAAAAAAAGGAAATAAACCTATTAACTCTAATCCCGACAAGAGCCGCATAGGCCTCATATCTACCAAGAAAGAGATACAAAATAGTAGTTTGAACAAAATATTACAGATAATCTTTTCACTTTCATAGCCCTTGTGATATGCAGATTCTGCTCTTGAGATCAGCCTTTAGGAGAAGAATCATCATGTTTGTAATATTCTACTAAATAGTATACCCTGAGCACAAAGTTACCTTTTGTAGCCTGTCTGGTAAAAGACCCGTTCTTACTTATAAATTCCTGTTTCTCTTTCGATCCTTGAGAAACTGGGGAGGAGGGCATCAATAATTCCTTTCCCCAGAGGAGGGAACCTAGTTTATATTGATTCTTGTCCGCAGTGAAATGCACTAGAAATTAAGTTTTCCACAATCATAACTTGTAAATTTAATGCTTATACGGTAAAAGAACCTGTAAAATATGGCATCCCTCAAGAACTTCATACCCCATCCAGACCCTGCCTGCTGCACCCATCCTGATAAATATGACCCTGCGATCAACAAAGCGACGCGCCACCTTCTTTCTTCCACATATTTTCCAATTGTAACCGCCATCTCTTTTGGCACCAGTCGTCCATTTTGTATAAAGGACTTCCCTATGTGTCTGCCTAAAACCACTGCATCCTCTAATGCTGAGCAACCTCCTTGTGCTAAATCAGGTGTCATAGGGTGCATGGCATCGCCAGCCACCGTGATGTTTTGCTTGCTTAAGTTCCCAACTACTACATGCCATGGATACCTGAACATTAGTGGAGCCCATGTCAATGTCGAAAGATTCGAGTGCTGCACAACGTCTAGGTATATAGGAGGAAGGTCCTTGGCATAATTCTCAATCACTTCTCTTTTTATAACTTCGGGTTCATCTGCCATATCTGCCCCTACAATGATAGAAAATGTAGCATACAATTTACAAAACTTATTATAAGAGAATCAAATTTGTTACACAGAATTTTCTGCGGTCTGCTTAGTAGTGTTGACGTTTTGGCTTTATTCGCATAATGCAACAAGCGTGGTTCTTATAGAGCAAATTTTTTTAGACAAAATTAATTAGTTGTCACTAAGTAAAACAAAGGGCATGGTCTGATGTTTTGAACCTTTAGCTGGAGAGGTGCAAGTGAAAAACCAATAGATCTCTTTGTCATTGAGGGGAACAAAACCAGCCCTTCTTCCTAGTCCTAAATATTGTTGCACGTTGTTGTCCAGTCCATGACCTTGAGGAAACACAGACAAGCCACGAACCGCTGATCGACCTGAATAGACCGGTTCGGCAAGTCCTAACCAGCGTGCCACCACTGAGTGCATCCCATCACAGCCTATCAGAACCTATAGCCGATAATAATCCAATTAGAAGAAAAAAAAAGGAATAGAGAAGTTAAAGTCCATTCCATCAAAATTGAAATACTTATAAACAGGGCATGTTGGTTTATGTTTACCTTTGCTTTGATGACAGTCCCATCTGCCATGTGAATAATGGAAATGGATGAACCTTCATGTTCTTGGGTCTCAATAGCAGTGAGCTTGGAAGAGAAACGGATTGAATTAATCGGCAATTGATCTGCCAAAGCATTGAGTAAGGCTTTCCGGTGTACTGATCTTGGTCCAACTGGATCACTGCTTAATTTCATGTAAAAGATTACTACATTGAAACCAATGATGGATCTGCACTCCTAATATATTCCACCAGGTGTACAAAGTGAACAAAAAAACAAGACCCACCCATTGGAGGCAACGAAAGAAACGTCTTGGATTTCTCCAGTATCCAGGTTGGTTATATATCCCCTGATGATATAAACACCAAATATAAATACATCAAAACGTTGAATCTCTATCTGTATCTATACAATATATACAGAATAATGTTAAAGTTGAAGACGATAGTATTAAACAATATAGGAACAATATCACATCATACATTGGAAAGAAGTACAACATGTAAAACTTGTAGTCAACATATAGGAAACCAAACCATTTAGAATTACGACCACGAAAAATAAATTAGAAAAATTCCTTTGCTTCACGAAATTCGCGTAAACAGAGTTTGAACTTCATATTATACCAAAATTCTGTCAATAAACACATAAGAATGATGGCACATACGAATGCATGTATATGTGGGAGCAATATTCTAAGAAAAAAGGTTGGGGGGGAAATCGAAAATTAGCTACAAATTTAGAGGATTTCAACAGTTAACCTATTCATTATACAATATATAGTGTTCATAAGACTAAGGGCTATATTTGACATTTTATCACTGTTCTTAATTGTCTAGATAATTAGATAGGAAAAAAAAACACAGAAAAAGAAGTTTATCATTGACAATACAAAAACAAAAAACAGAACACAACTATGAGAGAGAAAGATCGAAGGCTAAAAGAATTACCTTTTGACTGGGGCATAAAGGGGAGCGAGGTTTTGGGAAATGCCCAAGGCATCAAGGGCAACCCAAGCGTTGGGGAAAAGTGTTAAAGCTGTGCCCGTGGCTCTGAGGCCTTCCGATTTCTCCAACACCAACGCTTCAACTCCAGCTCTCTTCAGCGCCACTGCAGTCGCCAACCCTGCTATCCCTGCCCCAACTATAACCACATCCTCCATTTCTCTATCTGTTTCTCTCTCTGTCTGGGAGAAGCAGAAGCAGAAGCACTCAGCTTTGTAAGGAATGGAGTGCTCAACTTTGTTGGGTTATTATATTAATATTTCTTCGTGGGCGCCGCCCAATGGTTGAACGAACGAAGATGCCAAGAAAAGATTACGACGTTGGCAGAAGCAAATTTGATACGCAAGTGCAATCGGTTTTTTCAATTTTTTATTTTATTTTAATTTTAGAATTAAGGAAAGATAATATGAGTAGTTATGTTTTATACAAGTAAGATCTATTATCTGATTTTGTACTTAATTTTGATTTTTTTAATATAAAAAAAGTAAATTTACTATATTATTCTTATTTAATTAATAATTTTAATTCTTAATATTTGAATTAATCAAAAATATTTTTTGATATTTTAAATATTTCACAATTTTCTATATTTTACTTTATATATATCGACGAATTTTATAATTTTGATGGGAATCAACCGGCCAAAAACTATTTTTTATTCAAATGAGAGCCATTGGTTCCTAATGGAAATTGCCGCAACAGCTGATGCGACAGTGGGGCCCACTAGGCTGTATTGTTGTATCCGGGTCTGGGTTGGTTGGGCTGCATATATGGTTGAGCCCCAAATAATAACCCCATTCGGATGGCCCAAGTGATTAAAAAAACAAGCGAGTGATAAAAACAAAAAACAAAATTTAAAGCAGATTGCAGAAGAGAAGAACGCTCAAGGCAATTCGACCAGTCGCGGAGCAGAAGGTTAGATATCTCTCTTTCTTCTTATGCTGCCGTCGAAATCGGTGTGAAAAAAACCTAGCCTCTGTCTAGAAGAAGTGGCTGGGTCTTACAAAATTTGTAGGCTCTCCGGCTGAATTCACCCCAAAAATTCTATAATTTTCCATATGATGGATTATGGATATTTCTGGTTTATGAATTTGCCTCCTTTCTTGGGCTAAAATTTGTGTTGTTTTTTGTTTGAGCAGTTGCTGAACCAGATAAAGTATAAGAAATTTGGATTGAACATTGAGTTGAAAGAGGGAAGAGTATAGGGTATTTCAACCAGTGTTTAGAGGGTGTCTATAAGGCGCAACGATGTCGGTAACAGCAGGTGTTAGTGATACTGTGATTGCAGTCAGGGATAAGCTCAGAGGTAAAATTGGGCAAACAAAAGTTAAACGGTATTGGCCTGGAAAAGCTCCCGAGTGGGCAGATGATGCCGACGAAGATGGGGATATTAGGATGTCCGCAGCTGCTTCATTGGAGAAAGCTTTCCCCACTGAGGAATATTCTGATGTTGTCAGAAAAGATGATCCTAGACTGCGCCGTTTGGCTGAGAGCAGGATAGATAATCGTGAGGATGCTCGAGCTGATCATAGGCGTATCCGGCAAGCTGAGATTGTTTCAACAATTGAAGAAGAAACCAAGAGGCAGGAAGGGTTAGAAGCGGAGGAAGAGGACGCAGATGCTTTGGAGGAAAGAAGAAGAAGGATCAAGGAGAAGTTGCGTCAAAGGGAGCAAGAAGAAGCTCCACTCCTGTCGGAAGATGAGGAAGAAGTAAAGGAAGAGGAGGAAGAGGAGTCTGAGTATGATACTGACTCAGAAGAAGAGCTTACTGGTATGGTGATGCTGAAGCCTGTCTTTGTGCCTAAGTCAGAGAGAGATACTATTGCTGAACGTGAGCGACTTGAGGCTGAAGAACGAGCCCTTGAGGAATCAAGGAAGAGGAATTTGGAGGAAAGGAAGAGGGAGACAAAGCAGATTGTGGTTGAGGAGATTCGGAAGGACGAAGAGATTCAGAAGGGTTTGGAACAGGAAGCAAATATTGCTGATATTGATACTGATGATGAAGTAAACGAGGCAGAGGAGTATGAAACTTGGAAGGCAAGAGAGATTGCCAGGATCAAGAGGGATAGGGAAGACCGGGAAGCAATGATAAAGGAGAAGGAAGAGATTGAAAGGGTTAGAAACATGACAGAGGAAGAGAGGAGGGAGTGGGAGAGGAAGCATCCAAAAGCTGCACCACGACCAAAGCAGAAGTGGAGATTTATGCAGAAATATTACCACAAGGGTGCTTTCTTCCAGTCAGAACCTGATGACTATGCTGCAACTGTTGGAACAGATGGAATTTACACACGTGATTTCTCTTCCCCAACTGGAGAAGATAAGATGGACAAAACAATATTGCCCAAGGTCATGCAGGTCAAACATTTTGGTCGTAGTGGAAGGACGAAATGGACGCATCTTGTCAATGAGGATACCACTGATTGGAACAATCCGTAAGTTCAATTTATTTCATGAATTAACTATTTTGTGTACCTATTTTAGTTTTGTGTTGAATTCATTAAACACCACAAGCACTATTATATTTCTTTTTTTCTTAAGGGGAATTCAGAGTTTGTGTCCTTTTACCCACATTTTCTTTGAAGTAAATAAGGACTGAAGGGCTGATCTTACTGAATTTCTCAGTCAAACCATTAGATTTTATGGGTTGGAGATAGTAAGATATGAAGACATTCACGTAAAGCACTTGATGAGCATTATACTTGTAGAAAACTATGTGCGGTCCAATAACAGTATGGTGATTTGCTAGCACGTATGTCTATTAGCTTTAGTTAGATATAATCATTAAACGAATAGGTTATATTCATTGATAAATAAGTAAAGTTTGATATGTAAAACGTATTAGAGAATAAAAAAGAATATTGGTTATGGTAACAAGTATTTCTAACCAAAACTGTCTTTTACTTTGATCTAGAAGCCCATGAAACTTCATTCACCTATACATGTTCAGAGGTTTGGTAATTTTATATGTTTCAAGAGTGAAGTTCAAAGTATGATAAATGATGCCATCAACCTACCTCGACCAGGTGATTGAGAGTGTATTTTTCTGTAGTTAATGCAATTTATAGATGTATTTCACGTTTATTATTTTGGAGCCCTATAATCATCACCTTTGAGTCTCTGTCACATGATCAGGAATCCTCAATATGTAAATGGAATGACAGGAAAGAAAAAAAAAGGAATAGCCATAGTTTGAGTCAAAATTTTAGGATAATAAGCTAAAAATTCTTCAACAATGTATAGAAAAACTGCATTGACATTGTTGTGGTCATAGGAATAATTTAAAGTTTTGGAACAAAGCATTGGTGGTTTAACTTTGAAGTAATAGAACATGGGAATAGTTCCTGTTCTTTTCTATTTTGTTAGCAATTTGTTCTGGTCATATTCGTATTGTTACTTTCATTTCTATATTTACATGTTTTAGGTGGGTTCTGTATGTCTGTAAAAGATTTTTTCTTTGGTTGTGCCACTTGGATTTCTTAGTATATAAAGTTAAGGTTCCACTGAGGGGAGCTGTCTTATGGTATGAATAGATATTGAATTGGTGTGAATTTTGTTTGAGGGCAAAAGTTGAGATTTGAATAGGCGAACATACCAGACAAATTCTGATGAATTTTTCGGTAGGTTTTTTTTCCCCTTTTCGGTAAAGGAAGTGGCTTGGAATACTATAGGTATTTTGAGGAATTAACTGCATCATGAGTAATGGGATCCACTTTGGCCCTCTTTTGATCTTCAATTCCAAACTATGCTGAATGTGTTTTATTTGATTACTAACAAAAACAATCCGTAATTTTTTTGCCAAACACACATTTATTTTAGTTTTTTTTGTATTTCAGATGGACGTACAATGATCCTCTTCGAGCGAAGTATAATGCTAAAATGGCAGGAATGAACACGCCTATTGCAAAACCCAAAGGAAGCAAGAAATTGAAGGATTGGGAGTCTCGTTGATTTTTGACTACTCAGTCATGTGCAAGAAGCTAGGTTTTGTAATTTATCTGATGTTTTCATTGACGGAATACAAGTTTGTGGGAGAATATTACATTCTTAAATGTATTTTCGCAATGTAGGACTTGCTGCTCAGGGCACAGCCGTGTAAGATTTCTGGTCCATTATGATACTTCAGTATGACTTGAGGTTAGAATTAAAATCATAGAATTCGATCTGTAACTTTAACTTGATCTCATGTGCCTGGACTATTTTTATGTTCTTGACCGCCTAACTTTTGTTCCTGGGTTGGTGAGTGAGCAAATACAGTGAGGTGGGGGGTTTTTCTTTTGGGATTTTAGTGAACTACAATATAGATATTGTCATATTCATAGATGCAACAATAGTTTGATTAGGATTCAAACCTGAGGTATTTGTGGGATTGGGGCCTTGTTCAGTTTTGTTGTATGCTGATCTGTGTTTTCGAATTCTGGCTTAAACAGATTGCACTTTCTTTCTCCCAATAAGTGTACCAGTGCATTTTGTGGTGGCTAGTTTTACTTGCATTTCGTTCTTTTCATTTGGGGCTTTGTTCAGATTTATTGTATGCTGATCTGTGTTTTCGAATTCTGGCTTAAACGGATTGCACTTTCTTGCTCCCAATAAGTGTACCAGTGCATTTTGTGGTGGCTAGTTTCATTTGGGGGAAGTTAAAAGGGCAAGTCTTTAGGAGTATTTTGTCTGCTAGACATATTTTGTTTATAGTAATGCGATGGATAGTTGGTATAGTTAGATACTAGAACATTACTTTTCTATGGTATCATCGTTTCATCAGATTCCGGATAAACAATAATAGAATTTTTTTGTTTTTTTGTTTTTTTGTAATTGTGATAAACAATAAAAAGATGCCCGGTATATATCCATTCATTTTAAGAACTTTGTAAAGGCGAGGCAACAGCCCTCTCCCCACTCCCTTCTGCATAGGCAAAGCTGAATGGTCTGTGTCGAAAGTTTTCTTTAAACACTCACTAGAAGAAACCAAAGCCCTGCAGTTAATTTAGGAAGGGGGCAGTTCATTGAAGCTCAAGTTTGGGGGCCTATTTTTGGGCTGCATCTTGGTTTGGAGAAACGTATCAGCAACCTTTTAGTTCATATGGATGCTGCAGCGGTTGTTCTTCTCCTTTAGCAAACTTTCTATTCTTGATATTCACCCTCTTGCTGCTCTTATTTCTTGATGCAGCAGGCTTGGCTCTAAATTAGTTGAGGATTTGTTAGGAGTTCCTAGAACTCGGTTTGTTTACTTGTTACCCCCAATTAAAAAAGAAAAAAAGAAAAAAGAAAAAAGCAAATCTCTAGTATTTATTGTTAACGGCTGCCCAAAAGATATTTAGAGCAAATGAAATAAGGTAGAAACCATCTCGAATTCCACATTGTTTTCTAACATACATCACCCAGAAAAATATCATTAAGCGAACCTCTGGGTTGCAATCCATCTACATTTGATGTAGCTAAAAGAGTTAACCCTAAAGACAAATGCAATAGCTAAATTAATTTAACTGACAGTCAGTCAAATATAGCTAACTGAATTGACAAAACCTCATCAACTATTCTGGGACAGGACTGATGATTTTATACCATGCAACAAATCAAAGAATATTGTTTCCGTCCGGCATGGTTTTTTTTAACATGTTAACACTTCTCTGTGTCAGTCCTGCTTCAAACATTCCTCTGTGTAAGTCCTGCTTCAAAGCAAAACATTATCATTCCTCCTCCCTCTCAGTGATTTGTTAAAGGAATCCTAGGATCAGAAATGAAGCAAATGACACTTCCCTCGAAAAGGTCCATGAAACACCATCAGAAGGTACAGATGACTTGGCCTTAGAGAGATTAGCACTCTGTTTTTTTTTTTTTTTTTTTTTTTTTTTTTTTTTTTTTTTTTTTTTTTTTTTTTTTTTTTTTTTTTTTTTTTTTTTTTTTTTTTTTTTTTTTTTTTTTTTTTTTTTTTTTTTTTTTTTTTTTTTTTTTTTTTTTTTTTTTTTTTTTTTTTTTTTTTTTTTTTTTTTTTTTTTTTTTTTTTTTTTTTTTTTTTTTTTTTTTTTTTTTTTTTTTTTTTTTTTTTTTTTTTTTTTTTTTTTTTTTTTTTTTTTTTTTTTTTTTTTTTTTTTTTTTTTTTTTTTTTTTTTTTTTTTTTTTTTTTTTTTTTTTTTTTTTTTTTTTTTTTTTTTTTTTTTTTTTTTTTTTTTTTTTTTTTTTTTTCAGGAATTTTTTTTTTTTTTAAAAAAAAGGCCGGGATTGACAACGGAATTCAAATGGGGAAAACGACAAAGTTCTCCAAAAACGGAATTTCGCGCTAGTAAACGATGTCGGATGCCCGAGAAAGCCCGTAGGTCATCGCAACGCAATGAGTTTTACTCGTGGCGCCGTTCTCTTCAAATCGACTGTTCATGGGCCTAATTCTGAGGCCGGACCCCAGATATGCGATTCGCCCGATTTGCCGTTGCACGCGCTCCTCTTGAATTGCTTCCGCCTTCTGTCCTACGCCACCCCGAGGAGCTCGCCTCCAATTAACTGGGCACCGGAAAGGAACGAAAACGAAAACGCAGCGGGACCGACGCACTGCCGAAATTATTGGGATTTTTTTTTCTTTTTTCTTTTGGGTTCCATTATCGCTAGGTAGGGCATCATACGGCACGGCTCAAACGTGGCTTATATACTTTCAGGCGTTATAAGCTAACGGATGCGATCATACCAACTCACATGCACCGGATCCCATCAGAACTCCGAAGTTAAGCGAGTTTGGGCGAGAGTAGTACTAGGATGGGTGACCTCCTGGGAAGTCCTCGTGTTGCATCCCTTCTTTTTGTCTTTTTGACGTTTCAATTGTCGTGGGCGTTTGCTTTCCGTCGTCTTATTCATCTGGCTGTCTTCGTTTTCCCACGGCCCCTAAGCCCTAAATCGTCCTAGAAAATCCCGGGATTGACAACGGAATTCAAATGGGGAAAACGACAAAGTTCTCCAAAAACGGAATTTCGCGCTAGTAAACGATGTCGGATGCCCGAGAAAGCCCGTAGGTCATCGCAACGCAATGAGTTTTACTCGTGGCGCCGTTCTCTTCAAATCGACTGTTCATGGGCCTAATTCTGAGGCCGGACCCCAGATATGCGATTCGCCCGATTTGCCGTTGCACGCGCTCCTCTTGAATTGCTTCCGCCTTCTGTCCTACGCCACCCCGAGGAGCTCGCCTCCAATTAACTGGGCACCGGAAAGGAACGAAAACGAAAACGCAGCGGGACCGACGCACTGCCGAAATTATTGGGATTTTTTTTCTTTTTTCTTTTGGGTTCCATTATCGCTAGGTAGGGCATCATACGGCACGGCTCAAACGTGGCTTATATACTTTCAGGCGTTATAAGCTAACGGATGCGATCATACCAACTCACATGCACCGGATCCCATCAGAACTCCGAAGTTAAGCGAGTTTGGGCGAGAGTAGTACTAGGATGGGTGACCTCCTGGGAAGTCCTCGTGTTGCATCCCTTCTTTTTGTCTTTTTGACGTTTCAATTGTCGTGGGCGTTTGCTTTCCGTCGTCTTATTCATCTGGCTGTCTTCGTTTTCCCACGGCCCCTAAGCCCTAAATCGTCCTAGAAAATCCCGGGATTGACAACGGAATTCAAATGGGGAAAACGACAAAGTTCTCCAAAAACGGAATTTCGCGCTAGTAAACGATGTCGGATGCCCGAGAAAGCCCGTAGGTCATCGCAACGCAATGAGTTTTACTCGTGGCGCCGTTCTCTTCAAATCGACTGTTCATGGGCCTAATTCTGAGGCCGGACCCCAGATATGCGATTCGCCCGATTTGCCGTTGCACGCGCTCCTCTTGAATTGCTTCCGCCTTCTGTCCTACGCCACCCCGAGGAGCTCGCCTCCAATTAACTGGGCACCGGAAAGGAACGAAAACGAAAACGCAGCGGGACCGACGCACTGCCGAAATTATTGGGATTTTTTTTTCTTTTTTCTTTTGGGTTCCATTATCGCTAGGTAGGGCATCATACGGCACGGCTCAAACGTGGCTTATATACTTTCAGGCGTTATAAGCTAACGGATGCGATCATACCAACTCACATGCACCGGATCCCATCAGAACTCCGAAGTTAAGCGAGTTTGGGCGAGAGTAGTACTAGGATGGGTGACCTCCTGGGAAGTCCTCGTGTTGCATCCCTTCTTTTTGTCTTTTTGACGTTTCAATTGTCGTGGGCGTTTGCTTTCCGTCGTCTTATTCATCTGGCTGTCTTCGTTTTCCCACGGCCCCTAAGCCCTAAATCGTCCTAGAAAATCCCGGGATTGACAACGGAATTCAAATGGGGAAAACGACAAAGTTCTCCAAAAACGGAATTTCGCGCTAGTAAACGATGTCGGATGCCCGAGAAAGCCCGTAGGTCATCGCAACGCAATGAGTTTTACTCGTGGCGCCGTTCTCTTCAAATCGACTGTTCATGGGCCTAATTCTGAGGCCGGACCCCAGATATGCGATTCGCCCGATTTGCCGTTGCACGCGCTCCTCTTGAATTGCTTCCGCCTTCTGTCCTACGCCACCCCGAGGAGCTCGCCTCCAATTAACTGGGCACCGGAAAGGAACGAAAACGAAAACGCAGCGGGACCGACGCACTGCCGAAATTATTGGGATTTTTTTTTCTTTTTTCTTTTGGGTTCCATTATCGCTAGGTAGGGCATCATACGGCACGGCTCAAACGTGGCTTATATACTTTCAGGCGTTATAAGCTAACGGATGCGATCATACCAACTCACATGCACCGGATCCCATCAGAACTCCGAAGTTAAGCGAGTTTGGGCGAGAGTAGTACTAGGATGGGTGACCTCCTGGGAAGTCCTCGTGTTGCATCCCTTCTTTTTGTCTTTTTGACGTTTCAATTGTCGTGGGCGTTTGCTTTCCGTCGTCTTATTCATCTGGCTGTCTTCGTTTTCCCACGGCCCCTAAGCCCTAAATCGTCCTAGAAAATCCCG